TGAAGCAAACGCGAATAAACAGTCTTACATCAAAATAGTGTTTGTTGTTGGACGCCGAACTCAGCAATATTCCAGCTATGTGACGGCCTATCGACTCTGTTTCAACGAGACAACACAAGGCACCATACAACATTTTGCCTTGGCCAGCACAACCACCAGATTTATCAACTATAGATCTCTTGGAGGATCACATTGACCGTCAAATTAGAGCACGACTAGATCGCCCTTAAAACAAGGATCAGTTGGCACAGGAGTTTTGAGAGGAGTGGTGTTGAATCACATTTGATGATCAGACGCATCAAATCTCCTCATGGTCGAGTTGGGACATTGGTTCCCGTGGTATACACAATACTGACTGCCAACTGTGACATTCTGAAGGATTAAAAGGAGTTTTATGTGCTGAGTGAGTGAGTTGGGTTTAGCGCCGCTTTTAACAGTATTCCAGCCATATCACGGTGTGTCAGTTTAATGTGGGAGGAAAGCCCAAAGTGATGCAACGTCGATTAAATGGCCGAGAGTGTGCAGGTGCTTAGTGGTAGTTAAGATACACGGAAAGCTACCGTTGCCATGGCAACTACTATGCTGCCAAAAGCAGCTACCGTTGCCAGACCCTAGATGGCCAAAAGAAAACTACCCTTGTCTGGCACAATCAGTAAACCATTATGGCAGCTACCACCGCAGGCTTGACGACTACCGCCGGAAGTATAACCCTGGAAGGAAATAGCTGAAATGCAGTAGCCTTAAACTCGAGTAGTGATTTGGAAGGGATTAGACCGAAACACGCGTGTACTTGAAGAGAGCTGGTGCGCCAATGGCTGACCATAGAACCATGGAACAAAGGAGGGATGACGCTTGTGGTCCCCGGACAGGGTGCAGGGCGCAGGGTGCAGGGTGCAGGATGCAGGGTGCAGGGCGCAGGGCGCAGGATTCAGGGCGCAGGGTGAAGGGCGCAGGTCGCAGGATGCAGGGCCCAGGGTGCAGGGCGCAGGATGCAGGGCGCAGGGTGAAGGGCGCAGGATGCAGGGCGCAAGGCGCAGGATGCAGGGCGCAGGGCGCAGGGTCCTTTCCCTTGTGGTTTGATTTCGCTGTGGCCAGGATTGCTGTGTCAATTGGCAGTGTCAATATATTTATCCTTCTTATCTGTTGGTCCTGTTAAATGTACACATAGTTCTAATAACTTGAGAATGAGCAGCAGAAGATTCATTTATTAAGATTCGGCAAGTTCATTATTAACTCGCCAAATTATTTATTCATTTGACTTTTCTCTGATATGGGAGAATGAGACCATACATAATGTGATTCAGTGTTGAATATTCTAATGTAAAATGTTCTCGTCATTCAAATTGTTGTTCATATAACAAGACAACCATGAACAATTTAGAACAATTTAAGATATACCACTAAAGAACTTATAATGCATAAAATACCTAAAAATACCTTTCACAGCATTAGCACCGATTTCTTCAGAAATATTTCCTTTGCCATGTTTTTACGTTTTCTTTCTTGTGGACTGCATCACTGAAGATGGCAAGTGGCCGTAGAAAGCCCTTTTCTTCATGGCTATTGTGTTATTAGAGGAGAAGGAGAAGAGGAGGAGAAAGAGACCCAGAAACTTGTTTTTAATTGATGTTGGCAAAGTACTTTGATTATTTGGTGCCACTTGTAGGATCCAAAGGAAAATATGTCATGGCTCAAAAAATAAGTTGTCGTCTCATATTCCAGAGGTTGTTAAAGCACACAACAATTTTCAAATTCGAATGTTGAGAAATACATTCTACAACAAATTTGATGTGTGAATGTCTAAAATATTTAGTTCACCTAACCGAATCGGCCGTTTACATTATAATATTAAGGCAAATTTAAGCACAAGCTGTCAATTCAATTCACTCTTTTGTTTCAGGTCGGTACAGCACATGGTTTGTTTTCAGAGCCGTTTACATTATAATATTAAGGCAAATTTGACCAGTATTTGAACACCACGATAAACCCATCATGTATGGAGCTTTATAACTGGGCGCGAGAACAGAACGTGACGCTCTAGCTGGTCACAAGCTGTCAATTCAATTCACTCTTTCGTTTCAGGTCGGCACAGCACAGAGCGAGATGAGAAGAATTGATTTTTAGTGTTGCAATTCAAATCCAATAGCACAAACAATTCCATACAGTATACCGTGCGTGTCAGTACATCAATATTTCAGATATCTTTCCAGGAAAAGCTCTAGCTTCCTTCTTTTTCTTTTCCTGGAACAGGCTCCAGAGTTTGATCACGTGACCTATAATGTATTGATCTACTTGCTGTAGTCATGGTATGTTTCTGCATGCCTCTTCTCACATAAATGAACCGGATGTCACGCTGTATGTGTCTCATTGTTCAAAACCTCATTGGCAATCTACTCTATCTGTCTTCTTCGTTTCGTTTGCTTCTTTTGTTAATGCCGCACCCAGCAATCGAAGTCAAGCATGAGTTGCCGAAGACCTATTCTAACCCGGATCTTCGCGTGTATCTATCTTTCTATTACAATGAGAATCTGTGTATGATGTGAGCGTTTCGTGTGATTCACATGTTGTCACAATAATAGGCGTATACTTACATGACAATATACCGGCACATGCATGACATACCACATGACACATACCCGGTTAGCATAGGCCGCCTGAATATCATATATATTAGCGCCGGCTAAAGTGTTGATTAGACGTTGTGACTAGGGTCGTTGTTTATGATATGAGGCACTGGCTTGACAGGTCGGGGGCTCGATGCCCTGGCTGCATCATACCAAAAGACGTTAAAGATAGCATATCCATAAAAAGCGGGGTATCCATGTTAGACTGCGGCATTGTATCTCAGTGGGCCAGCACTATAAAACCAGAAATTAGTCCATCTCAGGGGGGCAGCACTATAAAACCGGTAATTAGCCCCGAGTAGTACAAGCAGCAACACACACACACAAACACACACACACACACAAACACACACAAACACACACACAAACACACACACAAACACACACACACACATGCACACACACACACACACACACACACACACACACACACACACAAACATACACAAACACACACACACATGCACAAACAAACACACACATACACACAAAAACAAACACATACACATAAACACACACACACGCACAAACACACACACACAAACACCCCCACACACAAAAACAAACACACACACACAGAAACACCCACACACACAAAAACAAACACACACACACATATACACACACAAACACCCACACACACAAAAACAAACACACAAAAACAAACACACACACACATACACACACAAACATGCACAAACACACACACAACACATACACATAAACACACACACCCGCACATACACACACAAACACACACACATGCACAAACACACACACAAACACACAAAAAGAAACACATACACATAAACACACACACCCGCACATACACACACACAAACACACATGCACAAACACGCACACACACATACGCACATACACAAACACACATACACTGACACAAACACACACATGCACGTCGCTATGTCAGTGCAATAATCTTGAACGTCTCGTTAAACCCCATTTGACCTAATCTAATCCACCCACTCACTCACCTAATTCTAACTTACCCTCCAACCCCCCTCCCCCCCCCCCCCCCCCCCCCCCCCCCCTTGCTTGATCATAACGGTCCATACCCTTGATCTCTGTTTTGTAACGGCGGACTTTTCTGGCTTTTTGTGAAGTCCTGATGTTTGGCGGAGACGATTTGGACTTTGTCAAACTGAATTTGATGACTGGGGAACTATGCTGGAAGTCGGGGGGGGAGGGGGGGTATTTTTGCTGTGTGTTTTTGCTGTTGAAGTATATTTTCTTTGATAAAGTGACTACTGGGCGGGTATTTTCATTAAAGTACGAGTCAACAGAGTCACAATTAAATTAATAGAATTAATTAATCTTTGGGGGCTGCTTAGCAACAAATCATCAGATGACTTGAGCACCAAGCAGGCATCAATACCATCTTCACTGGCTCCCCTTCCCAAAGTACTCCAAGTCAATGTCCGTAACCCTTCCTCCCACAAATAACCCCTCAAAAGAGTGAATGGTCGCTAAACGCAATAAGCCAGAAGTTGTATGTGTTCTTAAAGCAGTGTTTGTTCCACATCACCGCACTGAGCAATATGTCAGCTACACGACAAGGCAAAATATCAGGTCCCGTGAAGATTACGGGGTAGAACTGGTCTTCAGCAACCCTTCTTGTTGTGAGAGGCGACTAACGGTGTCGGGTGGTCAGGCTCGCTGATGCATGTCATCGTATCCCAATTGCATAGATCGATACTCAAGATGTGAATCACTGGATTGGCTGGTCCAGACTCGATTATTTACAGACTGCCGTCATCTTGAATATTGCTGAGTGCGACGTTAAGCAACAAACAAACAGTAACGACACACATTTTCACAGCTATAAATATCCCTGCATAATATACACACTTGGGAGTGCATGGCCCAGTGCAGCTTGAGGCAGCGGAACGTCACTGAACACCGCGACACTATCACATGACTATAGCAGTTATCTTTCCAGGAAATGTCCTACTTTCTCTTTCCTTTCCTGGAACACGCTTTAGAACTGGAATGTGTCTATACGTGACCTATATTTTATCTGTCACGCGACGCTTGCCGTATACTGGTTCTGTGTTGTCCTGACTGCCCATATGAGGAAGGCTCATGCCACTGATCGGCACATGTGCCAGTAAAAAGTGCCAGTGAGCTGACCCACATCTCTGTGTTATTGTTTATATCCCCTTTCAGCAACAGCTGTGTTGTGGCGAGACTGTCCCTTATCTGATAGAACCAGGGGTCAGGAGACATATCCTTACACAGGCTTTTCCCAAAGCATTGATAACATTTTGTGTCTTATTATAGTACTTATTCACATATATTATACTTATTCACATGTTACATTATTTGTCTAGTGCATTAAAGGGTTTGGCAATGACACTATGGTCATATAATTTCGTCTACCGTAAACAAACCATTTAATCGACTTAGAATTGATTAAGTATGCAACTAACTCTTCTGACAAACACTAAATGTATTTTGATATTAAAAAGTACAGAACATTGAAAAAGTCTCAAGAAGTCGGCGTGAGAGTTCTGGAGACAGATGGTGAGCTGGGGGCGTCCCGTATTTCCACAGCCCTGTAATACGTGATCTGGCGAGGGAGACTTGCCGCCAGTCTATGTAACCCAACTCTCCTCCGGGTTCACGCTTACTGGCACCTCTGTGTGGCTCCCGGCATGAACCGGATATGACGTTATATGCGTGTCTGTTGTAAACATCATTGGCAATCACTACCCTGAAACAGGTAAGGTTTGTGATCTGTTGTTCTATTACAATTATAAACTGTGTATGACGTAACTCTTCACGTACAGTCACCATAACAGGCGTATACATACATGACAATATACCGGCACATGCATGACCCCGTGACACCTTCCCTCATGTCGCGTAGCCTCTCGTAGCCTCACGTCACCTCAGCTCACTCACTCACTCACTCAACCACGCACTCACTCAAACACCAAACCGCTTACTCACTTGTTCATCAATGTGGTAGTGAGCTAGGGTGAAGTAGTTCGTTCCCTGTGACACTACCGAGAGCGTTCATCTCAAGTATCTGACCTACTCGTAAAGGGGCTCGCCTCTTCATGGTGAGTATCACTTCATGTCGTCCCAGTCGCTGTCTCAAGCTGATATATTACCAGACTGTCGCGTAACAGTATCATGGCTGCACTGTCCATGTTTGACAACACTAGTCTATAGTCCGTTATCGTATGACATTAACACAGCATACATGCGTAATCCTATTACCCACTGTCATCTTGTGCACCATTATTGTGTTGCGTGAACGTCGTTGCAATATTTGCAGTAGTTATTGAATACATTCTGGTTACACGTATGGTGTCATATGTTATCGTTATTACTTCAAAGTAATATGCAAAGTATAACGAGAATTCTTTTGACCAACTGGTTTGTTTGATTGTGTGTCGCACTCAGCAATATTCCAGCTATATGACGGCGGTCTGTAAATAATCGAGTCTGGACCAGACAATCCAGTGATTGACATCATGAGCATCGATCTATGCAATTGCGGTACGAAGACATGAATCAACCAAGTCAGCGAGCCTGACCACCCGATCCCGTTAGTCGCCCCTTGCGACAAGCATAGTCGCCTTTTACGGCATGGGTTGCTGAAGACCTACTCTACCCCGGATCGTCACGGGTCTGAACCAGTGGTAATGTTGTATATATTTCTTGAAGATTTTGAACATCTGGTGGAATCGTGTAATAAAGGCTTGCCTAAAAAGGTCCATTCATATAATTTTCACAACTAGTCTGCCTTTTGTATATATTAACAAAGTAAAACATGTTTAAAATCTAATGAAAAATATGTAACGGAACCGTGACTGAAAATAATATTTATTTTACCATAAGACTGTATTGTTTCTGTCTACATCTCCTTGAAAAGACGGAACGATATAACTGGAATACTGTTAAAAGCGGCATTAAACCCAACTCACTCACTCCTTGAAAAGATTGAGTCAAAGACTGGTGTTCAAATATATGGAATAAAGCGACAAAGCCCTTTCCATATCCAATAGATATCTCTGCATAAAACAGAGTCGATTGTACAATTCTGACTATATGATGAGCATGTGTTGATGATACCAGGTGTTCGAGAAAAGGTTAGTATATGCTGCTCCACCGGTGGCACCCGTCACAAACACAATCAAAGGCAAGTCAATTGTTTACGGGAACATATAGTACCAGTCGAAATAGGGAATGAAATCGGACATCATTTTTGTCACTGATGCGTCAAATTTGGAAATGTGCTCAACATGTCTACCATAACACTTTTTGAAAGCTTTACATGTCTCATTAGTTTTACCTTTTCGCGAACACATGGTATTATCACTATTTCATAGTTATTCATAAACACATGCTCGTAATATTGTCGGAATCGTACAATCGACCCTGTTTTTTTCGAAAGTTTTTTTTATGAATATGAAAAGGGTTTTGTCGCTTTTATTTATTTACTGGAATGTGTACCCATTAATGAAGTATTTCGAACAACACGTTGTTCACATGTTCAAACAAAATAAGGTTATTATTATTATTTGTCTTATATATATTCTTATATTTGGGGGAGGTTGGGGTAAAACGGACTATAAGTGTATTTATTTTACTTTCAGTGTACCCTAAGGAGTACCTGGCAATATGAGTGAGATCTGTCCGCATTGTGGGAAGGGGTTCAAGCGTCTGGCATCTCACGAGTGGAGGTGCAAAGAGAAGGGAACAGCCGCCAGTCCATCCTCCACCCTACAGCCTCGTTCTTCTAGCAGTTCCAGCTCACCTTCAGGAGCTGGTCGATCTACCACACCATCAGCAGGTAACAGGACAAGTGCTCGGCGACCAACCTCAGCCGATGTAGGGAACAGTTCAAAAACCGGTGCACCCCAAGGTGCGAGAAGAAGGAGTTCCAACAAACCGGCCGAGGTAGTGGTGAACATATGTCCTGATTGTGGCGCCAACTACAGATACAAACATGATGTCTGTCATTCTCGGGGGTCGGGGAAACGTGAAGATAAAGCTGCTTATGATGTGATGGAAGTGTGCCCTGATTGTGGCCAGACGTATAAATACAAACACACGGTGTGTCGTGGAAGCCAGAAGATAAATCCTGTCAGACATCACCGACTGGTCATTCCAAATCGGCCACCAAATCCGACCAATCAACAATCTACACGTCACGAATATACCACTTGGCACGAACAGTAAGTATTTGTATTGTATTAGTTTAACGCATTAAGCCAGAAGCAAGCGATGTGTTAGGGTTCAATTCATAGGACGTGTAACATGAATCTTACCTGACAACCGTGTTCCATGTACAGGAGGGCGGTCGGGTAGCCAAGTGGTTAAAGCGTTCGCTCGTCACGACGAAAACCCGGGTTCGTATCCCGACATGGGAACAATGTGTAATGCCCATTTCTGGTGTCCCCGGCCGTGATATTGCTGGAATATTGCTTAAAGCGGCGTAAAACCAAACTCACACTCCATGTACAGGGTTCATTACCGTCTTCACATTATTGTGGGTTGGTTATTGACGTGTTACACGTGGCCGACGATTTGTTGTGAGGGTAGGGGAAGGTATTTGTTTATTGTCGTGCAAGGCGTTTGTGCTCACGAGAACCTGTCTAGTAATGCTTCAATGGCGGGCACCTTCAACAATTTGCATGAAACAATCACAAGAAAATATCCAAATCACGTTTATCACTGTACATAATCCCCCTCTTTCTACAGCAAAACTAACATTATACTTTCCGATTGACAGAACACTATTGTTTCTGGAAACACATTTTGTATTGTTCAATGTCATGAAATCAAAATATCTTCTTGCTATTTTTCCGTGTAATCCAGCACTATCAGTTAGTTTATCCACGAAGAAATTCCAAGTAAATATCATTATTATCCATAGATATCTAAATAAGAACAATAATTCAAGGAGGGAAATCTATATAGCCACTGACAGGTCATTCGCTACAGAAATCTGTATTATTTATATTTATCTATATCACTAATAAATTTGTCTAAATAGATTAGCATACATATATATGTAAAATTCATAACATATATATCATTATAGCTCGCTTGGAAATTGTTTATGTGCAAGAAGACCTACACAATATTACATACCTGCACATGTAATATGTGAATATTACAAACGAATGGATCTCGGGTACAAGTTATGATTCAGTACATTTAGTATCTTTACATGGACAATGTTGAAGGTGACATGGTGTCCGTGTTTCAGCAGGGGAAGAGGAACATACAACTACAAGGGCGATCTGGCAGAATCTGAAGGTCTAGCAAGAGCGAATGTGCAAGGTCAGCGACATGCACGCCGGTGAGTTTATCTCAAAATTTAGCCAGTTAAAGCTATTCAGTATTTGTGTTTTGATGTCAAAATTTGGCCAGTTAAAGCTATTCAGTATTTGTGTTTTGATGTCAACATTTGGCTCGTTAAAGGTACTATGTGCCATCACATATTGTTTATTAGACCTTGAGATGTATGTCAAGGAGCCCAACTCTTATGAACAAATGTACATAAAGAGTAACAGGATAACTCCAACCCCATTTAACAACGTGTTTAACCAAGCAGAATGAAGCATCATTCCTATTCATTGTAAATTCCAGTCACAGACACGAGAGGACCCATGACAACTACAATGGCGTCCTGAATGAGGAGGAACGCTTGGCCGCTGCTTTTGAAGCAAGTCTGAATCTGAAGGAAGAAAACCCGTGAGTGCCACCAGCACTCCAGCTGCCTGGCATGTCCCGTGGTCATGACATGGCCTCCAGTATGCTTTTATGAAATATGAACTTTCGATCACCAAAAGATTTACGTGAATGCTACCTTATGATTGGATGTACGTATGTGTGCATAGTATTATGGTTGCATACCTCGGCAGTATATTATTTTAATGACAAACGTTTATTAGTGATAACTGAGTATTTAGAACCTGTGTTATTAATACAACTTCATAATAAATTGCATCGAGGTCATTCATGAGATTGCTTCACCCACCTAGGACCATAACTGCTATGTTAAATGTTAAAATTGGGTGGATGGGTTGGAACATCGGAACAAATTGGAAATATACTCTCCAAAAAGGTAAATGCAATACGGATATTATTGGCCATCACAGCAACATTAGCGGACCACGAGGTGCAAAATGAATAGGTTTAATGTGTTATAGTGTCAGTGACATGCAAACCATTAGTCGGGAAACATGTACGATTCGGAAAAACGCAGCTAGTGCATTAACAAAGGGCCATGGAGCTGCACACACTGCACTTGCAGTAGCACTATGAACGGTATTAAAGTGCAGTGTTTTTGATTGCCTGGCATCTGCGTCTATCGAACAGTGATAGTTCAACAACATGACAAGATTAACAGAAGTGAAAAGAAACAACGTCAAAGGCCGCTTGCAGGCAGGGGAATCGCGATCAGCTGTAGCCAGGGTTTTCAATGTAGCGCCCAGCACCATCACAAGGATATGGGATCGGTTTCAACAGCATGGGTCAACACGTGATCTTCCAAGGTCGGGCCGACTAAGTGTAACCACCTCCGCCCTAGATCGCTACATCCGACTGCGCCACCTACGCTAAAGGACGAGAACAGCCGCTACCTCAACCACATCCTAACTGCGCAGAATCTCCTACCAAACCGTACGAAACCGTTTAAGAGCAGCAGGTCTACGCGCAACATGTCCTGTTCGACGCGTCATATTGACTCGACAACGACAACTGTGTATTCCAGCAGGAGAACGCTCGACCGCATATAACAGGGATCACAAGAACCTGTCCACACCCGATAGACCACCTGTGGGATGAATAGGATAAACGGCTACGCCGACATTAACCACAACCCCAGACGTTGCAGACCGAGTGGGCTACCATTCCCTAGGATGTGTATCGCATACTCGTCTCTTACATGGGCAGGACATGTCAGGCCGCTATTGATTCCAACGGGGGATAAACGCGTTGTTGATGGTAGCTGACCTTCACCTTAGACTTTTCCTATGTACCGATAACTGAGATGACTACAATCACCAAGTGTTCTCTCCACAAACTGTTGGCTCAATACTTTGCACGGTCCCTCGTATAAATAAATGTATTTTCCTACGTCACACAAATCTGGGTTTGCTTTTCTTTTTCTTTTTTTTGAAGAGTATATAAAGCATTGTACTGGATGTGTCTAGCCATTTCACAGTTTGATTGGGATCGGTAGGTGATATTAGCATGGTTTGGGACCTAAATAATTATATATCACCCACCATGAAATGAGGGACCTTATGGGTGAAAAAAATAACATTTTGACTTCTTAATATATTTTAAAACTACATTATTTTAGAACATAAAAATACAATTCACAAGCAACATTTTATATGCATTGCACAGATACATAGCATCGAACATTTGGACTTATATTCTGCAAAATCTTTTTTCAGTCTTGAAAACATGACTTGTCATTCACCCGATGTAGGAGTAGTGAGTGAGTGAGTGAGTGAGGTTTTACGCCGCTTTTAGCAATATTCCAGCAATATCACGGCGGGGGACACCAGAAATGGGCTTCACACATTGTACCCATGTCGGGAATCGAACCTGGGTCTTCGGCGTGACGAGCTAACGCTTTAACCACTAGGCTACCCGACCGCCCCCGATGTAGGAGTAAGCACGTACTCCGAAACGATGTTTCGTCATAATCAAGAAGCTGAAATCCATATATTCTCTTCCTTATAACTGTTGTAATAATTTAGATATAGTGACTGATTAATCGAAAGTAGACATGTATGCTGAAATGTTTTGATATAATGTGTTTTTTACATTGCGAACTAACAACAGAAAAATAAGATATATTTTCACAGTCCTCATAGATGGAGATGTTAACGGAAGTAAGTTGACGTCAAACGTCTTTCTTTGTGACGTCACGGCACAGTTATATCCCAGCACCCACAGAGCTCCTATTCTCCAGGCGGGTCACTTGAGGATTGAAGTTGTATTTGTTGACGTTCGTCAGTTGATGAAGACAGTGGCTCACGTGAGCAAATTCAATGATGCGCAAACAGATGTTTGTGACAACCATTATATCAGAAACCATTCTCCATTTGAAAACTTAGTTTCAAGCATTAGCTTTGTTGGAATGTGCGTAATCTAAAAGAAATTGTCATATGATGATACCGTCCCTATTTGACGTTATTTTTAGACATTGAGGAATTCCCCTAAAGTAGTTCTGTATGTCTGCGCCCGATTTACAACGTAATGAACGACAGACAGCTTGGTAGTGTTCACCCGCTACTGTCAATATATATATATAATCTGAAATCGGTATTTTATTGTCATATTTTAATAGCGATATTTATCGTCGGCGGCTCCAAAACCATGCAAATTAAGATGTAATGTCATAACAATTATTTTTTTTTAAATGGTAGACTGATTCTCGGTGTCGATATCTGAATTCGCTGTGGATGGGACTAGTCTATCTTACAGACCCTGATACAAATATATATCAAATACAGCCCATGCAAGTCTATAATGTTTGGCAAGTCTAGATCACTGCAGTATCTGTAAATGAAGAGAGTCACTGGGCTCCTTTTTATTATATTTTTATTAAGATAACTGAACAACTGTTTTTTATGTACGATATGTTCATTTCAGAGACTAGATGTTTGTCTATGGATGGGACGCTCGCTGTGGTATGATGTATCAGACGAACCATTCCATTTGAACAACGCCACCTATCAGCTTATTCTTCAACTAAGTCGACATACCTGAATAGTGTTTGAAAAAACACCTGTCTGCATGTGCGATAACCAACTTCCATGTATGGGAAATATGTGATCCTTCATTCAGTATTTATGAGGATGCATGAATTTGAGGAATCTCGCTGTTACCGTGAAAACATATACTCAACACACTGACGTACAACCTTGTCAATTATTCCCTGTCATTGCCAGGGGATGTCGTGAGATTTTTATCGAAAAACAAAAAATGTCCCCGAAAATTGTTAAAAATAATAATAATTATGCTTCATGTTGTTGGAAAATATACTGTTGCAATGTGCTTTTTTTAAAAAAAAAAAAGAGAAGAAATATTTTGGTTGATTAAAGAAAGGTTTTAAGGAATGTGTTTTTTAAAAACAATATTTTGGTTGATAGTTATAATTAAAGAAATATCTGGTTTTGCAGCTACAGCTGACTATCTGGTCTCAATACAAAAAAAGCTAGTCTATATTATCCGCCGAAACAGATTCCATTTGGCGTAAAAGGCAAAACAAACTATGAAAATGATATGACTGGACCAGTGAAAATAAGTGATGACACCAGGTGTTCGCGAAAAGGGTAAGCATGTCCTGCCCTTCCCATACTTTGCATTAAAAGTAAGAATATATTACCTGACTCACGTTGTGTACAAGTCGTTATAAGTATAGAGAGGCTAGACCGACGGCACCAGGGCACGATGACACGCGGTTGATCAAGTCTGGCTGCCCGACCCACGTTGTCAGGCTCTTACAACAAGCAGCAGCCAGGTCCGACAAGCACTGTCTGAACTTATAAACCTACTGCCACTGTTGCCAATTGTATTGTAGATATATTTCTGTCTCATTAACCTCTGAGGAAGTTTCACTATTTCCAAGTACGAGCTCATCCTGCGTGTGAGGTTTCAATTTTTGTAAGTATTTAAGATGTCATGACTTTGTTTTGTCTATTCTTCACGTGTATCGTCTCTCGCACGCTTTGATCGTATTCCTTTTATACCGCGACACACTGTATTGTTTCACTATTAAGTATCTCGATGTTTTCATATTTTTTCTGTTATGTCTTGCATTAAGACGGTTTATAAGTGCGGTCAGGACGAGGAAGTAAGACATCGGCAATCGGGTATCGGCAATGCAGACCTCGGAGTTTCGCTCTAACATTGCCTCATCTAACATTGCCTCAAAGGTCGCGTGTCGTAACACGCAAACTCCAGCACATTCAACGATCGGCATGCAGATAAATGAACACATGTTACATGCGAAAGTAGAACACTTGAGTGACCCCTGACACGGGACGTCAGATCCTATAGTGGTGTTGGCGGTGAGAGAGCCTTGGGAGAAAGGCATAGGCTCGTTACACCGTAGACGCGGGTTCAATTCCGAGATACCAGACTTGATGTCCCTCGCCATGATGTCCCTTGCCTGGTATGTATCTCGCCACCTCCTATCACTGTGTATCGCGCTTTGTTGATGAGATCAGACTGTGCCTTCTGAGATAAACCCAGTACTGTGTGAAGGACAGTGAGCCTGAATGTTGTTTTATGCCATAGTCATCACACATGTAAATAATCGGGCCTTGGTTAGGCAAAGCAGTGACTGGAAACATGGCCAACGGTCCACGTATATGAGTGAGTGAGTTGTGATTAACGCCGCTTTGAACAGAATTTTAGTTATATCACGGCGTGTCAGCTTAATAAGGGAAGAAAGCCCGAAGTGATGCAGGTCTCAGACGTTCACCACACCGGTGAAACCCACAAGCACGGGTATGGTGCTGACAAACCTAGAAACATAATCGGGGCAAATCGGGATTCGAACCCACAATCATAGGTTTCTGGTGTGCCCAAGGGACCCAACTCTGCACAGCGAATCGCGACGCCTTAGACGACTGGGCCACCCCCACCCCTACCCCCACCATCGTGAGATATCTAGCACCTGTTATTGGATGATATTCTGTAAGCATTATATTTTTTAAATGTACATCCATCCAGTAATTAAAACTGACCATCTTTTTCAATATTTGGCGCTGGTCTTTTTAACATGATGACATGTTGAATGTGAGCACAGATATTTTCAAGTTGGTGACATTTGGTGCGGAACTGGGGCAAGTGTGATCAGCTTGTACATTCGTCACCACTCGCCCCTTTCCGTCACCTGCTTTTCGGCTTGTCCCGGAATAACACGAGTTGGTCACGAATGCAGCTTGTACTCGGAAAAGGAGCTGGCTGCGCTAGCCAGAATTTGTTTTGTTTTTAGCTGCTTTAAGGTCAGACTGTGCATTCATGTACATGTACTGGCAGTTGAGTGCCTAGGTTATTTAAAACAAATATACAACGTAACTATAGAAGTCTATGGAAAACATATAGTTTTGTGTTACCTTCAGCTGGGTCCCTGATATATATAGATAAGAAGAAGGTAAATATAGTACACCAGAACGATCGAAAGACACGGTCGATGAAGTAAGATCATGTGGATGTGTCCTCTGTGTGTTGGCCGAGGACAGATTAATTTCCACGAAATATTGATTGCTGTTCTATTGAAAGTAGATGTACCTGGATTTGAAAAGGTGACATAATACTGCTATTTCAGTTGAGAATTATTTATATCTGTGTGGGCGGTGAACAGGGGAATTTCCCCGAAATATTGATTGACTGCTGTTGGCGGAACTATTAAACGTGTTTGTACCTGGAAATGTAAGGTGAAAAAATGCTGGTATTTCAGGTGAGCGTTGTATGTTTGTTTGTTGTTGTACAAATTAGTCAACAATATAGTCATTGGGTTGAATTCTTTCGGGACAATTATAAAGAGAATATGTGACTTCAAGACTTTCAAGTGACAAAACCCTTTCCATAATCGTAACAAATCAGAGGCCACTGTACGATTCTGACTAAATCATGAGCATGTGTTTATGAATCATTATCATACACCTATCACCTGTAGAGCCAACATGGAGACGGTCATATCACAGTGGGTGTAATAACAAGACCTGCGCTGCGTTTCACCCTCTGCAGGGCTGATATGGCTTATCAGTGCATTTTGAATGAGCGATCCATATCAGCCCGGGTGGTAGAAATTGGAGTTCCGTCCCTTAGTGCGTCGTCTACTCGGCCAGTTTTCCCGTGACAATGTCATCCAAACAAGGTGAAAATGTATTTCATTCACTTGTAAATTACTATGTTGTAGTATATGATAAAAAGGTTATTATGTGGCAGTTTTCATATCATACCCAATATCCTGATATGAGGGTCTTCGGTATATTGGGAAAACTGGCATATAGTAACCTCTACATATCAAACAGTGATGATACCAGGTGTTCGAAAAAATGTGTCGTATCAAGCCTCAACAGGGGCACCCATCACACACACACACACACACACACACACACACACACACACACACACACGCAATGACAAGTAATTTGATCGCCTGAAATAAATATTTGGAAATGTTCTCTACTTGTGTACCATTACACCCTTTCCAAGCGTCACTGAGAATGTAACTAAAATGAAATATAATTATAATGAGGTGTTTAACCTCAACTTCAAGATTATTGCAATTTTTTTTAGCGACGTGCATGTACGCGGTTGTGTGGCTATTTCTATTATAGCCTGCTGTGATGCCATGCTACAGCTTCAAATTGATACCCACCTCAGACACATTATACTGACTCGGAGGCGACCAGTCCTTGTTTTATTGCCGAGCGCCAGGAAGGGTAGCAGCAGGTACATATGTCATCTTTTAACCTACAGTAAAATACGGTTATAACGAACTCAAAGGCACCACTAAATTTAGTCCGTTATAACCGTAGTTCGTTATAGGCACATTTACAGCATACATAAAGCACATTGACGGGACCAGAAAACAGTTAGTTATATCCGTCAGTTCGTTATAAGCGTGTTCGTTATAAACGTAGTTTGCTGTATTTAGGAATGACGTGACAAGGGCATCTAAACCCTGAACTTCCCAACTCAATGTAGACGCTCTATCCACTGATCTTCCCAAGACTATTCAAGTCAGCAGACATCCGCTTCGTAAACTGCCATACAGATTTCGGTCGCTTGCAGGATTTGGAGAGGATGTGTACCGACAACTGGGCGTCAACCGATAGTTTCAAGGGCGGAAACTGGACTTTTACAGTCAGTTAAGTCCCTTGCCTAGGGAAGACGCTTTCCACTGGATAACAGAATGAGTGGGTATGGTTTTACGCCGCTTTTAGCAATATTCAAGCAATATCACGGCGGGGGACACCAGAAATGGGCTTCACACATTGTACCCATGTCGGGATTGGAACCCGGGTCTTCGGCGTGACGATCGAACGCTCTAACCACTAGGCTACCCGACCGCCCCGGATTACAGAGGCGATGCGACATGAATGCAGATGAATAATGTGTTTGGTTTGCATGGATCACTCAGCTGCCATCACTGTGTAATGTCCTGTAAATTCTATTTCACAATGATATTGCTGAAGGATAATGACATTGGAACAGTATCATGATTTGATCTGCTTTTAACAAGATATTTTTCCATTACTAACTTTGAAAACTGAAATCATTGGTGCATATTTCATCAAGAGAAGTTGGTTTCAGATCTCCAAAAGCCAGGATTAAAGATTCTGAAATGCTTGAAACAACAGGGAACACGAAACGAAAATCCACTGGAATGAGACAGTTACGCTACAGTGGCTCCCTCAGGTAAACCCAGAATGTATGGTCGACAAACACCTATCAGATCTACATCAACTGCAAAGTCTGTCTCCAAAGCAGATGGGCAATTATGTGGATCTTCGTCAAAATCTTCAGCTACCAAGATACCTCAAGTGAAATATCCCCCACGGTCTAAGGAGGATAAACATGAACTATCACCTGTGAAAGACACAAAACACCCAACGGCTTCAAGTACCCATGCAAAGAAAGAGAGAAGTGAACTTAATTCAAAATTACGAGTGTCAAAACAAGATGACACACATCCCCTTTTCCCATCTGATAAGGTCAAACTACCCAAAGTAAAATATCCTCCCCGGACAAAGGAGGAAAAACGTGAACTATCATCTGTGAAAGACACAAAACATCCAGTAATATCAGCTTCAAGTTCTTGGTCAAAGAAAGAGGATAACCAAATCAGGCCAAAATTTGATCATTTAAATGTCTCTCCAATGATAGAAGATGAAAATAAACTAACCACAGCACTATTGAAGGAGAAATGTACGACGACGAGGCATAGACGTGCTAATTCTAATCGTCTTGTTAAAGCAAATGTGTCTTTGCCGGGAAATAATAATGACTGTTTACTAACCAGACAATCAAAGACGGCAGGGAAAGTTGAACATGAAGAAGAAACTGCTGGGGATTCAACAACAAAAGGGCAACCACAAAGAGAATGTGGAGAAGAAGAAATGTTTTCAACCTCAGGAGTGGACCTGCCTTTTTCGTTTAAAAATAATTCTTTTCTACATAGTGTTTTCAAACCTGTTATTTCATTTTGCATCGAAAATACATCCAGGATCTCAGTTTTTGTCCGGAGAATTATTATTTATTGCATTTCAAAGTTAACTTTTCAGCATTTTTCAGACCAAATTCAAGGGAAATCCACTGATAAAATGAAATCATGTGACCATAAGGTTACTAAACTATCAACTACCAAGTCACAAATATGTCTTAAGCAGGACTCTTGGCAGTTGGCAAGAAGTTTTGAAAAAACAAAAATATGTCATTCACAGAAGACATTCACCAGACACAAACACTATAACCTTGACACATCAAAGATGGATGCATTGGTCAGTGGAATGGTAGACAGACATATCATTCGCAACTCTGACAATCCAACAAGGGACATCAAGTATTTTTTTGAAAATGAAGTTAAGATGGAGCAGAGGGACATCCAGCCGGCGTTGGTGCACTATAAATGGTTGAGAGAAAAGATTGTTGGACGATTAAACAGTGAGATGAACTTTGGGACATGGAAGGTTTGCAATGCAGGGTCGCATTTTGATGGCACTAAGGTAAGAATATGATCATTGCAATATAAGTTTTTGTTTCCTAAAGTTATTACAAATATTGTTTGTCGTACATTTGGGAATTCTAATATTTTTAACACGTGACGTAAGAATACTGACATAAAAAATTAGATTTATGAGTCACATCCTTCTACAGGTGGCTCGACCAAATGAAATGGACTGCACAATGTTCCCAATTCTTCAGACCAAACTTGAGGCTGTGTTTGATGACACCTGCAAAGCTGGAGCCTGCAAGGTGAAGGTCATCGGGGATGTGGATGACCACGAGGAGGATCTCCGGCTATTCCTTGATGGAGGCTTTGTTAACTCTAAAAAGTTCAGGAAATACGTCTTTGAGAAGCTTGAACGTGTTCTTGAGAGTGATAGAAAGTTAAAGGGTTCGTTGATTTATGTCACATCTTCAAATTCATAAATGTCTGTCAATATGATGTACGGTTGTATAAATCTATTATTTTTGAGACGCAACATCAGTTTATCAGCATACAGTTTAACTTCACACATTTGAGGTTGAGGTCTTACTACCAGCAGGAAACACAAATTACTACAAATACGTTTTGTTTCAGATGCTCGCAAGTTCAAAGATTCACAGTCTTTTGCAGTCAGGTATGAGGGTATTCCATCTGATGAAGGGATGAAAAGTATTGACATAGACTTTGTGCCATCCTTAAACATTAAACCCTGGCCTAGAAAGAACGTTTCCCGAGACATCACAGACATTCTCCCAGACCAACGGAAACGTACAGCTGCATCAATTAAGAAATATGGATTCAATGCAACACCGAAGTTCTGGTATCAAGGTTAGTAATTAACGATGGAATATTTATGCTAGCTCTATATGTTGATGCATCAATTAAGAAAAATGAATTCAATGCAACACCGAAGCTCTGGTATCAAGGTTAGTAATTAACGATGGAATATTTATGCTAGCTCTATGCATGTATGTTGATGCATCAATTAAGAAAAATGGATTCAGTGCAACACCGAAGCTCTGGTATCAAGGTTAGTAATTAACGATTGAATATTTATGCTAGCTCTAAATGTTGATGCCCCTGAGAGGGGCATATAAACCTGATCTTAAATTGTTCATACAAGTTGTATACAGAAATGTGTAGACATGAAAAGACAAGACAGATAATCAACCCATCTCCTGCAGAAGATCTGCTACTGAATTTCAAAGAGAGTTTGAGATTGCTGATAGCCCCAGTCATCCTATTTTCTTTGAAAAATAATTAGTAAGTCGATTTTGTCTTTGGAGAAATTTGGGGGGACCTCATGCACATGGGGGTACGTCTAAGGTGCCTCACCTCTCAATGAAGACTTGTGTCCTAATTATGTGTCTAGGTCAGCACCATTAGTGTGCTCATGGGTCTTGCTTAATCGGGGCTTTCACCTGCATTATGTTCACCAACTTTGGTAGAAATTCGGAATTGTTCAATATCAACTGTTGAACTGTTTTAAACAGCAAATGTACATATCTGAAGAAATCCTTGAAAATATCTTTCTTTTGAAAAGCAAAAGATCCAGACCTCCTGTGGCAAGTTTCCTTTTCCTATGCAGAGAAGGCCATCACTAAACATGCTGACAAGATTTCTTGGAAACCATCACTTAGAACATTGAAAAGAGTCTTGGAAATTGCAAAAGGCAACAGTGATTGTTGTGCCAAGGGTAACAGTCCAGAACTCGTGCAGATCCAGGAAGCAGTGAGATATGTCAAGGAGCATAATCCTAAACTGCGTTCCTCCCGACTGACGACATACCACATCAGAACACTCATGTGGTGGCAGCTGTATGATCTTACAGCAGGGGAGCACGTATGGAGGCAGGAAACAATGGCTGCAAGATTCCAGGACTGTCTCCGGAAGTTCCAGAAGATGATGACAGGGGAGATAGTGGTGCCACACTTCTTCCTACCCCAGATCAAGAACATCTTACCGTGGATACCAGAAGAGGAGAGGGTATTTCTCTATGTCATAGCAAAGGCAACTGAGGTTGTGTTCACACAAAAAAAATGACCCTCAAACTTGATTCATTATAAAAAAACTGTTAAGTCATTGCTATATATTTGTCAGTCCATCTTCAAGGTACAGAGGAGAAAATGAAAACAAACATAATTTTCATTTGAGTTTTTCTGCTCGTGTTTTGTCAAGCCCTGTCTACTTTAGTACATTGAAAGTTGAAATATGGAATTGTCCTATCGCCAGATTCTTTACTTGATAATTTTTAACTTCTCCATTTTATATCCTTCTCTATAGTTTTTGTCCAGTTACAAAGCAAATTGAGGATAACAGATTTAACAGCAAAAATAACTGTGTACAATTACACTGTTTTTTTTATAATATTGTTACTGTGTGTCAGTCATACCAGGGAGTGTAGAAAAAGGGGACTCGGAACTGGTCCCTTTCCACCATATGTTTGAGTTGCAATGTCTCTGCACATCGACACGTCTCTCTCCGCGTCTCTCCCACATTCAGTGATTTTGCATTTGTTAAAAGTTGTCCATTTACATTTAGATTTGACGCTTCACAAGATGAGAAGCTGTAACTAAATAAACTAAAGCCCACAAAGCCTTCTTGTATTCGGTCTCCCTTTGTATCATGCGAGTGTGACAAATCCTGTTAAAGTGATTCATGAAATGCTTTTATTGTAATCACCCTAGAAGACAGGTCTATTTCGAAATGAGTATTAGAAACACACGACATTTCTTAATTATAACTTTTTTAAGTCAAGACAAATTGTTAGTCATGTTAGCAATTATATATACAGTCACTTTTGTAAATTGCTCCATTAGTCACCGTCTGGCCATACTGTCTTGGACTATCAACTGTACCATGAGCCCTGGTGTACACAAGTCCTGAATAAAGAATATGTCAGTAAAAGTTTTGTGACTCCATATTTGTACACCATGGCGTATGAAACGTTCACGCGTAGCCTCCTAAATTTAAATTTCTTTGGCAATAATTAATCTTTGTGAAAGAGAGCTTTATAGAATGTCCATTTTACCAAACTGCATGAAATATGATGTTTCATAGCACTGAAATTGGTAAAAACAAGCTCTTTTATTGCTCTGTGAAGCTCCGTGAAGATAAATATGAAGATTTGTTCAAATGTAATTATCGTTTTTCTACACTTGAAAAAGTGCTCTAGAACTACCTGGTTTCTTTTAAAACATGTTCACGACAAAGTGCGTGTCATTGTGCATTGTAATAATCATGTTCACATGTCTGTATTTTGGGCCATTGGCCTTTTACTGAATAAACATGTCTGTCTGTCTGTCTGTCTGTAATAATCTAATCATGTTTAAATATAGTGCATATCATTTTGCATTAAGTCAAATGTGGATAAGGTGTATAATTAAATTAAATGTACAATCAGAGTCACAGGCACTTGCATAGCACATATACCACCAGGAGTTACAATGAACTGTCTACACTATTAACATGATAATGTACAAATAAACCAAGCTTAGATACTGGTGATTGGAACATTTGACATGTGTGACTCATGGTATTTCTATGATACAGCAAATGGAAGCTTACAACGAAAGTATGTATGATTTCTACAACAGACTCCCAAAGGGACATATTCCCATTAAACGCTAAAAACATAAAAAGTAGGTGAGGTGAGGTGAAATGGGGTTTGACGTCGCCTCCAAGATTATTGCACTTATAAAGCGACGTGCATGCACGTGAATGTGTGTGTATGGCTGCTTGTACTAGTCCGGACTAATGCCGATTTATGGTGCTAGCACACTGAGATACCATGCCGCAGTTTAACATGAATACCCCACTCAGACACAGTATACTGACTCCGAGCCGACCAGTCCTTGTTTTAGTCCCTAAATGCTGAGCGCCAGACAGGGTAACAACAAGTATCATCTTTGAAAGTCTTTTCGTATGACGCAGCTGGGGACTGAACCCGGGACCTTCCGCTCTCCGGGCGGACTCTCTACCACTGGACCACGGAGGCGGTCACATAAAAAGTACCTACAATGACCCGGGTCTTTCCAACATTTAGACCCTAAACACGTTTAGCTGTTAAGCACAATCATAAACCTGTTTAGACCCTACACGCCTCAGAATTCTGGGAAAAGGGGTGCACTTAGATACGTGTTTAGGATCTAAACACAGTTTAACAATGTATGCAAACTAACATAATCAGCATCTCATAATACTTCAAGAACACAAAGTTCAGAAAGACAACTAAATCAAAGAACCTACAAAACCGAAACAATGTTCTTTATACCGCTTACCCAAGGGAAACACTACCTTCCAATTCCACGAATTGTGTATGAAGTAGGGATGCAATTCTGACCTCCTTAAGATCCTAAGGACCAATATAGATCACAAAGAAAATGTGATTTCACAAGTCTTCAAATCTACATTATGCCAGTGCTCTATTCTTGATCTTCAGATAAGGATAAGGATTAAAAGGAGTAAACAGTTGTGACACGCTGATTGGATCCTAATTAAAATAGTCTATTGCTTGATTAGATCTTCACAGGCAAAAGAGATGTAATACCCTTGATCTCTGCGAGATTTCTTTTAATGAAACTCTGGTGGTTTGGTTGGGAGGATTTAGACTTTGTCAAACAGAATTTGAATTTGCTGGCGGTCTGAGAGGGTTGATCTGCTCTCAGTTTTGACTGTTGAAGTGTCATGTTTTTTTTATGCATGTATCTTTTTAATCCTTATCCTTATCTGGCTTCATTACCCATGAACTTCATTGCATGTGTGCTATTTGTTATTCTTACTGTACATTGAAACGTCACTATATGCAATAAACCAGAAGTTGTTATCCATAAAGTTATGTGTCTTCTTACTTACTCGCCAACTTCTAGAATGCCAATCAAACAGTCAAATTGTATGGCCATTCGTGTCAATGTACATACGCGTTACTGGAACCGGCACGTCTCACACAACAGATATAATGGACTACATATTAGAACCTGTACAGTGGCTACATAATAGGTATACAATACGCATATAGAGAACTTGTACTTCATCATACAACAGGTACAATATACAAATTACTGAAACTTTACACAGGTCATATGGCAGGTAGAAGAAATTAGTTCATATGACCTATACATGGGTCATTCAAAAGCCATATACATGTGATAACTTGAATAAATAGGGACATAATCATTGAGAACAGTTGGACACTGGTTGAACCAGAAACTACAGAAGCTGCTGTTTCCACAATATGGAGTGGAGGTAAGGAGTGGTACACTTTGGAGTGGAACGGTGTCCCACGGGGAGGGCCTTTGCGCACATCTGAGAGTGTTCCATCTGCAAATTATGTCATCAAATATTAATACAAGTACATATTGGAAAATTGCATAGACTCTGATGGGTGCCAAAGAATAGAGGTACATATATGAAATGAATCTTGTTTTGGTTGTATCACCTGAAGAAGCTGTGACAACATTCTAAATGGCTGAAAATATCCACATAATAAATGGGGGAACTTGGTGGCTTTACATCAATTTGACATACTTTTCGTTTCAGCTCATGTATCATGTCAACCAACATATGCTGGATATACTTCTGATGCACACTACAGAACCATATACCCAAATGGTGCAAATCCATACATCTAACGAACAAAGGTATTCATTATAATGTTCACTAACCTTCTCTAGCTCTGATATAATCATGGAGAGTTCTTATTTGTTGCTGTCCTGTGTCAGTCGTCCTCCTTGGAAGCAGTGCCGTGAGTCTCTGGGAGGTTGGGGACATGCCAGGGATATATTCAAGCAGATGACATAAGTTCCATTTTCGTATGACTTCTAAAATCTGCAGAAAAGGTTAAAACAACACCATGATAGGCGATGATAATGCAGTAAATTTCAAAGATTGACATATACTTAGTCAAATTAAAAACTTCACATTTTTAAAAGTAATCCCATATATGATAAACAACGGACAAATGTATCAGAGTAGGTAATTTTTAATCATTAATGTCCAAAGAAGGATTTTAATTAACGGTGGTAACCATAATTTGTTCGAAGCACCTACGGTATTCGGTAATAACATCAACAGTTTAAATCATAAGTCCCAAGCACGAGAATCTGATGGCACACAAGTTCAGTAGCGTGTATGGCCATCATGTGCGTTGACAACTGCCACACAACGCCTCCGCATGGACCTTGTGATGCTTGTGAACACATGATTGGGAAGACGACGCCATTGTTGCTGCAAAATGGTGCCAAGATCTTGCAAATTCTATGGTTGGTTCTGGAGAGTGCGCAGATTTCTGCCAAGAGCATCCCAGAGGTGTTCGATGGGATTGAGGTCGGGAGACCTTGACGGCCAGTCCATGATGTTGACTCCCGCATTCTGAAGGAAATTCCTTGTCAAAATTGCTGTGTGGGGTCTGGCCTTGTCGTGTTGGAAGATCAAACCGGGTACATGTGCTGCCATAAAAGGCAGAAGTTCTGGTGCCAGTACCTGGTCGCGGTAAGCAGCAGCGTTGAGGTTGCCACGGATGACAAGAAGTCTGGAACGTGCATTGCCACAGAAAGCACCCCACACCATGACACTTCCGCCTCGAAATCTGTCAACTTCCTGTACACCACACTGGGCGTAACGTTCATGACGGCGCCTCCAAACCCTCGCCCTACCATCAGCAAATCGAAGATTAAATCGGGATTCATCACTGAAGACGACTTTATTCCAATTCCTCTGAGTCCATCGTAAGTGTCGCTGTGCCCACAATTGACGTTGACGTCTGTGTAATTGAGTCAGAATCGGCCCGCAGTATGGCCGTCGTGCTTGAAGGTGAGCAGTTCTCAGACGGTTTCGAACAGTTTGCGCACCCAGTCTACCCCTAAACAGTTAATTTCTGGTTGATGTAGCCGTTAAAAATCGGTTATGGAGTTGAAGTAAGACAATCTGACGATCCTCTGCACGTGACGTCACACGTGGTCGACCTGTCCGAGGGCGATCAGCGGTGGCACCCGTTTGCTGTAGACGCGTCTGTTAATCATAAACAGTCCGTCGACTACAACCCATCGTCCTTGCGACTTCAGCTATGGACGTTCCCGTCTGCAACATGCCGATGGCACGTTCACGTTGCACATGTGAAAGGCGTGGCATGACAAATGGCCGTAAAGTCTTTTGTTTTCTTGTGTTTTTTGTGTTTTTTGAATGACTGCTAACAAGAATAGCTGAAAACACGGGGGGGGGGGGGGGGGGGGGGGGGGTGCTGATCAGTGCTGATCGATTCACCTGCACAAAAACGGGTGTTATCTGAAGACAATACGTGGCCATTACTGTTTAAATACACAATAAGGGCCCACAATGATAACTGGTCAAAACGTTAAAATTTTAAGCTTGTGAAGTTTTTAATTTGGTTCAGGATATATACATACATTTTATCAAGCTATGCGTGTGATTAACAAATGATAACTACTGATTATTGCTGTCACATCCGTTGAAGTGTAATTATAACATTGTTTCAGTTGATGAACTTCGGTATATGCTCACCCCACAGTGTTGTAGTCCCTCTGTAAGCTGGTTCAACATTGGTTTGCTGCTGAACAGCACAAAGTGTTGGATACACCCTTTGACAAACTCAGCCCTAGTAGCCATTGTGACATGTGATGGGAGTGTGTCTATGGATGCCCTCCACTCACAGATCTTCAAGGCTTCGTGCAGTTCACCCTCGGTCTCAGCACTTTGCACCTGTCAGAAGAGCAATGTCTGGAGTCACTGAAAAATGCTGGTTACAGAACAGTTTTGATTTTAGCTGTAGTGTAAGAAAGTTTCAATTGACATGTTCAATCTAGTTCAGAGAATACCATATCTTACAAAGTTCACCTTAAGGAAAAGAATTTATGGATGTCAACTTACTCCTTCATCAGGTGGTCATTCAGTGGTCATCCACCTGATGAAGGAATAAGCACATACTTCGAAACGTTGTGTTCCTCACCATAAAGAAGTTGACATCCATACATTCTCTTCCTTATGTGTATGACTTCTAAATGCCTCTCTAAGACTTGAAAGTTCACCTTGCTTAAAGCATCTCTAATGTGTGGATATGGCACATGTTCTAGTGATGCACATGTGTTGACTCCTAGGATGGCATCTGCTACAGGTCGTGCGAAGATAGCAGCACCTTGTCCTCCCTGAGCTATGATGGTGGCGAGCATGACCCCCAGAACCCGGAAGTAGCCTTGGTCTAATAGTGATTGGCTTGGACGGATACATAGGCCATGTTCATTGCCTGGTAACATAATTGAAAATGATTTGTAACAGTGCATTATGAAAAGTGAGACTTATTTGTTTAATGATAAACTCTCAGGAAACAAAGGATCTGCTATTATTATTCAGTGATCTATGAAACTGAAATCAGTAAGTAAAATTATGGCATGGTTAAATGAAAAGTTTTACATACGAAAGTCTCTTCTAAGAGAACAAACATAAGGGCATGGTGTATAGCATCTTCCCGAGGCAAGAGTGTAAACTGGAAAAGTTTCCACCCTTGCCGAACCAGGCTGGAATTCCTCGCCTAGATCGTAGCGCCACCAGTGGCTATTAGGAGTTATGTCCCTTCTATGCCTCTCATATGGACCAATCAGATTCAACCTCTCGTATGACTTGTTTCAAACAAAATGGCGGCGCCCAGTCAAGACGATCTGGACGATAATCAAGAACTATATTGTGATAAGACGGTCGCTAAGAGCATCAAATCACGTGAACACCTTAATTAAAAACATGGAAAAAAATGGAAATATCAGTTGACAACGAGTTGCGCTGTACCTGCTTTGCAAATCCTAATCAAATGAAATCTGCATGACAGTTTAAGAAAAGGATTTCGATTTCGTTGCGTGAGTTTGATTAGGGTATGCATAGTCTGGTTAGTCCAGCCAATATCTAACTCCATAATACCAGCCTAGTTCGGGAAGGGTGGAAAGTGGACTATTATAGTCAGTTAATTCTCTTGGCTCGGGAAGATGGGTTTATAGCAGTTGATTGTGAATAAGATACATATATATCTTTCTGTTTTCTCGATTAACCCAAGTGACGATTGCTCCATTACTTACCATGTACCATTTTGCTGTCAGTGATGATGACATCCAATAACAGATTCAGATATTCCTTCCTTGAAGAATCGGCGTCAACAACAGCCTCCCGATGCCCCTTACCATCCTCAAACACCACCTACAAAACATAAATGGCGCCAATGCTGTAATAAATATGTCATTTAAAATAACATAAGTGTCTTCTGGTTTGGATTCCTGCTTTTAAAAAATTGTTCTTGCCTCTTAAACATAAATACTACTCACCATCAAACTATTTGCAGAGTTGGCAACTGCGACAGTGCAGAAGAAGTTAATGCTGCTGTCCCACACGTCCTGTCTATCGACCATGATGATTACAGAGGGATATCTCACACATCTCTCAACATGATCCTGAAGTGCTATGGCTTGTACCCTCTCAAAGGGGTCTTCTCTGATAACAGATCAGGATGTTGTTTTTAAAAAGATTGTTCAAGAGTCATATTTTTTTAGTAACTATTATACGTTTATATTTTACTTCTTGAATAATAGTGAAAGTGAGATATATCAAATCATTGTTTTGGAGATTGTACATCTATAACAGAAACCATGATCCTACATACGTATCATGTTGGGGATTATAGTGATGAGATTTTTTAAATCCGTTCCTTGAAGGCTCATCGTTGATTTCCATTGCTGAAGGCCTGGTGTAGCTTTGTTTTTCTAATAACTGTCCCTGAGGATCTTCACCAGACACGATCTCTTGGTCTAATGACTGGTTCTCAGGGGAATTTTCATCACTGTACTGGTTTTCTTGTGGCTCAAATTGATCCGTAACACTTGTATCAATAAGTCCCATGGGTGTTGCTTCGGGAAGAAAATCCATTCCAATGTATTCTTGGTCAGCTCCCTCTTCACTGAGACTCATCATGTGACTCTGTTGCTTTTGATATAAATAATTGCTTGTCTGACGATCAAACGAAGCATTTTGACTTCTAAGGTCGACAAGTGCCCGAGAATTCGTGTGTGCACACCTTTGCAGGTGCTGTGGTGGAGTTAGAACTAGTCTCTTCAACCGTGTATCAAATTTAACGGAAAATGAGCTGATGATACTTAGGTCATGACGATGTTTCGCTGATCTGGTGGAGGTTATCACATGTCTTGAATGACAAGCGTGATCACCGGGACTCATACCAGCATCGCTACAGCTGGAACAAATCGTCTTCATTGCTTTTGGTCGGTAGGTGGTCTGCCTCAACCCAAGCCTGCATTTGACCAGGTCTTTGAAGCTTGCACCACAGTGGGGACATGGTTTCATGGCGACAACGACTGTACAGTCCCAGCCTCCTCTCCGGGAGAAGACCTTTGAGGTGTTACTTCTCCTCCTGAAGACAGGTACCCCTGAACGACACCAAGTACAGCTTATACGCATCGTGTAAACCTATGACAGAAATAGCATTTCATTTGTATTGGTAGAATGAGGACTAACCCTAAATTCTCTGTCAATCTCTTCATATAACGTATAGCCTTTTATGATGTATGGCTATTGTTAGCAATGAGACAAACCAACCCGGTAAATTTAGTATCTTGGTCTGATAAATATGCAAATGAGCTCGCTTAGCAGGAACTACTTTCAAGATCAATACATCGCTGCAATGGCCTCCTCCTGTGTAAAGTATTGACTAACGTCCTGATGTTTAGATAGGGTTTTCGCAATGTGTTGCTGTGTTTCTGCAGACATGGATGCAATTAATTTGGCACCATATGATAAACTTGGAGGTTCTTTCAGACATTGTATTTATACACCTTTTTCAGAAGCTTCACATATCCTTACTTCGATATATTCTCTTCCTTGCTGTTTAACATTGTACTTTTATGATAATGGTGAACCTGTCTCAACTCCTGTGGGACGGAACGTTTAGTCTGGTTTAGACAGAGGTCTGGATCAGTGAGGTATGGCTGGGGATAAAGTAACAGGAAATAAAGAATGGTTGAAAGATATTATCGTAGCAAATTCAGAATTACATTTGAAGGTTTTATTATTTCTGTCAGCTCTTCAATTTGTTCATTCATTTCTCAGAACAAGAAGTAAAAATGTTCATTTCTTCAGAATGTCTTGTGAACGATTTATTTTAGTGTTTGCTAAAACTGGGAACAGGTTATTTTTCCAGCATTTTAGGGAACAGACTATTTTGGTGTGTTTGTGTGTGTGTTACTTTGTAAGTGTGTGGTGTGGTGTGGTGTGGTGTGGTGTGGCGTGGTGTGGTGTGGTGTGGTGTGGTGTGGTGTGGTGTGGTGTGGTGTGTGTTCTTGTACTAGTCCGGACTAATGCCGATTTATAGTGCTAGCTCACTGAGATACCATACCGCAGTTTAACATAAATACTCAATTCAATTCAATTCAATTCGGTTTATTTTCGTAAGTGTAGGCCATCGGCCCATAGTTACATTTGTATTACAATGGACGTGATGTACACAGCTGTTATTGTTGTGGCAATAATGTACTACGAAGTGACATCGCTTGATAGATATAGATAGCTAGACGTTCAATTAATTTACAATCAGTTGTAGACATAATGATATTAAATTTTTGTATGGTCGGATATTCATAAAATGTCTGTGGTAAGTGATCCATGCGTATCTTGTTATAACCGGGGCAAACTAACAAAAAATGAAACTCGTCCTCCACATACCCAGCATTACAAACACAACATAGTCTTCTGTTACGTGGGATATCAGCATATCTCCCAGTTTCAACACACAGCTGATGCAAAAAACATCTAAATCGAGCTAGCGCCACTCTCAGTTTACTGACGGTCATACAGCTAAGATACAACTCTGTACCAAACGATACCTTGAATAGAGAATACGAGAAAGATTTACTACCCTTTACCAGAAGACTATGCCAATCCTGTTCATAACTACATTTCAGACGCGACATAAATTCTGTCAAAAACGAATGAGGATGACTAAAACACTGGTTTTCCCATACAGAGCCAAAACCCAAACGGAACAATAAAAATTTACATTTTGATACCCAATTAATTTTACCATTACTTTCTGCCTGAAGCATCATATTATAACATTTCTTTGGAAAGCGACAATCGCACATACTCAATAACCTTATCCAATAACCAATAACTCTTTTGTATGCATTAATATATAATGGATACCGCCCACATTCACCTCGAACCATGTTGTTGGGTGTTGACGATTTGACACCTAGAAAGCGCTTGCATGCCAATGTATGTATAGTTTCCATTTCATCATTCTGGTGTAGACCCCAGACTTCGGAACCATAGAGCAAAATTGGGACTATTTTCATATCAAATATTTTAAAATATAAGTCATATCGAAGAGGATGTATTTTTATCAATGACTTTAAAATTCCAAACATTGCTTTTTTCCCCTGTAGACCAGCATTAGAAAAATGACTTGACCAGGACAGACTTCTCGTAAAAGTAACGCCCAAATATTTACAGGAGGACACACACTCCAACTTTAGACCTTTATAGTACCAAATCTCTTTTCTTGACAACACTCCGCCTTTCTTAAAAACAACCACCTTGGTTTTATCCAAATTGACATCTAGATCATAATCATTACAATATTTTTCTAGAACATCAATACGCTTCTGAAGTCCACCTATAGTATCTGCGATTAAAATAATATCGTCTGCAAATAATAACAGGAATATCTCTGTAATATCAGGATGAAGTTGTATTCCTGGTCCAGAATTCTGTTCAACTTCAGCAGCTAGTTCGTTAATAAACATCGAGAATAAAAGGGGGCTTAACACACAACCCTGACGTACTCCTCTTGGACACTGAAACATTTCAGAAAATGTATGTTTAAATTTAACACTGGCCTTAACAGCTGTATAAATAGACCGTATAGCTTTTATCATTTTGCCAGCGACACCTTTATTAGCTAGCACTGACCATAATTTCATCCGGTTTACACTGTCGAAGGCTTTTGCAAAATCGACAAACAAACCACATACCCTACCCTTACGCTTACTAATATATCTCTGGATAATACACTGTAATATAAAGATATTATCTATGGTGGAGTAATCATGACGAAAACCAGCCTGGGACTCTGCAATTTTACCATAGACCTCACACCAAGACGTGACCCTTCTGTTCAAAATAGAAACATACAACTTACTCAGTGCACTAAGGACTGATATACCCCTATAGTTGGATGGGGAATGGATGTCTCCTCGCTTATGTATCGGAACAATAATTCCCAAAGACTAAGATTCAGGAAAGTATGCATTATCAAACAAATTATTAAACAACACTGTAAGATACGGGACAAAAATATCATTCGCATATTTAAAAAATTCTGAAATGAGGTGGTCATTTCCTCCGGATTTATCAATTTTCAAAGAGTTGATAGCACAAAGCACCTCCTCTTGTGAAATGGGGGAGTCCAGAATATAGCAACTCATATCATCATGACGTGTCGGTGTTAACCATATCTTCAGCTCTCGGATTGTCAAACACATCTTTAAAATGATCGACCCATTGTTCTAGTGATATGTTAGGTACACGAGTTGCCGTACTCTTATGGTAGACCAGAAACATTTACTATTTGGAAGACTAGATAAAACCTTATTACGCATATATTCATTATAACTTTTCTTTTTATCACGTAATAAACTTGTATAAGTATTTCTTGATTTTAAATAACTAACTAAGGTGCTATCACTTTTAAGATGCCTATATATTCTGAGACACCTCTCTCTCTCCCACCTGTAGTACCGACACACGCTATCAAACCAGGGTTGTGTGTGACTGTCGCGAGACTTACAAGTCCTTTTCATGCACTGAGCAGCTGTACAAATGGCGTCCGTGAATGAGTTAATAGCACCATCTATATTATCTGGTAGTAACAGAGTACATTGTTCAAAACAATCAGCCACATGTGGCAGTACAAGATTATCCCTGAACTGTTGTAGTTTCGCCATGTCCCACACATAGTGGTAGTTTTCACGAGGCGCACGTGCGGCCCCTGCTGTCACAACGGGAATCTCCAGGTCACGTTCTTGAAATGAACAAGATAGTGGAAGGTGTGATGATTCTGCCCTGGACACAATATCAAATGTATAACAGAGGAAGAATAGACTGTTGGATACAATAATGTAGTCTATTACACTGGAGCCTGAGTGACCGATGTAAGTATAATCACCTATACCTAAATCCGTACCACAGCGACCATTTAGAATAGACATATCGAGAGCGGCACACATATTGACAAGATGTTTTCCGGCATTGTTTATAATGTTATCACATGACGCTCTATCTATGTTGATACTATCGGACATAACTGACATATTCTCGTCACCTAAAACCTCGGCGATATCATCATCAATATGATCAGACAGTGTCCCAGTCCGGGCGTTGAAATCCCCGCCTATGAGGATGTGTATATCTCTGTTTAGTGACCCAATAACTTCTATAAGTGAGTTGAAGAATAAAGTCAAACCACACTTAGTTTGTCTGTTATTAAACCAACTTGATCCTGGTGGGTTGACATATACACAGCAAATAAGAATGTCTTTCTCAAGATTAAATGCACTTTTATCGAAAAGTAAAAATATAGCATTATCTGCAATTCTGGACAATTTCACATAGACACTGATGGATTTTTTCACAATCACGGTTAAACCTCCCTAGAATCGTCCTCTGTCTGCTGTTTTAATTGCATTTAGGCTGTAGGCTGTAAAGTTGTGGAATATCTGGTCATAAGGAAAGTCAATTGTCCATGTCTCTATTAATCCAACAAGATCTGCATTAGATAAAAAGTTTATAAAGTTTACGTCGGAAACTTTATTTACTAAACCAGATATATTCCAGAAGAGAAGCTTAGTAGATAATACTTGTTTTGGACATCGACGAGAATTTGCTTGGACTGGACCACACCCCTATTTGCCAGCACTGGCCGTGTTATGACCACCTTGCTCAGCATCATCAGATCTCTCACCACTGTATGCAGCATATGCTGTGTCTTGGTTGGAGTCAGTAACAATAAGTACGCCATTCTTGAAGTATCCTCGTTTGTTTTGTACACGTAGTTCTTGTAGCTTATTCCGCTGTCTCTGTGTGAGATCGCTGGCGATTCCATACCCTGAACTTTTGATGTCACTACGTCGACTAAGGGAACATATTTTCCAGTCGATAGTGAGGAATTTGATAATAATTGGCCTTGGCCGCTTTGAATGTGAAGAACGATGCCCAAGTCTGTGAGCTTCGGCAATGTCATGTGGACGTATCTCAACGATGTCATCTGTTGTATTACCTGAGTTTAGAATGTCACAAACAACATCTTTACAACCAGTTTTGTTTTCGTCACTGTTTTCCGAAACTCCAAATAACAAAACATTGTTCTTTCTGCTATAGTGTTCTAGTCTTTCTACTTCGTTCTGTAGCTGTATAACTGTAGCTGTGGGTTCTGCAGGTGTACTGTGAGTCTGCTCTATTTGGTCCAAACGTTCGTTTACTGCCTCAATATCTAAACGTACTATAGCCTGTTCACCCTTTAGGTCTTCCATATTTCGCTTAATATCTTCCACGGTAGCACTGAGTTTGCGAGTTTGGGTTTTAATGTCCCTAATATCACGTGCAAGCTCACTTTTCATTGAACGAAGTTCCTGTATAATCTCTGATTTTGACGCAGTAAGTTCAGAACTGTCAAAACCTTTACCATTAGGTCCAGGATTTGTTTCCACGTCCCCCGAAAGTAGAATATTATCCCAGCAGGTACTGATGATACAGCTCGCGTTGTACATACATGTCAGTAACACCCATGTAGCAAGGACCCGATAGCCCACATCAACATACGGCGACCAATTCGAGTAAGGGGAGTAGGGCTCAAGATGGCCGATTTGACGAGTCCCTCGTGGTTGAGAGAAATTACCAATTCTCGCCCTCCAGAGTTCCAAACAGATGCCCATTCTACAGCTGAACTGTTCAGCAACTTTGTGGAAACCAATTTGTATTGTTTGTTGTATACTATAATACTCAGACACAATAGACTCCGAGCCGTGTGTGTGTGTGTGTGTGTGTGTGTCGGCGCGTGCGTGCGTGTGTGTGTGTGTGTGTCTCATTGGTAATGGATTTGATTTACGTCAGGCTCTTTTTGATAGGTGGGTGAGTGGGCGCGAGCATGGTTTTACGCGGCAATATCACGACTGTTACACCAAAAGTAGGATTTACACATCGTACCTATGTGTGGAATGGAACCCAGGCCTTCAGGGTGACGAACGAGGCGACTAATGGTATTGGGTGGTCAGGCTCGCTGACATGGTTGAAACATGTCGTCGTATCCCAGGTGCGTGGATTGATGCTCATGATGTCAATCACTGGATTGGCTGGGCCATACTCCATTATTTATAGACCGCCGTCATATAGCTGGAATATTGCTTAGTACGGCGTTAAACAAACAAACAAACAAACAAACAAACATAATTCACATTCCCCACCAGTCACTGATTAACATAATTATGAGATGATAGTGCTATTATGATTATTGTGTCAACACTGTAGGCACTGTTCGTGGAAATTTTCAAACATGTATGAAACATACCTGGAATATTCTGTCGATGAGTATCGCTGCCACACCTAGTCAAAACGAAAGTGAAAGTAGCTTTAATAACGATCAATAGTTACCTCACACGTGGGTTTGCCAGCCACTACATGAATAGCGGGTTGATACCAGAGGACAATTAAGTTTTCCGCATGCTTCAATATGACAGTGTCTGTCTGAACCTTTCCTCATATTTTGCTTGGCTTATAAATTGAATTGCTTAAATTGCTTCTCAGATTTTTGAAATATATTTTTAGTACGGTATTTAATTAATTCTATTCATCTGTAACTGGGAATATTGTTGGTGAATTGCATTTATTCAGTCACCGTTTTAATTCTTTAGTAGGTGTCCAGCATGTACAGCGAACAATTAAATTTGATTTGGCTGTTAGTTCTGAGGCAATTTATTTCTCAGATAGAAATGACTTAAGGTGGATGTTCACTGTATGGACACCATCTTCTAGGTTTATGAGTGAGTGAGTGAGTATGGTTTTACGCCGCTTTTAGCAATATTCCAGCAATATCACGGCGGGGGACACCAGAAATGGGCTTCACACATTGTACCCATGTCGGGAATCGAACCCGGGTCTTCGGCGTGACGAGCGAACGCTTTAACCACTAGGCTACCCGACCGCCCCTTTAGGTTTATGTCTCCATAATTGTAACAAAAATTGAAGTCAGTTCTTAAATAGCTGTACTATATGTAATTTTAAGAAAACTAAATTCGTATTTCCTTTGACAACTGACAAAGATCCTTTCAAGTAGGAAAGTACTGACACCCAGGTACACATACAAAACACTTTCTGTCACACTTTTTCAAGGTCTGTGTTCTGACATGATCAAAAACGTAAGTTTGGCCAAAATGAGTTAAACGTTTTGGCTAGTGATACAGGGCGTAGAAGGCTTCGAATCGCCCTCGTCCCGTTCGTATATCGGTACATCCAGCCTTCTAGAAACTGCTACCTCGCGGATCCAATGAACAATCAAGTGACCCCGGAAGTGTATCTACAACGATTCCCACTATATCATGAGCATGTGTTTATGCATGTCACTATCCAATAGTTATGGTACCAGGACTGGTGTTCGCAAAAAGGTTAGTGCATCCTGCCCCACCGGTGATACCCAGCACAAACACATGCAAAGGCAAGTCAATTGTTCTTATATTTTTTTATATCACTATTTTTTACCTCTTTCATACAATGTTTGGCCCTCACTCTACGTAGGTCCATACTGCAATGAACTCACACAGAGTGAAAGTGAATAAAGTAGTTCCTCAAAAAGAGAGGTGACGTGAGCGTATGTATGCTCAACTTGCTCTACAGGAACATCTGTCGAAGTTTGTTTAAAACAAATTTATTCAAATAATATCCACATTGGATGAGAAAGATGTGTTAACAACTACCTCAGTAAGTCATTCACAATGACAGCGCGTCGAAATATTAGTACATCAACTACAAGACGTCAAAAATGGCCGACACGATAAACGTGACGGGAGAGATTTCTGTTGTTCATGAACCTGTGGTGGTTACATATGTTGGTCATCACTGATCAAACGGCCTACCATTGAAAGGTGATTATAAAGATGTGACACAAAGGTAAATTCATAGATTTAGTCCAGACAGGGATCGAGTCGATACTACGATAGTTTGATATGTGCATTTCTTCGTTTTGTTGATATGTTTTGTATGATATTCGCGGACAACCATGCTGTCAAACTCTCTGACGTTTCTCAGTGTATGCTAAAACGCTTAGTTGAAGAATTACATGGTCTAAATGATCAGAAACAACGTTTCTGTGTGTATTCGTGCTAGGGAATTCCCGGGATTTCCCCTGGAATGTGTCAGTAGTCAGTCAGTGTTTACGTCATTTCAAGAATACGGTCTTGTGAGAAACATAAGTCAAATTTGCGGTCATGTGACCGACCTCTCGTCCAAATGGAAAAGCCATATATAGTGTAAACATTTCATTAACAAATTCAAATTTTGTATATAATTTTCGCCATAAGTGAAATAATTTTGAAAAACCCAGGTTCCCCTCACTACCGCATCAACATGAAGATAAGGCCGTCACTGTAACTGCATCAACATGAAGATAAGGCCGTCACTGTAACTGCATTAACAACAGTTTTGGATTTGGCTACCTCCTTCATTTAAACTTTGTTTGCAATGCTCGATTGTAACTATGGATATGTATTGACACTGTCTATTTTGCAGCTTATAATAGCTGATTGTACAGCATATATGTCTGACTGAATGAAACTGCATTAGAAAGGTGAAAGCGTTATATAATACGTCGCTGTAGATGTTCTTGGATGGACTGAACTGTTAAAAGCGAAAGTGTCCCTAGACTACTCACTAAAGTAAATAGACTGATCAACAATGTTCAGCCGGGTACCTCAGAAAACATCATAAGAAGGCTTTGTATACATTATAAGACGGCTTGTATTGACACTGGTCATTTTGCAGCTCATACTATGATACTGAATGTACACCATTCTCGTACAAGCCTTAATGTTCCTTGCCTGGTGTGTATCTCACCATTAGTGAGTATGGTTTTACGCCGTTTTTAGCAATATTCCAGCAATATCACGGCGGGGGACACCAGATATGGGCTTCACACATTGTACCCATGTCGGGAATCGAACCCGGGTCTTCGGCGTGACGAGCGAACGCTTTAACCACTAGGCTACCCGACCGCCCGTGTATCTCACTGACTCCTATCACAGTGTATCTCGCTTTGTTGATGATATCATACCATGCGTTCTGAGAGAAATACAATAATATGTGTAGGACGTTAAGCTTGAATGTTGTTTTATGCCATAGTCATCACACCTGTCAATAATTGGGCCTTGGCAAGGCAAAGCAGTGACTGGAAAAGTGAACAACTCTCCACGTAATCGGATGGATAAATGGATGGATGGATATGGAATATTTATCAAGTTGCACTAATATTTTCAGTATCAGAATCCCGAATTATACAACGTCTCATTCCATATCAGCACAATGATCACGATTGAATGAAAAGTAGTAACGGCTGAGTCATTTATAGAAAAACTGCAATTCATAAGAACGTTAGAGAACATTTAATACCCTCTCTCCGGCTTCCATAATGGGTAAAATATGTCTGTATTGACAGTGTCTGTTTGGCAGCTCGTAATAACGTACAGCATTCCTCTGGCAATACGTTACTGCATAAGAGAGGTGATGGTGTTATATAGCACGTAGCCGTGGAGGTTTAACAAGCAACAAAGGCGACACCTTGGATGAATTCAAGCGTTGAAAGCGAAAGAAGCCCTGACTGACGAATGTTCAGCTGGGTCAGTGATATACAACCATAAGAAGACATTACACAGTACACCTGAACGATCTGAGTGAGTGAGTATGGTTTTACGTCGCTTTTTTAAGACACAATGGATGAAGTAAATTGATTTTCATTTATCCTCTCTGTGTGGGTGATGAACAGGGGAATTTCCACGAAATATTGATTGACTGCTGTTGGCGGAACCTTTAAACGTGTTTGTACCTGGAAATATAAGGTGAAAAAATGCTGGTATTTCAGGTGAGCGTTGTATGTTTGTTTGTTATTGTACACATTAATCAGCAACATAGTAATTGGGTTGAATTCTGAATTGTCTGAAGTTATATTGCTGAAATGATTCCTTCTTTTAACTGACCCGATCGTTATATTCTTGTCAACAGATCATGTTAGTCTCCTTTAGCGACAATCAATAGGGTGCTTGGGATGTATACTTACCTGGAGCAAAGTTTTAACATTAGTTGGACGCACTTTATATTTAATAGTATGTCAGCCATATCACAGTGCCCGGTCACCCTTGTCTTCTCGTATGACAAGTAATAGTGTGCAGGGAACCTAATGAACCTGAGATCATAGATTGGTTAAACTTGCGATTTGAGTTTTGTAGGAATACATGTTAGGTATTACCCAAACCTATTTTTAGTGGCAGGTGACTGGCTTTATCTGTATGCTATTTCATAGAAGCGGAAATTGTGCTCCACTCAATTGTGCGGGTCGGTTGTGCAAGTGAGTCGGGGTTTCCGCTTGGGTTGGCAGTGTCAGGGCGAGGTAATTTAGCCAAGAGTTTTAAACTTTAACTATCAGATATGTTGTGATAAGCAGCAGACATCAACATCCAATCATCTGTATGCTACTTACTATCTATTACCTGGTGTTATCATTTAGCTGTCAAGTTATAATGAGCCATTCAATGTTTATAAACTGTGATATTATTTATCAGTACACCACGGGGAGTTCTGGCCAACATGAGTGAGGTCTGCCCCCACTGCGGGGAGGGCTTTCAACGCCTTGCGTCTCACGAGTGGAGGTGCAAGGAGAAGGGAACAGCCGTCCCTGCTTCCTCCCGCCCCCAGTCTCGTTCATCTGGGAGGTCCAGTACAAAATCAGCCTCAGCAAGGAATAGTGCTGGGCGATATACCACACCATCAGCCTCAGTAGGGAAGAGTGCTGAGAGATCTACCACACCATCAGTCTCAGTAGGGAAGAGTGCTGAGCGATCTACCACACCATCAGCCTCAGTGGGGAATAGTGCTGAGAGATCTACCACACCATCAGTCTCAGTAGGGAAGAGTGCTGAGCGATCTACCACACCATCAGCCTCAGTGGGGAATAGTGCTGGGCGATATACTACACCATCAGCCTCAGTGGGGAAGAGTGCTAAGAGATCTACCAACTCATCAGCCTCAGCAGGGAAGAATGCTGAGAGATCTACCACCTCATCAGCCTCAGCGGGGAAGAGTGCTGAGAGATCTACCACCTCATCAGCCTCAGCAGGGAAGAGTGCTGGGCGATCAACCACATCATCAGCCTCAGCAGGGAAGAGTGCTGGGGGATCTACCACACCATCAGCCTCAGCGGGGAAGAGTGCTGAGAGATCTACCACGCCATCAGCCTCAGCGGGGAAAAGTGCTGGGCGATCAACCACATCATCAGCCTCAGCGGGGAAGAGTGCTGGGGGATCTACCACACCATCAGCCTCAGCGGGGAAGAGTGCTGAGAGATCTACCACCTCATCAGCCTCAGCGGGGAAGAGTGCTGAGAGATCAACCACCTCATCAGCCTCAGCAGGGAAGAGTGCTGGGGGATCTACCACACCATCAACTTCAGCAGGTAACGGTGCTTGGCGATCTACCACGCCATCAGCCTCAGCGGGGAACATCGCTGGGCGATCTACCACACCATCAGCCTCAGCGGGGAACAGTGTTGGGCAATCTACCACACCATCAGCCTCAGCAGGTAAAGGTGCAGGTGCTGGGCCATCTACCACGCCATCAGCCTCAGCTGGGGGGAATAGTGCTGGGCGAACTACCACATCATCAGCCTCAGCGGGTAACACTGCAGGTGCAAGGAATGGCTACGTTTGTTCCAGAGATGCAGAAACAGAACAAACACAGATATGGGAAACTACTATTCAAACAACGCGCCCAAAGGACATACCACAAAAGGACATCCTGGACACGTTGGAGATGGATGCATTGGTCAAAGAGATGGTAGAGAGAAACATCATTTGGAACTCTGACGATCCAAAAAAGGACATCAAAAGGTTTTTTGAAAATGAAGTTAAGATGGAGCAGAGGGACATCCAGCCGGCGTTAGTGCACTTTAAGTGGTTGAGGGAAAAGATTGTTGGACGATTAAACAGTGAGATGAACTTTGGGACATGGAAGGTTTGCAATGCAGGGTCGCATTTCGATGGAACTAAGGTAAGAATATGATCATTGCAATATAAGGTTTTGTTTCCTAAAGTTATTACAAATCTTGTTTGTCATACATTTGGGAATTCTAATATTTTTAACACGTGACGTAAGAACACTGACATAAAAAAATAGATTTATGAGTCACATCCTTCTCCAGGTGGCTCGACCAAATGAAATGGACTGCACAATGTTCCCAATTCTTCAGACCAAACTTGAGGCTGTGTTTGATGACACCTGCGAAGCTGGAACCTGCAAGGTGAAGGTCGTCGGTGTCGTGGATGACCACGAAAAGGATCTCGAGCTATTCCTTGATGGAGGCTATGTTAACTTTAAAAAGTTCAGGAAATACGTCTTTGAGAAACTTGAACGTGTTCTTGAGACTGATAGAAAGTTAAAGGGTTCGTTGATTTATGTTACATCTTCAAGTTCATAAATGTCTGTCAGTATGATGGACGGTTGTATAAATCTATTGTTTACGAGACGCAACATCAATTTATAAACTTGACACATTTGAGGCTGAGATCTCACTACAAGCAGGAAACACATATCACTACAGACACGTTTTGTTACAGATGCTCGCAAGTTCAAAGATTCACAGTCTTTTGCAGTCAGGTATGAGGGTATTGCATCTGAGGAAGGGATGAAAAGTATTGACATTGACTTTGTGCCATCCTTAAACATTAAACCCTGGCCTAGAAAGAACGTTTCCCGGGACATTGAAGACATCCTCCCGGACAAAGCTAAAGCTGCATCCATTAAGGAAAACGGATTCAATGTAACACCGAAGCAACAGAATCAAGGTAAGTATTTATGTGCTGAAACATATTTATGCTTCACTAAACGTTCAAGGGAGGCGACTGTCTTTCCGTCGAGAGAAAGTACACTTTTTCAGGTGCGTCATTATGTGCTGACGTCATGACGCTGTTCAAATTAGCTCCCCATGATCTAACGTATCATTGGAAAATCGTTCTTTCATTACTGTCAAGCAAGGTAGTGCATTGTGAAATAGTTCAAACGTGTCGAATTACTGGACATTATTCCCAAGGAAGAAATATAGCAAGATGATATGAGCTATCTCTTACGCCACAGGGTTATTCCATGCCACAGCAGCCACAAAGTTGCCCAAGGCGGGTGTTGGTGACATTGGAATGTTATGACTGTGTCTGAACATAGGCATGACAGGTTATTGAAGAGCTTCATGACACCATGTAAACCTGTTGCTCAGCGTAGGGCATTTAGCCAAAATACTGCAGTCAAACAAAACGACCGCTGTTACTCTACCTCTGCCTCTGCCTTGTTCGTCCCATGGCGATATCATGCCCATATCACGCCCCTCGCCTTCGATTCACGTCGGTTGCGATATCATTAGTGAGTGAGTGAGTATGGGTTTACGCCGCTTTTAGCAATATTCCAGCAATATCACAGCGAGGGACACCAGAAATGGGCTTCACACATTGTACCCATGTCGGGAATCGAACCCGGGTCTTTGGCATGAAGAGCGAACGCCTTAACCACTAGGCTACCCGACCGCCCGCGATATCATTAAGTGTAACCAACTCGGTAAGCACATTGTTTCATGACCTGCAGTTGCATGATTTGATTTAACTGTGTCCAATAAATATAACAACTTATTTATTATTGATAATCATATATTAACGGATAATAACTTATAAATTATAGTGGTGTTTTTATCATGTTTAAAATGTATACTTTTTCTCTTAACAATAGACTACAGGCAATTAGGTGAAACAGAACCGGCAATTAGCCCTGTTCATGGATTTTCAATTTATGGTCCCGTGTATTGCGGATTTGATATTAAACCCATCTCCAATAAACATAAGATTATTCAGCATCTAAGAAAACTGAAAAGGTTGGCTGTGCCCATGTATAGTCCTCCTGCTTTAAGTTGATGGTTCAGGGCAAAACTATACTTTATTACACTGCGCAAACATTATTCCCTTTCTTTCTAATAGGAACCCTCCTACGGATAAAAGCCATTACTGAATGCCTGAAACTATAGTTTGCGAGGCAGAGTTGCGTCCCTTAGGCGTGCCCTAAACCAATGATCGAAGATTCGAATAACAGATTCGCCCTGGTAGTGTTTCTAGATCAGCGCCATAACTGGGCTCATGGGTCCTGCTTATTTTGGGCTTTCTTCTGCATCATGTTCACTTACTTAGACAGATATTAGGAATTGTTCATGGTCAACTGTTGAACTGTTTGTTTGGAACAGCAAATGTACATATCCGATGAATTCCTTGAAACATTTTTTTTAAAAGGAAAATATCCAGACCTCCAGTGGCAAGTTTCCTTTTCCTATGCAGAGAAGGCCATCACCAAACATGCTGACAAGATTTCTTGGAAACCGTCACTTAGAACATTGAAAAGAGTCTTGGAAATTGCAAACGGCAACAGTGATTGTTGTGCCAAGGGCAAGAGTCCAGAACTCGTGCAGATCCAGGAAGCAGTGAGATATGTCAAGGAGCATAATCCTAAACTGCGTTCCTCCCGACTGACGACATACCACATCAGAACACTTATGTGGTGGCAGCTGTATGATCTTACAGCAGGGGAGCACGTTTGGAGGCAGGAAACAATGGCTGCAAGATTTCAGGACTGTCTCCGGAAGTTCCAGAAAATGATGACAGGGGAGATAGTGGTGCCACACTTCTTCCTACCCCAGATCAAGAACATCTTACCGAGGATGCACAAGGAGGAGAGGGCATTTCTCTATGTCATAGCAAAGGCAACTGAGGTTGTGTTCACCAAAAAACAATGACGCTCAAACTTGACATTTCAAATCATTGGTAGGCCAAGGATATTTATTTGTCAATTCAACTTCAGAGTGAGTGAGTGGGGATGAGGGGTTGGCAGACGAGGAAATGGAATGGCATGGCATTGATATGTATGTGTTGTTGTTATATACCATCTCCCTGTATATCATGTGAGCGTTAATATTGATACGCAACTTGTGTGATCACTGGGAAAGTAGGAATAATACAGAGGGAGAAAATCAGCGAGAACAGTTGGACACTGGTTACACCAGAAACTACAAAAGCTGCTGTTTCCACAAAATGGAGTGAAGAACAGTGAATTCTGTGTTGTTATCAGTCCAGATCATGCATGTATTTCGACTCGTCCTTTGGTATGAAACAGCCAGGGAAACGAACCATTACCCTTAGGCAGTGTAGGACGACTGATGCCAAAGGACAATGGCCAAATTGCAACACATGAAGCATGGATTGGAATGATCTCAATGTCGTGGCTGGCGCCTGGCGACAGGCGTTTTGTGTGTGGAAATGAGACACTCTCAGGCTCCTGTCGGCCAACAGGGGAGATAACTAGTGGATATTAAACCAACTTCAGACAGGGTGGACAGGGATGCATAACTAGAAGACCTTGCTGGACACTAAAACATTCAGGTAATCCTGGGAATGATATTACAAATCCCTGTCTCAAAGATTAGCCATAACCCTAAATACAATCAAGGAAGGACATTCTTTTGTTTGCAGACAGTATTTAAGGCAAGTGGAAATAGTGTAGCAGTGACGTTTTCACGTTATATTTTGTTATACAAATTTTTTTTGTTCGTGTTATACAGTTTTGTTGGCAACAGTATTATTCGTGGTATTCTCTTTGCCTGATCTTTGTCTGGCCCAGGTTAATGAATATGTATAGCACGTGAATTTCATGTTAGTGAGAATCTTAGTTATAATAAAGAGTATTTTGATTGGCTGATGTGATCGTCTGGTCCAATAAAATTGTACCTCGTGGTTTCGTATGGCTGGTTAAGTGAAATTGTACCTCGTGGTTTCGTACGGCTGGTTCAATGAAATTGCATTTTGAGAGGTACACATGTGCAGTCTTACAGAGACGAAGAGTTGCTTTGTCTTATAGACGGGGTATTAAAAACCCTTCACGTCTCGTAAAAATAAACGGATTCACGACCTCATAGCAAGTCGTGTTTTGCTCGGCGCTATCCAACTGTTACATTAATACCATGTGGATTCTCAAAAACCTGAAGCATTTGCTTGAAGGTTTGCAATCTCAGTACAGAATCAGATTCATTTCTGTCAAAACATTTGAGTTTTCAACTTTGTACACACCATCCCCCATGACAAACCTAAGAAAAAGCTTCATTCCTCGGGACACTTGGTACTAAAGCGGTGACCATACATATTGTTTCATAGATATACGAGTTTCAGGGCATTTGCCAAAAATGAAAGCAGATTTCATCTGAAGTGGAATAAAAAAACATGATACCTCCCGTAACAGTATCATGGCTGTATTGAGTGAGTGAGTGAGTTGGGTTTCACGCCGCTTTTAACAGTATTCCAGTCATATCACGGCGTGTCAGCTTAATGTGGGAGGAAAGCCCGAAGTGGTGCAGGTCTCAGACGTTTACCACTTCGGTGAAAACCACGAGCACGGGTATGGTGCTGACAAACCTAGAAACATAAACATGGGTGAACCACGATTCGAACCAATAATCATTGGGACGCAACTCTGCACAGCGAATCGCGGCGCCTTAGACGACTGGGCCACCCCTGCTCCCCATGGCTGCATTGTCTTTGTTTGACAACACGTAGGCTATAGTCCGTTTTCTTATGACATTAACATACAGCATATATTGCGTAATCCTATTACCCACTGTCATCTTGTGCACCATTATTGTGTTGCGTGAACGTTGTTGCAATATTTGCAGTAGTTATTGAATACATTCTGGTTACACGTATGGTGTCATTTGTTGATGATATCATACCATGCGTTCTGAGAGAAATACAATAATATGTGTAGGACGTTAAGCATGAATGTTGTTTTATGCCATAGTCATCACACCAGTCAATAATCGGGCCTTGGCAAGGCAAAGCAGTGACTGGAAACATGGCCAACGGTCCACGTTATCGGATGGATGGATGGATGGATGGATGGATAAGGAACATTTGTCAAGTTACACTAACATTTTCAGTATCAGAATCCCGAATTATACAACGTCTCATTCCATATCAGCACAGTGATCACGATTAAATGAAAAGTAGTAACGGCTACCAATGAGTCATTCATAGAAAAACTGCAATTCATAAGAACGTTAGAGAACATTTAATACCCTCTCTCCGGCTTCCATAATGGGTAAAGTATGTCTGTATTGACAGTGTCTATTTGGCAGCTCGTAATAACGTTCAGCATTCCTCTGGCCATACGTTACTGCATAAGAGAGCTGATAGTGTTATATAGCACGTAGCATTGGAGGTTTACCAAGCAACAAAGGCGACACCTTGGATGAATTCAAGCGTTGAAAGCGAAAGTAGCCCTGACTGACGAATGTTCAGCTGGGTCAGTGATATACAACCATAAGAAGACATTACACAGTACACCTGAACGATCTGAGTGAGTGAGTATGGTTTTACGTCGCTTTTAGCAATATTCCAGCAATATCAAGACGGGGGACCCCAGAAATGGGCTTCACACATCGTACCCATGTCGGGAATCGAACCCGGGTCTTCGGCGTCACGAGAGAATGCTTTAACCACTAGGCTACCCGACCGCCCCTGAACGATCTGAAGACACAATGGATGAAGTAAATTGATTTTTATTTATCCTCTCTGTGTGGGTGATGAACAGGGGAATTTCCACGAAATATTGATTGACTGCTGTTGGCGGAACCATTAAACGTGTTTGTACCTGGAAATGTAAGGTGAAACAACTGCTGGCATTTTAGGTGAGCGTTGTATGTTGTTTGTTATTGTACACATTAATCAGCAACATAGTAATTGGGTTGAATTCTGAATTGTCTGAAGTTATATTGCTGAAATGATTCCTTCTTTTAACTGACCCGATCGTTATATTCTTGTCAACAGATCATGTTAGTCTCCTTTAGCGACAATCAATAGGGTGCTTGGGATGTATACTTACCTGGAGCATAGTTCTAACATTAGTTGGACGCACTTTATATTTATTAGTATGTCAGCCATATCACAGAGCCTGGTCACCCTTGTCTTCTCGTATGACAAGTAATAGTGTGCAGGGAACCTGATGAACCTGGGTCAGAGATCATAGATTGGTTAAACTTGCGATTTGAGTTTTGTAGGAATACATGTTAGGTATTACCAAAACCTATTTTTAGTGGCAAGTGACTGGCTATATCTGTATGCTATTTCATAGAAGCGGAAATTTTGCTCCACTCCATTGTGCGGGTCGGTTGTGCAAGTGAGTCGGGGTTTCCGCTGGGGTTGGCAGTGTCAGGGCAAGGTAATTTAGCCAAGAGTTTAAAATTTTAACTATCAGATATGTTGTGATAAGCAGCAGACATCAACATCCAATCATCTGTATGCTACTTACTATCTATTACCTGGTGTTATCATTTAGCTGTCAAGTTATAATGAGCCATTCAATGTTTATAAACTGTGATATTATTTATCAGTACACCACGGGGAGTTCTGGCCAACATGAGTAAGGTCTGCCCCCACTGCGGGAAGGGCTTTCAACGCCTTGCGTCTCACGAGTGGAGGTGCAAGGAGAAGGGAACAGCCGTCCCTGCTTCCTCCGTCCCCCAGTCTCGTTCATCTGGGAGCTCAAGTACAAAATCAGCCTCAGCAAGGAAAAGTCCTGGGCGATCTACCACACCATCAGCCTCAGTAGGGAATAGTGCTGGGAGAACTACCACACCATCAGCCTCAGCAGGGAGGAGTGCTGAGCGATCTACCACGCCATCAGCCTCAGAAGGGAAGAGTGCTGGGCGATCTACCACACCATCAGCCTCAGCAGGGAAGAGTGCTGGTCGATCAATCACGCCATCTGCCTCAGCAGGGAATAGTGCTGGACGATCTTCCACGCCATCAGCCTCAGCGGGGAAGAGTGCTGGGCGATCAACCACACCATCAGCCTCAGCGGGGAACAGTGTTGGGCGATCTGCCACGCCATCATCCTCAGCAGGTAAAGGTGCTGGGCGATCTACCACACCATCAGCCTCAGCAGGGAACAGTTCTGGGCGATCTACCACACCATCAGCTTCATCGGGGAAAAGTGCTGGGCGATCTACCATACCATCAGCCTCAGCGGGGAAGAGTGCTGGGCGATCTACCACACCATCAGCCTCAGCTGGGAACAGTGCTGGGCAATCTACCACACCATCAGCCTCAGTGGGGAATAGTGCTGGGAGAACTACCACACCATCAGCCTCAGCGGGGAAAAGAGCTTGGCGATCTACCACACCATCAGCCTCAGTGGGGAATAGTGCTGGGAGAACTACCACACCATCAGCCTCAGCGGGGAGGAGTGCTGAGCGATCTACCACGCCATCAGCCTCAGAAGGGAAGAGTGCTGGGCGATCAACCACACCATCAGCCTCAGCAGGGAAGAGTGCTGGGCGATCAATCACGCCATCTGCCTCAGCAGGGAATAGTGCTCGACGATCTACCACACCATCAGCCTCAGCAGGGAAGAGTGCTGGGCGATCAACCACACCATCAGCCTCAGCGGGGAACAGTGCTGGGCGATCTACCACGCCATCATCCTCAGCAGGGAACAGTTCTGGGCGATCTACCACACCATCAGCTTCATCGGGGAAGAGTGCTGGGCGATCTACCATACCATCAGCCTCAGCGGGGAACATCGCTGGGCGATCTACCACACCATCAGTCTCAGCAGGTGAAGGTGCTGGGCGATCTACCACACCATCAGCCTTAACGGGGAAAAGTGCTAAGCAATCTACCACACCATCAGCCTCAGTGGGTACCATTGCAGGTGCTTGGCGTTCCGATGATGCAACAAGGAATGGCTACGTTTGTTCCACAGACTCAGAAACAGAATTCACAGAGATATGGGAGATGGATGCATTGGTCAAAGAGATGGTCGAGAGAAACATCATTCGGAACTCTGACAATCCAAAAAAGAACATCAAAAGGTTTTTTGAAAATGAAGTTAAGATGGAGCAGAAGGACATCCAGCAGGCGTTGGTGCACTTTAAATGGTTGAGGGAAAGGATTGTAGGACAACTAAACAGTGGGATGAACTTTGGAACATGGAAGGCTTGCAATGCAGGGTCGCATTTCGATGGAACTAAGGTAAGAATATGATCATTGCAATATAAGTTTTTGTTTCCTAAAGTTATTACAAATATTGTTTGTCGTACATTTGGGAATTCTAATATTTTTAACACGTGACGTAAGAACACTGACATAAAAAATTAGATTTATGAGTCACATCCTTCTACAGGTGGCTCGACCAAATGAAATGGACTGCACAATGTTCCCAATTCTTCAGACCAAACTTGAGGCTGTGTTTGATGACACCTGCGAAGTTGGAACCTGCAAGGTGAAGGTCGTCGGTGTCGTGGATGACCACGAGGAGGATCTCCGGCTATTCCTTGATGGAGGCTTTGTTAACTCTAAAAAGTTCAGGATATACGTCTTTGAGAAGCTTGAACGAGTTCTTGAGACAGATAGAAAGTTAAAGGGTTCGTTGATTTCTGTCACATCTTCAAATTCATAAATGTCTTTCAGTATGATGTACGGTTGTATAAATCTATTGTTTACAAGACGCAACATCAATTTATAAACTTGACACATTTGAGGCTGAGATCTAACTACAAGCAGGAAACACAAATCACTACAGATACGTTTTGTTTCAGGTGCACGCAAGTTCAAAGATTCACAGTCTTTTGCAGTCAAGTATGAGGGTATTCCATCTGAGGAAGGGATGAAAAGTATTGACATTGACTTTGTGCCATCCTTAAACATTAAACCCTGGCCTAGAAAGAACGTTTCCCGGGACATTGAAGACATCCTCCCGGACCAAGCTAAAGCTGCATCCATTAAGGAAAACGGATTCAATGTAACACCGAAGCAACAGAATCAAGGCAAGTATTTATGTGCTGAAACATATTTATGCTTCACTAAACGTTCAAGGAAGGCGACTGTCTTTCCGTCGAGAGAAAGTACACTTTTTCAGGTGCGTCATTATGTGCTGACGTCATGACGCTGTTCAAATTACCTCCCCATGATCTAACGTATCATTGGAAAATCGTTCTTTCATTACTGTCAAGCAAGGTAGTGCATTGTGAAATAGTTCAAACGTGTCGAATTACTGGGCATTATTCCCAAGGAAGAAATAAGGCAAGCTGATATGAGCTATCTCTCACGCCACAGGGTTATTCTATGCCACAGCAGCCACAGCAGCCACAATGTTACGACTGTCTGAACATAGGCATGACAGGTTATTGAAGAGCTTAATGACACCATGTAAACCTGTTGCTCAGCGTAGGGCATTTAGCCAAAATACTGCAATCAAACAAAACGACCGCTGTTGCTCTACCTCTGCCTCTGCCTTGTTCGTCCCATGGCGATATCACGCCCCTCGCCTTCGATTCACGTCGGTTGCGATATCATTAAGTGTAACCAACTCGGTAAGCACATTGTTTCATGACATGCAGTTGCATGATTTGATTTAACTGTGTCCAATTAATATAACAATTTACTTGTTATTGATTATCATATATTGACGGATAATAACATGAGACTTATCAATTTTTGTGGTGTTTTTATCATGTTTAAAATGTATACTTTGTCTCTGAACAATAGGCTGCAGGAAATAAGGTGAAACAGAACCGGCACTTAGCCCTGTTAATGGATTTTCAATTTATGGCCCCCGTGTATTGCGGATTTGATATTAAACCCATCTCCAATAAAACATAAGATTATTCAGCATCTAAGAAAGCTAAAAAGGTTGGCTGTGCCCGTGTGTAGCCCTCCTGCTTTAACTGTTTTGTTCAGGGCAAAACCATACTTTATTACACTGAGCAAACATCATTCCCTTTCTTTCTAAGAGGAACCCTCCTACAGATAATAGCCACTACTGAGTGCCTAAAGTACTCACGGAAATGAAAAACACAATAACTGTTTTTTCGATCTCAGATTTTAAATAAATGCAGTTAATATACAAAATATATAAATATTCAAACAACTCAATTAGTACTAATTGGGCCTTGGTACAAATACCGCGTATCAAAGGTATGAACAAAACAGACTGTTGTGAAACTGAGCATAACCAGGTGTTAGTAGATCAAGGTGAATGTCCATGACATATGACACCTTGACGACAGGTGAAAACAGGTGCTTGAAACCCACGTGCATGGGATTTGCCAGTGGTTAGTGATTTGTGAGTGGCATTGTGGGATAGTGAATCATCGTCCAGATATCAGAACGTACAAGTAATATATTCCCTTCTCAAACAACAACTTACATGTCATTATTATTATGTACATAAACATAGCTGTTATTTTTATTGTTGTTTTGATAACTTTTATTCAAGGCTAATTTGCATAATGCCTATAGCCTGTTTCTGCCATGTCAATTTGTTTTGTTATTTCGTATTTCCATCTACGTAATGCTTTGTGTCGATTATTAAATCCAGCAAAACAGGGTTTTTTTCATTTCCATGAGTACTTTAATACTTTAGTTTGCAATGCAGAGTTGCGTCCCTTAGGCGTGCCTGAAACCAATGATCGAAGATTTGAATAACAGATTCGCCCTGGTAGTGTTTCTAGATCAGCGCCATAACTGGGCTCATGGGTCTTGCCTATTTTGGGCTTTCTTCTGCATCATATACACTAACGTAGACAGAAAATAGGAATTGTTCATGGTCAGCATTTGAACTCTTTGCTTTGAACAGCAAATGTACATATCTGATGAATTCCATTAAATATTTTCTTTTAAAAGGAAACGATCCAGACCTCCTGTGGCAAGTTTCCTTTTCCTATGCAGAGAAGGCCATCACTAAACATGCTGATAAGATTTCTTGGAAACCGTCACTTAGAACATGGAAAAGAGTCTTGGAAATTGCAAAAGGCAACAGTGATTGTTGTGCCAAGGGGAACAGTCCAGAACTCGTGCAGATCCAGGAAGCAGTGAGATATGTCAAGGAGCATAATCCTAAACTGCGTTCCTCCCGACTGACGACATACCACATCAGAACACTCATGTGGTGGCAGCTGTATGGTCTAACAGCAGGGGAGCACGTTTGGAGGCAGGAAACAATGGCTACAAGATTTCAGGACTGTCTCCGGAAATTCCAGAAAATGATGGCAGGGGAGATAGTGGTTCCACACTTCTTCCTACCCCAGATCAAGAACATCTTACCGAGGATGCACAAGGAGGAGAGGGCATTTCTCTATGTCATAGCAAAGGCAACTGAGGTTGTGTTCACCAAAAAACAATGACGCTCAAACTTGACATTCTTGGTAGGCCAAGGATATTTATTTGTCAATTCAACTTCAGAGTGAGTGAGTTGGGATGAGGGGTTGGCAGACGAGGAAATGGAATGGCATGGCATTGATATGTATGTGTTGTTGTTATATACCATCTCCCTGTATATCATGTGAGCGTTAATATTGATACGCTGCTTGTGTGATCACTGGGAAAGTAGGAATAAAACAGAGGGAGAAAATCAGCGAGAACAGTTGGACACTGGTTACACCAGAAACTACAAAAGCTGCTGTTTCCACAAAATGGAGTGAAGAACAGTGAATTCTGTGTTGTTATCAGTCCAGATCATGCATGTATTTCGACTCGTCCTTTGGTATGAAGCAGCCAGGGAAACGAACCATTACCCTTAGGCAGTGTAGGACGACTGATGCCAAAGGACAATGGCCAAATTGCAACACATGAAGCATGGATTGGAATGATCTCAATGTCGTGGCTGGCGCCTGGCGACAGGCGTTTTGTGTGTGGAAATGAGACACTCTCAGGCTCCTGTCGGCCAACAGGGGAGATAACTACTGGATATTAAACCAACTTCAGACAGGGTGGACAGGGATGCATAACTAGAAGAACTTGCTGGACATACTAAAACATTCAGGTAATCCTGGGAATGATATTAGAAATCCCTGTCACAAAGATTAGCCATGACCCTAAATACAATCAAGGAAGGACATTGTTTTGTTTGCAGACAGTATTTGAGGCAAGTGGAAATAGTGTAGCAGTGACGTTTTCACGTTATATTTGGTTATACAATAAAAAAAAAAATTGTTCGTGTTATACAGTTTTGTTGGCAACAGTATTATTCGTGGTATTCTCTTTGCCTGATCTTTGTCTGGCCCAGGTTAATGAATATGTATAGCACGTGAATTTCATGTTAGTGAGAATCTTAGTTATAATAAAGAGTATTTTAATTGGCTGATGTGATCGTCTGGTCCAATAAAATTGTACCTCGTGGTTTCGTACGGCTGGTTAAGTGAAATTGTACCTCGTGGTTTCGTACGGCTGGTTCAATGAAATTGCATTTTGAGAGGTAAACGTGTGAGGTTGAACACAAGAGTGGTCACCGGGTATAACGTGTTAGTTTGCAGTCTTACAGACACGAAGAGTTGCTTTGTCTTATAGACGGGGTATTAAAAAGGCTTCACGTCTCGTAAAAATAAACGGATTCACACCCTCAGAGCAAGTCGTGATTTGCTCGGCGCTTTCCAACTGTTACATTAATACCATGTGGATTCTCAAAAACCTGAAGTATTTGCTTGAAGTTTTGCAATCTCAGTATAGAATCAGATTCAATTCTGTCAAAACATTTGAGTTTTCAACTTTGTACACACCATCCCCCATGACAAACCTAAGAAAAAGCTTCATTCCTGGGGACACTTGGTACTAACGCGGTGACCATACATATTGTTTCATAGATATACGAGTTTCAGGGCATTTGCCAAAAATGAAAGCAGATTTCATCTGAAGTGGAATCAACAAACATGTTACCTCACGTAACAGTATCATGGCTGCATTGAGTGAGTGAGTGAGTTGGGTTTCACGCCGCTTTTAACAGTATTCCAGTCATATCACGGCGTGTCAGCTTAATGTGGGAGGAAAGCCCGAAGTGGTGCAGGTCTCAGACGTTTACCACTTCGGTGAAAACCACGAGCACGGGTATGGTGCTGAAAAACCTAGGAACATAATCGGGGCGAACCAGATTCGAACCAATAATCATAGGTTTCTGGCGTGCCCAAGGGACGCAACTCTGCACAGCGAATCGCGGCGCCTTAGACGACTGGGCCACCCCTGCTCCCCATGGCTGCATTGTCTTTGTTTGACAACACGTAGGCTATAGTCCGTTTTCTTATGACATTAACATACAGCATATATTGTGTAATCCTATTACCCACTGTCATCTTGTGCACCATTATTGTGTTGCGTGAACGTTGTTGCAATATTTGCAGTAGTTATTGAATACATTCTGGTTACACGTATGGTGTCATATGTTCTCGTTATTACTTCAATGTCATATGCAAAGTATAACGAGAAATTTTTGACCAACTGGTTTGTTTGTTTGTTTGTTGTTTAACGCCGCACTCAGCAATATTCCATCGATATTGTAAATAATCGAGTTTGGACCAGACAATCCGGTCATTGACAGACATCATGAACATCGATCCACACACTCGGCATACGATGACATGCATGAACCAAGTCAGCGAGCCTGACCACCCCATCTCGTAATTGTACTGCAGTCCTAAATAATAGATTAAGGACTATGGGATTTACATTTCATTTCATAAGCAAGCTAAATATATAGACAGTATTTTCATAATTATATGCGTTATATTTAAGATGTTTCTTAAAATTTAAAATATTAACATGTAAATTTTGTGGTTGATATTTCATAGTTTCACCATAAGCTGGACAAATAAACGTGAAATGAAATTCTTCTATACCGATTTAAGATAATGGACATATTCTCAGTGATTTTTTGTCACCTACCTTCGTTTATTTTGAAACGTAGTAGCCCTGTTCTTTTTGTATCTAATATTTTTCGAAATTTGAAGTCAACGATAACATTAAGGTATTTCTCGGGTGCAAGCAACGTCTTACATTCCTTATAAAAAAAACTATACCTTGGACTACCTTTGAGATCCGATCTCTAATTCTGATTTTTTTTAAATGTATTGTACGTTTCTTAAATATATTAATGAAATATACGGGATTTCCAACAGTCTGTGGGGACACGGGTGGCCAAGGCGTCTAAGGCGCCGCGATTCGCTGTGCAGCGTTGCGTCCCTTGGGCACGCTAGAAACCTATGCTTGTGGGTTCGAATCCCGGTTCGCCCCGATTATGTTTCTAGGTTTGTCAGCACCATACCAGTGCTCATGGGTTTCATCGAAGTGGTAAACGTCTGAGACCTGCATCACTTCGGGCTTTCCTCCCACATTAAGATGACAGGCCGCGATATAACTGGAATACTGTTAAAAATGGCGTTAAACCCAATTCACTCACTCAACAGTCTCTGACAGCTAGACAAATCCAAATCCATACAAGAAAAGTAAATGTCTGATTTCGGAAGCCCATTTTGTTATGTCCAGCATAGTCAATATGCAATAACATAGGTTTTTCTTGGTAAACGATATCCGTGCATTAACAATAGTTTTTGCCAGAATTTGAGACTGTGAGCAGCTAAATTAATACAAATTGAAAAACGGCAAATTCGCCATATACTATTGCATTTGGTGTATGAGGTTCAACATTTAAGAAACATTTACATGCTGTAAGGTGTATTTTCTCAAACTTCAGATGCATACGTAAGGATTGGTTGTACCTGGCTGTCAAATATTTTTAAAAAATACCTCAGGTGATATTGATATATCTCCTATTTTTCAAAGGTTTACACTCCATTAGTGCTTTCATGTCGCGTAAAGAGGTGTCAGAGAGAGCCTTTCCCATACCAAGTGGGTCCCATAGTACCACATCTTATCATCCAAAACTGTCTTCCATGGGAGATATTGCTATTTATATCTTTCCCAAAGAAGCTGGTTCCCTCTACTTTCTATACTCATAGCCCTGTGCTTGATGTTTTTCAACTGAAATAATGAGTTTGAATGATAAACAGATCTCACCACTTTTATCAACGAGTGTTGGTATGTATTCGATATCAAAAGACACATTTTGTAATATCCGCTATCTAATAAACTGGTAATTGTAGGACAGCTGGTCAGGCCTGTTTTATGAGTATCGGTCAGTGCTTCTAGAAAACAGGATTTCCGTGGCCCTGACCAAGATGTACATGAACTCCCTGTCCCTCCACCGCACTGTACTCATCATGTCCCCGACTGCAGGCAGGAAGAAGTGGGGCACCCTCATCTCGCCAGTCAACATTTTCTTGAGTTTGCCCAGAGAGAAGTGCAACCTGCTCTCTCGAGTATCCTCCCTCCACACATGGCTCCCGGCGGTGAGGTCGTACAGCAACGTCCACATCAAGGTCCTAATGTGGTAGGTTGTGAAACATAACCGGAACGAGTCGTCTCTGAAGTAATGTTTTCTTGTGTGTTGGGCTACTTCATGAATCATCTCGGACTTTCCTGTGACCATGAGCCCCTTTTGTCCTTTGGCAATCTCCATTACTCTTTTGATTGTTCGGAGGATAGGCTTCCAGCTTTCGGTGTCACCATGTAAAGTGAGGTTCTTCTCAGCGAGGGAGAAGGACATCTGCCACTGCAGACGGTCTGGTTGGTCACCTGAAACAGATACCATGGTGATGACCAGGGCCCACTTGCACAATGCGATCATAGCGCTAAGATGATCTTAACACCATACTTTAACAAAGGGTTACAATAGTCTCAGCGCCAAGATCGTTTTGCGCAAGCGGGCCCTGAACATTAGTGGTTCAACCAGGTCAGTGGGATATCATGCAAATGAACATATGAGACATAATGCAAATGAACATATGAGACATCATGCAAATGAACATATGAGACATCATGCAAATGAACATATGAGACATCATGCAAATGAACATATGTGAGACATCATGCAAATGAACATATGAGACATCATGCAAATGAACATATGAGACATCATGCAAATGAACATATGAGACATCATGCAAATGAACATATGTGAGACATCATGCAAATGAACATATGAGAGACATAATGCAAATGAACATATGAGACATCATGCAAATGAACAAATGAGACACATCATGCAAATGAACATATGTGAGACATCATGCAAATGAACATATGAGAGACATCATGCAAATGAACATATGAGATTCATCATGCAAATGAACATATGTGAGACATCATGCAAATGAACATATGAGAGACATCATGCAAATGAACATATGTGAGACATCATGCAAATGAACATATGAGAGACATCATGAAAATGAACATATGTGAGACATCATGCAAATGAACATATCAGAGACATTATCCACTTGGCATATTCAAATAAAATTTTACTCAAGAATGACTGCGAGGTCCTTACCAGGGCAGCGCTTTGTTGTTATGTTGAAACCTTTTTCCATGATGTCAGTGACGTTGATTGAAGGGGATATGCCCTTGGGTAGGGTTTTTTTCAGATCCCGAGCAATCAACGGCTGTGGCCAGTGTGGGATGTTGAGGGCTGGAACGATGTCAACATCGATGTCAAGGGTGCCGTGGTAGGTAGTGGTGCCAGTGTAGGTGATGCCGAATGATGGGGATCCAGCATGTGTTTTGTTCTCTGTCAGAAAAATCCAGGGTAGAATTGGTCTTCAGCAACCCATGCTTGCCGTTACTGGCGACTATGCTTGTCGGAGGAGGCGACTAACTGGATCGGGTTTAGGCTCGCTGACTTGGTTGATGCATGTCACCGTATACCAATTGCGTGGATCGATGCTCATTGCGTCAATCACTGGATTGTCTGGTCCAGACTCGATTGTTTACAGACCGCCGTCATATAGCTGGAATATTGCTGAGTGCGGCGTTAAACAACATATTGACAAACAAACAAAACTGTGAGAAAGCAATGTACTCAATGCAGGTGTCAATGACGAAATAATTACTTATGCAAGCAAAAAACAATGCATTGAAAAAGATGTCACTTAATGTTGACAAGTCTTTACCCAGGATTTAATATTGAAGGACTGAACAATGGGCCTTTTGGATACAGAAAGTGTTGTTTCTTTTGTTTTGTTACCATTGACAACGCTGTAAGAATCTACATCGAAACTTCGCTAAATGCAGTAAAACGGAAGTTGTTGTCCATAACATTGTACTTTTTCTTACTTACTCACCAACTTCTAGATTGCAAATATTACTTACCCCTACATTTGGAATTGTGGCGTATATATTTGTCCATCAGTTCAAAGAAGAAATTCCGATATTTCTCAGCGTTGATGAAGCTGTTGTCGCATAAATAGTTTAAAGATGGTGATGCATTTACCACTCTGACTTTGCAATAGCCAGGATGGCAGTCCTCGTACACGGGTTGAAGATCGGAATCAACTTTCGGAATGAATAAACAATCCATTTCGTTAGGCCGGGACACCTTAAAATAAGACAACTGTGGGGTTGGCCGTGTGGATATAGGTAGACATATAAGTATAAAGAGATCCCTGAGAGTCGGATTTTATCGAATTTCTTTTTTGTCCCAAGCCATTTCATTTCATAAGGTCGGGACAGCTTTAAAACAAGAGACAACTGTGGGATTGGTTGTATGGATATAAGAAAACAAATACTTAAAATATAAAGAGATCATTTACAGTTGGATTTTATCGAATAATTGTCCCTGAAAATTCTTGGAAAATATAATTACATTGTTGCAAATATTTTCTTTTTAATAAAAATACATTCAAGCTCATGCCTCTCAAAGTCCGGCGGTCGTCGTTGTCCTTGGTCTTCACGTATTGAGAATTGTTGACCCTAAAATTTTAATTCTCTTGCCGTTCAATAGCACACTTTTGGCATGTATTGATTTGATGGCTGTTTGCTACCTTCTTCGTGTATTGAAGAAGTTTTTGTTACTTCGACTTTCACGCATTAGCCGGATTACCTGGCTCTTGTTGAAATTTCTCTTGCATTTTTGGTCATTTTTGGCACCTCAATAATACATAGTATTAGTACATATCTGGTTGTAAATCTTTAGTGGTACTGTTGGGTAGCGTATGTTCAGCGCTATATTTTGGTACTTACATGTTCCATATTGGTTCAATAGTTAGTTTGCTATTCGGGTTTTCCTATGCCTACCCCCTGCTGACCAGGAATGGCTGTTCTCTACGACGTGCACGCATACGGGTTTAAACCTTGTCTTTACCTCCAGGCATCGCTAGACCGTTTACCAGTCGTCTTGCTACTGGTTTGCTCAGGTCGAAACTTCGTTAGTAAGTCATTATGGGGAGGTATCTCTCTCTGGGAGTCAGGTTACTCTTTTGGTCAAGTACCTATTGACTATTGGGAGTCAGGTTACTCTTTTGGTCAAGTACCTATTGACTATTGGGAGTCAGGTTACTCTTTTGGTCAAGTACCTATTGACTATTGGGAGTCAGGTTACTCTTTTGGTCAAGAACCTATTGACTATTGGGAGTCAGGTTACTCTTTTGGTCAAGAACCTATTGACTATTGGGAGTCAGGTTACTCTTTTGGTCAAGTACCTATTGACTATTGGGAGTCAGGTTACTCTTTTGGTCAAGAACCTATTGACTATTGGGAGTCAGGTTACTCTTTTGGTCAAGAACCTATTGACTATTGGGAGTCAGGTTACTCTTTTGGTCAAGAACCTATTGACTACTGGGAGTCAGGTTACTCTTTTGGTCAAGAACCTATTGACTATTGGGTGTCAGGTTACTCTTTTGGTCAAGAACCTATTGACTATTGGGAGTCAGGTTACTCTTTTGGTCAAGAACCTATTGACTATTGGGAGTCAGGTTACTCTTTTGGTCAAGAACCTATTGACTATTGGGTGTCAGGTTACTCTTTTGGTCAAGTACCTATTGAATATAAGGAGTCAGGTTACAAGTACCTTTTTAATTATTATGAGTCAAGAGACTCCATAGGTCAAGTACCTTATAGTTTCGGGAAGTAGAATTTCCTTGCCCAGTTAAAGTGACAGAGTCTTCAGTTCTCTTTGCCATTAACTTGTAAAATTGTTGATTTAGCTTCTTCTTAATTACTCTATTACAGTTGCTTAGTTAATCAGCTTGTGTATTTGTTCTGATTTAAATAGTCAGCGATCACTGTCAGTGTAAATTGGGTTTTTGATCCTTTATATTGTCGTCTATTGATACAATTTGCTGATTATAATAAACCTGTGAACCTATCATCACGTTTTCCTTATAACGTTATAAATGTTTTTATACACCCTGGTCTCTGGGGCAGAGCTCCGTGAGAGTAAGGTACAATTTTCAGTAAGTGGTTATTTTATGTAATACCAATACTACTTTAACTTACACCAAGAATAATTCCAGCACACATGATAGACACGGGTTATAATATACTGAACCGCAAAAGAAACGTCACCATGGGTACATATATGAGAAACCTTATTTGTGTCCAAACACTGTACACATACTTTCAGACATATTAAAAAAATGAAACTTGACAAAACTGATCATAAAGGTTGAAATTGAAGTGTCAAATGTTCTAAAGTGAAACACAGCACAAGTCTCTGAGAAAATCGCATTACAAGTCAGTATCTCGTGTGTCAGCCATGTGCATTGATGACTGCCGTGCAACGTCGATACATGGAATGGATGAGGCTGTTGATGAAGGCCATAGGGACTTGAACCCACACTCTGAGGAACGCATGACGCAATTCAGCTGCAGTTGTCGGCCTTGGTCGGACGTCATTCAGCCGTCTGTGAATCTCGTCCCGCAGGAGCACAATGTGATTTAAATGGGGACTGAGGGCAGGCCACTGCATGGTTCTGATGCCATTCTGCTGGAGGAAGTCTCTTGTTGCTCTCGCAGTGTTGGCACGGGCGTTATCATGCTGAAACTCGTGGTTGTGGCGACGTGCCAAATGAGGTATGGCGTGTGGACTTGATCAGTGTACCGAACTGCTGTGACACTATTGCCTCTCCCTGGACCGATGTTCTGGAAGACCACAGGGCCGACGCTCTGTGCAAGACCAATCCCACTCCACACCAAGATGCTCAGGCCACCCTACGAGTCTCTCTCCACAACACAAGCATCCGAATAACATTCCCCATGGCGTCGCCAGATTCACTCTCTCTGCCATCTGCTGTTGAGATACAGTAACGGCTCTCGCCTGAGAAGAGGACACTTCTCCACTGCTGGTGGCGCTAATGCTAGTGCTGTGTTGCCCACTGAAGACGATCCCAGCGATGACGTGGTGTCAGGATGGGTCCTCGGTGTGGCCTGTAATAGCGGAGGTGTCTGCTCGTCAATCGTCGAGGCACGGTGTCCGCACTAATGTCTCGCTGGTGTGTCCCCATGGTCTGTCGAGCAGTTTCCGCAGCAGTAACAAAGCGATCTTGAAGATGCTGTCGCACAATCTGACGATCCTGTCGTCAGGTGGTGACCCTTGGTCTTCCACTATGTGGTCGGTCATCTGTAGTGTTGGTGGTCTGGTACCGTTGCTGGAGCCTGTATGTGGTCCTAATCGTCCAAGGGCTTGGTGTCGCTGATTTCTTGTCAATCTTGGCATGTGGTAGCAATTCAATAACGAATGAATGTAATCCGATCAGAGTGGATTTTTATAGGGAAAGAAATGGGGGAACGGTTTTATTGTCATCTGCTTTGTTTTTTATCATCAAATTTCATTTTTCCGGACAAGGTAATGTTAAATTTTAGAAACTTTGACAAAAATTACCAGATATTTAAATGACAACGTTTCAATGTTACTTGGTGTGACGTTTCTTTTGCGGTTCAGTATATATTCTACGTCCATATTATTGTATATACTTCTCCTGTACATACTCTTTGCGTTGTTTAATAATATAAAGAATGCACCCTCACCTTAGTTTTGTCATAATAAGAACCTCCTCGAAACGTTGTCCATTTCCAATGTGTCTTTGACTCGAGAAAGTCACAGATATTGTTCTGCAAGTTATTAAAAACTTCTGCCGTATTTTCGATTTCATTTTGTTTAAGTGACACTTCATCCTCAAAAAACTTTGAAATTTCAGTTCTAGGATTTCTTGAATGTTCCAGTATTCCAGTATCGACCATGTTTCTAACAGTGTCTTCCATCGTTGACACTGCATCTCTGTCCATCCTGTTTGAGTTTGTTCTGTGTTGCCAACTAGTTGTCACCCTTTTTGGGGAACAGAAGCCTAGGGGTTTGGTATGGACACACAGAGATCGTTTATCGTCTAACGACATTCCTGAACGACCTCTGCCATCACATTTCTTGTGGTTATTCAAATCCACAAACCACTTGTTGCAATCGGGACACTGCTCTTTGTCATCGGACGAGCTACGACTAACTGATTGGCGTCTGCCATCACATTTCTTGTGCTTATTCAAATCCACAAACCACTTCTTGCAATCGGGACACTGCAGTTTGTCATCAGACGAGCAAGGACTAACTGATTGGCGTCTGCCATCACATTTCTTGTGGTTATTCAAATCCACAAACCACTTGTTGCAATCGGGACACTGCTCTTTGTCATCGGACGAGCTACGACTAACTGATTGGCGTCTGCCATCACATTTCTTGTGCTTATTCAAATCCACAAACCACTTCTTGCAATCGGGACACTGCAGTTTGTCATCGGACGAGTAAGGACTAACTGATTGGCGTCTGCCATCACATTTCTTGTGCTTATTCAAATCCACAAACCACTTGTTGCAATTGGGACACTGCTCTTTGTCATCGGACGAGCTACGACTAACTGATTGGCGTCTGCCATCACATTTCTTGTGCTTATTCAAATCCACAAACCACTTCTTGCAATCGGAACACTGCAGTTTGTCATCAGACGAGCAAGGACTAACTGATTGGCCTCTGCCATCACATTTCTTGTGGTTATTCAAATCCACAAACCACTTGTTGCAATCGGGACACTGCTGGTTTGGGTTCTTTTTCTTCGGCATGATTGTATAGACTCGCTATACAGCAGTCTGGACACACTGCCTGTGGGGTGTGTGGATTCGCCTGCAGCAAATAGGACATGCTGTCCGTTGGGTGTGTGGATTCGCTGCAGCAGCTAGGACATGCTGTCTGTTGTGTGTGTGGATTCGCCTGCAGCAGTTGGGACACACTTTCTGTTGGTTGTGTAGATTCACCTCCAGCAGTTAGGACACAATTTCTGTGACTATTGGGTCGCCTCGTGGTAGTCAGGTCACATTATATCTGTGTGTAACTGGTGTTTGGAGACACGCTGCGATAAAGAAAGAAATTACATTGAATAGAAATGTAACGCCCTCTGGCGTAGAGCTTCAATATGGTGGGAACAGCTGTGAAAGAGGTCATGCATACCGCTCCTTAATCCACTTACTGAGCCTCCGCAATTGAGTGTTTGTCTACTTTCGTTCTTGGAGCATGCTAGGAGCATGTTACAGGAAGCCCTGAATGATTCCGAGAATAGATCACCAGCAACCTTTGCTTGTTTCGGGGGCGGCTTCCTCGAGTCGTCGGGTTCGGTGGCATGGTTGACTGCATGTCAGCGTGCCCGACATGCTGATAATGTCACTGGGTTGTCAGGTTCAGGCTCAAGTTCTTACAGGATGACGTCATGTAGCTCGGATGTTGCGACGTTTAGCAATAAACAAACAAATGTTCAGGCAAACGTGAACTCAAAGAAGAGACGATAACATAATCAATGTTAGTGCTCTGGAAGCTCAATCTATTGATTCACCAATTCCACCAAGTCGATATGTTTAACAACTGGTATCATCACTATTTCATAGAGATTCATAAACACATACTTATGTCACAGTCGTGCAATGGACTCCAAGGGGAAATTCAGCATGTGTAAAAGGAGGACCCCCCCTCCCCACACACACACACACACACCTCACTCTGGATCCGCCTATGGTTTTAGCACAGATTCTTTATGATATCGAAAAGGGTTTTGTCGTTTTTATTTACAACGAGAACAATCAAAATGTCGTTCTCGTCAAGGACTACAGTTTATAACCTTAAAAGGGCCCTGATCTAAATCAATTTCCCGGAACTGGTTGTTGCCTTTGTTACTGTTTTTTCCCGTGAGTACCCGGATGATACAGTAGAAATCTAGACTAGTTCGCGACCTGTGCTGCGCAATTCGTAAGCGCATTTGTCACTTTTATTGATAGTATGACGGCGTATGGTCACATTGTTCAATAAAATGAAATACAGTTTTGGAAGTAATAAGGAAATGTAGGTATCTTTGTGGGTAGCATCGGTAATGGTGCCGAAGTTTTGATAAGTCACTTGCTTGATAATTGTGCGATTTTCGTTTACACTATTTGACTTGCAACACAAAGTAAATGTTTCTCCTGAGTATTGCTTATTTTATCGTGTTTATATTTTTACAGTCAAAATATGCAAAATCTTCACTTAGGAACTTTATTAAACGCCTAAATATTCAGTTATTTTACAAATTGACTGAAACATATGTCCATCTGTATTATTATAAAACGAATTCCACAGATGTTTAATATCATCACCATGAGACTGTAAATGTTACGATGAAAAGCCCAACCTACATAATAATCTATAATGATGTTTTTAGGCTCTTTTGGTCGTATTCATCAATTTTAGTCAATCTGTTAAAGATATAGACAGATTTTTCAGTCAAAATGACTGAAATATTTACACATTTTTATAAATTGTCTGAGAAAATCACATTTTACAAATTGACTGTAATATATACACGCTTACAAAGGAATAGAAAAGGCGTGTGAAAACAACGTCTATAGCGCATCGAAGAATAGCGCATTTGTATAATTTTAGACAGCTTCCTTGTTCGAGGAATGTATCCGTGAATATCCACACAAAGGAACAATATCCCACACGTCTGCAGCTGTACAAAGAAACTAATTCGATGCCACGTGTCTCTGTAACAATCAAATATTTTAAAATATATATATCGTTTCGGGATATTATAACCCTTGTTCATTACTCAACTGATCGCATAGATTGTTTCAGGTGTTTCACATAGGTGTCAAGTCTCAAAGGTCTGCTGAGAAAGCCCACGTGACAAATATTTTCATAACGTCCACGGTTCCTAAAAAAATCCATTTAGTTAGAAAACAATAACCAATCAATCAACGTATTATCGGTTAACCCTTTGAACAAAGTATGTTGTTTTTACATCGGCACTTCACGCCATGATATGAGTGTATGCCCTTCGTTTTAGTAAACCTAGACATGTAAACACTCACTTTTGACATGGTGTCCTCCCATTAGTTAGACGTCCCAATAGTTAGACAGCTTAAAACAACACTTTAAACGGTTGAGTGCACTCAAATCCTTTTGCCTGTTACCTCTGACTTTAAAATGGAATAGTCCAGATAAGATCTGACAAACAAAGCAAAGCAGCTTTGTATAGATACCATAATATTATACTTAACATTTAATGACACTTTACATCTGATAAATTTTATACAGTTTGGATTTGTAGATTGCTGATTGTGTATTGCTGAGGCCATGCCCATTAGTTCGGCCGTGAATATGGATTGGTTGTTTGGGAGTCGGTAAGATTGTGTGTTTTGGGTTGGTTGTGCGATGTGGACTCCGAAACCAGTGTGTTTTGAGATCGGATCTGAGGATCGTTAATCATAATATTGAAGAGTGTTGGGCTAAGGATGCTGCCCTGGGGAGTGCCATTTTCTAGGGGACATTGGTCCGATAGCGTTTGGTCTATGCCCACGGTGATTTTGCTGTTTGTTAGGAAACTTTGGATGTAGTTAATTATTTGATCTTTAAAACCTGTTTTTTGTACTTACTTCCACGCCGCGAGGTGAAGTACTCTACTTTCCTTAAACCAGTCATATCGATACTGATAATGATACATACCCCATGATCATTTTTATTTGTTGGATAAGTAGATAATCTAAACTCAAGTCCTTCAACTGAACATACATTAAGACCTTAGTTTACATAGTTAATCTCATGCCTATTGAACCTGTGCTGAGAGTAAGGTAATTTAGGTTAATTAAACGAAATTGTAACATATATACTCCCTATACTGTGAGTCCCCTATCCCTACTCAGTAATTTAATCTAATTAGGACTGATCCATTATACCTGTAGGTATATTCGATCTTTGCCTAAATAAAAATGTCTAACAAATGGGACGTCTAACTAATGGGACGTCTAACTAATGGGATATAACCTTTGACATATCCACTGTGCAAGATAACAGTGATTAATCAATCAACGTATTTTCTGTTAATCCTTTGATGACTAGGAACGATCCGTTGATTCACAAAAAAGTAAATCAACTGATCATTCATCTCTTACTGGGCTGCCACGTGCATATTACATAACACACATTTCACCTCACTTCAAACCTGTATTTAGATTGAATAATTACCCCAGACACAATAAATGCCAAATGGGAACCTTTGTCAGGTAATTTGAGTGGTGCTACCACTAATTATACCTGTAACAAATTCATTAACTGAGCATCAAGTGAATGACGACAAATACACAAATGTAGGGTTATACCAGAAAACGTGGATGACAACAAGGGAGTAGCAATCGTATTATCGACGCAATCCGAAATCCGAAAATGCTTTCACTGCATGGATGGTTTTTTTTATGATTAAACTATAACCATCTGGGGTATTTCGAAATGACGACATCCGATGAACTCCGCCGTTCTTTTTGTCTGTTTGTTTAGGCTGAAGAAATTAATTAACATGCGCCCTTTTTTCGAAATCTTTATAGATCACGGTTAACCAATCAGTGTTCAAAAATGTGTTAAACAAATATTGCCTCAAAGTTTATATAGCTGTCCTTGCAGACGGTAGCCCAGTCTCTTGTCACGCTCAGTTGCGTTGCGTATCATCCGGGTACTCATGGGGAAAAACCAACATAACAAAGGCAACAACCAGTCCCGGGGAATTGCTTTAGATCAGTGCCACTAAATTCATGGGGGGACCCCAAAGTTTTTCGTTTACTGTACTCACTCAATCAGGCCTATTGATTCTTCTTTTCCGTGGACCGTGCACCTGTGCGTTCACGTCACGCAAGGTGCACTCTTCTTTATGAATCGATAAGTGTATATCACGTGATACCGGTTTGTGGGGACGTATGCTAGGGTATCGTGTTGCTGGGTGTGCATGGCTTTCTCTATAGTCAGTGGTAATAGTACGTGTATATGTTACAAATGTTCCATGGTTAAATGTGAAAATGGGGCTTAAAATGTATGTAACAAGCTACAGCATGACATGTCGCCATGGGATTAACAAAACTCACTGCTATTGCTATACTGAATGAAGGCTTGTCAATGAAATTTATTTATACAACGCCATTGTGGGTGTTGTGTTGCGGTGTGGCAACCGGCGTTCAGGTTCAGTCGGTTCACGTAAGAGAAAACCGGCTTGCATACGTGGAAAGGTCTCGTGTTTACTTTTGACTCTTTTCCAGGAAATTGGGTTTTCTAAGAAGACCTTCTTTCACGACTGGTGGTGTCAGTGTCGCCCTTAACAGCCTCATGCGTCATCGCCCGTCCAACATAGATACTTAGAATAGGATTTTAAGAAAGGCAGTGCATAGAATACGAAATGATGTGGCTGAGGGAACAGTTTGCATGTAGGGAGTCTGAAATACAGAGAGTGAGTGAGTGAGTTGAGTTGAGTTTAAGGCCGTACTCAGCAATATTCCAGCTATAAGACGTCGGTCTTTAAATAATCGAGTATGGACCAGACAATCAAGTGACTGACATTATAAACATCGATCCACGCAATTTGGATACGATGACATGCATGAATCAAGTCAGCGAGCCTGACCACCTGATCCCGTTAGTCGCCTTTTATGACAAGCATAGTCCCTTTTAGGTGAGGTGAGGTGAGATAAAGTGAAATTGGGTTTAACGTCGCGTCCAAGATTATTGCACTTATATAGCGGCGTGCATGTACGTGTGTGTGTTTGTGTGGCTGCTTGTACTAGTCCAGACTGATGCCGTTTTACAGTGCTAGCTCACTGAGATACCATGCCGCAGTTTAACATGAATACCCAACTCAGACACAGTATACTGACTCCGAGCCGAACAGTTCTTGTTATAGCCCCTTAATGCCGAGCACCAGACAGGGTAACAAGTACCATCTTTTAACGTCTTTTGGTTACCGTATTTCCTCTATTAGACGCCCGGGCTTCTATTTATTTCGGACAAGCCTTTGACCCGGCGTCAATTAGAGGCCCGACTTCTACTAATATCATATCAGAGAAAAGGAGTCCTCATTATGTAATTTAGGTCCCAAAAAGGGATAATTAATTGTATCAATTGATCGACCCGGCGTCTATTGGAGGCCCGGCTCCTATTAATACCCCCAAGAGAAAGGGAGTCCTCATTGTGTAATTTAGGTCCCAAAAAGGGATAATTAATTGTATCAATTGATCGACCCGGCGTCTATCAGAGGCCCGGCTTCTATTTTTTGCACTGAACAATTGACCCGGCTTCTATTATAGGCCGGCGTCTAATAGAGGAAATACGGTAGTCGCCTTTTAGGGCAAGCATGGGTTAGTGAAGACCTGTTCCACCCCGGATCTTCACGGGTCGATTAAGTGAGTAGTTGGTGTTTGGGTTAGATTGTGAGTGAGGTGGGATGAGGTGAGTGAGTGGGTTTAACGCGGCTTCCAACAGTATCCCAGTTATATCACACCGTGTCAGCTTAACGTGGTAAAAATCCGAATAGACGTAGGTCTCAGACCTTTACCAATGTGGCGGAACCCACCAGCTTGGGTATGGTGCTGTCAAATGGAGGAATATAATTTGGGTGAATCGGGATTCTAACCCACGATCATAGGGTCGTGGCTGGCCCAAGGGACGCAACTCTGCACAGCGAATTGCAACACTTTAGACGACTGGGCCACCATTGCCCCTTTTCAAGTACAGGTGCTTAATGAATAAGAACTTCTGCTCTAGTGGAGGATCTTCTGGAGAGCTGAAGGTTGGCGGTTCCATGCCATTGTAGCACCATACCTAAAGAGGTTAAAAGATGGTACTTCTTGTTAGCCTGCCTGGCGCTCGGCATTACATAACAAAACAATGACTGGTCAGCTCTATTCAGTTTTCTGTGTCGGAGTGGTGTCCATGTTAACTGCCATATGGTACAGTGGGATAGCACTATAAAAACAGCATAAGTGCACAAATCTTGTTAAACCCCATTTCCACCTATCACCAACTATCATTGGTCAAATGTCATGATTCTTCTGTTCGAATGTTCTGCTGCAATCCTAGTGCAGTCTTGACATCGGAAGGCTCACATGGTTGCCAAAATATTTCATCTTTGTTGAATGTCTGTACATAGTCATCAAAGTCATGAAGTAAAAACAAAACTGAGATAATTTAAGGAATTTTATTTCAAAACAAAAACATTATCATATATAATTATTGTGTCGGTAAATTTCATTTTAATATTTTGGTCACTACATTACATAGAAGCTGCCTTTTATTATCATATGTATAAACGACGACCAAACAAACTGTCATATTCTCTCCATTTCTACACAAGAAGAAGTAAAATTCTAAGCAAACAAACAAACAAACAAACAGGACTGTGTACGACAATGATGATTGGTTGATGAGTAGATGTGTGGTGAATGAGCCACTTGTACTTCTGAGAGCGGAAGGTTGGTGATTCAATGCCCTGGTAGCGTCATACCTAAAGAGGTAAAAAAATGGTAATTCTTGTTGCCCTTCCTGGTGCTCGGCATTAAGTGAATAAAACAATAACTGTTTGGCCCAGAGTCAGTATGCTGGGGTATCCATGATATACTGTTGTATGGTATCTTGATGGGATAGCACCATGAAATCAGCAGAAGTGCAATAATTTTAATACAGACTTCTGACAGTCATAGCACTAGGACCCCTTAGTAGAACAGTCCCCTGATTGTGATCACATTCAACATTTTCACTGGCTTTAAACAAGGACATAAATCCGAATAGATACCTGAAAAATCAGGTTGACACCTATGCCATATTTCATTACATAATGAGTATAATAATAGAAACAATAATAAAAGTAATAACATTAACATAGAATTCAATAGATATCACAGAGAATACATTGAATATAGGCACTCTTTCTTAATTTACAAAATTATTTCATTCATTTAAAAGGGTTCAGCAAGACTACATGTATTATTAATAATTTCTAACACACAATCTACTTCTATGGTCCATACAGTGAAAAGATATATGGCATTTCTACAACTCGCATCACTCCCAGTAATTGGTAAGCTTCTTGAAATATCTTTTTTTCTTTCTTCACATGAACACAAAATGTCTGGTTCTGCAGACTGCTTACCCTGAACATCTAATCATATGGGTGGGTCACAGGTGTGCAGTCTTTGTTTTCCTTGTTCCTTGTTTTGGCTGGTGGGATGTGATCATATGAGGAAATGGTTGCAATATCCTGAGGTTAAGTAGAATTCCAGATAAATGGATACCCTAGGCCCCGTCCCTTACATTGCCACTGAATCTCAATAACAAACATGGACTGTATTGGAGCCAGGAGGAGCTATTATATCTATCAATATGACCAGTATAGACCAGTGTAGACTAGTGTAGACTAGTGTAGACCAGTGTAGACCAGTATGGACCAGTGTAGACCTGCATGCTTCACATGACTGAATGACTGAGAGTGAGTGAAAGGTTTAAACCAAAGTGAACCAGTGAAAACCAGTGTAGGTCAGTGTAAACCAGCAAAGGCCAGTGTGAACCAGTGTAAACCAGTAAAGGCCATTGTAAACCAGGGGTGATCAAGATAAACCACACTACCCTGCTCTGCCTTGAAAAAGATTGTTAACAACAGTATCCTTTATGTGACAATTTAGAATGAGTGAGTGAATGTTATTAAGACCACAGAACATATGAATCCCAAATTTGAAAAAAATAATCTTTTCGACATTTTAGATGACAATGAGTCAATGTCCCAGTTCTCCATCCACTGCTGTGTCTGACAACCACTTTGACTAATATAAACACACTGCTGCATCAATGTGACCTTGTGTTTGCTCCTGGTACTACAAAACTGCACTAAAAGCGGAACTTTGTTCAACTACATTAAATTCACAAGAGCTTGCTTAAGTTGGGTGAGCACTTTAGCAATATTCCAGACATACCATGGCAAGGGGACACCAGAAGATGTACCATGCGGGGATGATAAGCCAAGGCTGTGTAAAACCATACTCACTCACTCACTCATTCATTAACTAGAATTGACAGAGGGTATAACAAGGTCTACTTTTTCTCCTAGACGTTCTCTAAGTGATTTTATGTCTGCTTCAGTAAGGTTGCAACCTTCAAGGATGAGGTTACGAAGAGTAGGAGCTGCAGCCAGCTGGGTCAGGCCCTCCAGATTGATCTGACTGCAATAGGAGAGATTCAGACTCTGCAGCTCCTTCAGAGCCCCGGCTATCGTCCCGAGACTCGACTGGCTCATCTGCCCACATTTTGACAGGTTTAGATGCTCCAGATGAGGTAGATTGCGGCACATGTGGTGGATGGTGAGATCTGAGCAAGCTGTATCAGACAGCTCCAGATGGGTAAGGTCTGTGAGCGTGGTAACAATCTTCTCAAAACCTGGATCCGTTGCACGGTAGCAATGATTCAGGACAAGATGTTTCAAATTGGGGAACTTCTCTGCGATGTCAATTAGATCAAACCTGTCAACGCGAGAACATTTTGTGAGGTCAAGTTCTGTAAGGTCAAGGTCAGTTGATGTGTTTAGCCAGCGTGGTGTCCATGAACACTGGTTCATTGTCAGATGTTTCAAGGAGCGTGGCAGGTTTTTGCAGTTTAGATTGTCTGTGTTGCATTTCACCAAGGTCAAGGACACCATTTTAGGACATCTCTCTTGCAGATCCAGTAGCATTGCATCAGATAAGGAATGCTTCTTCCATTTGGTGGATTCTGAAAGATCAAGGATGTCAATAGTTATCATGGTTATGAACCTGTGCTTTCTTCATCTCCAATAAAATATTTCCACCTTAAACATTTCAACATACATATTTGGTCATAGAAACACTTCGAAAATCTTCCATTGTGTTCTGCCATGTACAGGGAGCACGGATGGACAAGTCTTGTGAGGCGATGCCATTATCTTTGCAGAGTTGCACCCCTTGGGCATGCCAGAAACCTATGACTGTGGTTTCGAATCCTTCTAGCCACGATTATGTTTCTAGGTTTGTCAGCACCATACCCGTGCTCGTGGGTTTCAACAAAGTGGTAAATGTCTAAGCCCTGCATCACTTCGGACGTTTCTCCCACAGAAGTGGCATTAAACTGAACTCACTCAACCACTCTTCAATGTGATACTGTCATAAATATATATATATACCGTACATCACCGTCTATAAAGCGACCCCATGTATAAGGCGACCCCCTGTACAAGCCTTCAAAATCAATGCTAATTTATATATCCCGTCTATAAATCGAATCTAAATGAAGCATGTCTTCAGCACATACACAATCCCTACATTTGCAATAAAAACGTGTTTGTCTTCCGCAGAAAAACATTACATCTATCCATTAAGCAAATTCAGGGAAACGAACAGATCAAGAAATTAAACTTTGCCAATACAAATTCAAAATGAGGGATAAAACATCACGAGACATGATAATTTACCGATTAAATTGTACTTCCTGTTCTGCTAGGCATTGTGTTATAAGCAGATTCAGACTACCGTTTGTATAGTCTCGTAAACTAAGCCGGAAGTAGCAGCCAGCTGTGCACACCTTTTTTTTAATCTGCCGGTGATTCGGTTAAAAATTACCCAATAACATAACTTTAAAGAATGTCTGTACAATGATCGGGTGAATTGTTTCTGAAACTATTATTTTATCAGGAATAATTTATTCCAATATCATGTTATCTAAGTTGCAGCTTTACTATATATATTTGAAATATATGTTCTGGTGCCGTTGTGTCATAGGATTGCCCACAGTCACAGTCACTTTTACAGTAAAAGCGACACAACCCTTTCCATAGCCACAAGGAATCTCTGCTGAAAGCAGGGTCCATAGTACGGTTCCGACTGTATCATGAGCATGTAGTTATGAATCACCATCAAATAGTGATGATACCATGAGCATATCCTGAGGAGAGCATATCCTGCCCCACTGGTGACATCCATCACAAACACATGCAAAGGCATGAAAAAACCTCGGAACATATGAAACTAGTCCAAATAAAAAAAACCTGATTAGGTGGCAAAATTTAATTATATTTCTTATTTCGATTCCCAAAAACTACTAATTTTTAAAAAAACGATAACAATGACATAAACACATAATAATGATTAAAAAGAATTACCCGATAATGAATAGCAATGCTTGTTGTGAGAACTGGTAACATCAAAAAGTGCAATTTTAGAATGGAAAGAAATTACAGAAAGGCAGAAAGAGAGATCAAACTTTTCATGCAAAAAAAAAACCCCAAACATTAGCAGTCAGGATAGAGATTATGGTCAGGTTAATTCTTTGGGTCAGTTGGTGTCAACAAGCAGGAATGCTGAATTTGGGGGCTATTATGGTAACCGGCACTTACTTGGGTCACAGAAGCCCCCCAGCTTCATTGTCAGGAGACATTCGGAGAAGTGAGCCCGCATCACCTTCCACAGCTTGTTGAGGCTGAGAACATACGGCAGCAGATCAACATGGCGCCACAGGGAGTTGTCTTGAACAATACGGCGCCATCTTCTACACACTCTGAAAATACAGTTTCATTTCTTTCAAGATTTTTGTCAATTTGTCAAGTCTCACCAAGTTGATGCCTTATTTTCACAACATCCCATTCACTAAAGGTAATTTATTATGCGGTGGGGGTCGGTGTGGCATATTGTTTTGATTGACCCCACTCCATTTAACGCAACATTTTTACATGAACCCCACCCCATACATGTCACATTTCTTCATGACCCTGTATAATAAAAGAGCAGCCTGTAATTAATGTTCAAATATATAAAGATTCTCACCTGAGTGTCTTTTGATATCAAATATATCAACATAAGTTAATAAAAGAGGGAAAACACCGATGCTTGCCGAGGACTTTTTCCTCTTTTATCAACGAGTGTTGATAAATTTGATATCAAAAGACACGAGGGTGAGATTTTATTTATCATCCAACATCATTCTTTCAACTTTTTCAGTATATAGACAGTAATAAGAAGTGTCTTAAGTGTAAAAAATACTACTTACAGCTTCAGTAGCAGAACCATTAGTGATGTCATTTGATCGTGACGTCATGGTAACCAATGACAACACAATGGTCTACAAATCATTGTGATGCAATTTCATTGCAGCGATATCTACAGTGTAGATATCGCTTGATCTCACCCAAGCGATATCTCCTGTGGGAGCCAGTTTTGGATGATAAATAAAACTCTCACCACCTACACCACCCACCTGAACGATGAGTTCACCAGATAATTGACCCAGTGGAAAATGCTGAGTAATATTTATGATTACATTAACATGATCAGATGCGTTTCTGATATACATGATAATTCATATTATCATGTTTATGATTCATATCTAATTATCATACCTCAACATCATTCAAACAGCTGTTACAGTGCAGGGGTCCTATCGGAAGCAAACACTAATGACATACAACACAGGTTTTATACACTGGCAATTAATCTTACAGTTCCATGAACTAGAAAACAAGAATTACTCCTGACTACTGTATCAATGCATCAAATGTTAAAATAATACAGTTTGGATGTCCCTTGTGAATATGTCTATTGTGATGGTGATACACACCCCAGCTTACTGTGGAGCATATTCCTAGAGCAGGTGTCATCAACAGGAGTTGCCACAAGTCACTTTCACTTTACTGACACATAATTCATAGTATAGTGTTTTTCTCATAATTTTGTAATCTAATTGTGCAACTTGACAATTTTGTAATAACATCCTTGCTAGCTTCTATGGTTGGAATTTGTCCATTTTTACTAAAATGTACAACATGTTATAGACCGATTTAAAATAGGTTTTCAGCAACCCATGCTTGCTGTAAGAGGTGACTATGCTTGTCGTAAGAAGCGACTAACAGGATCGGGTGGTCAGGCTTGCTGACTTGGTTGGTGCATGTCATTGCGTTGATTGATGTTCATGATATCAATTACCAATTGATTACTGGATAGTCTGGTCCAGACTTGATTATCTACCGACCGCCGTTATATAGCTGGAATATTGCTGCGTGCAGTGTTAAACAACAAACAAACAAACATGTCATAGCAGATATAGGAAGGACTGCATTGAACTCACATTTAAGCCGTGTAACCAGCTTGCAGCAAGACTTGGCTCATGTAGTGCTTGTCTGCTTTGTGTGCATAGGAGTCCACTTTTTTTTGCAAACTCACCACTTGATAACAAAAGGAATGGATTCACCTCAGATTACATTGGACTAAGTTTATTTTAGAGAAGTGACAAAGCAAACCCGAACCTTGGCACACACCTATCCCTAAGTGAGAAAGTGAGTGAGTTGGGTTTCACACCGGTTTGAACAGTATTCCAGTTATATCACGGCGTGTCAGCTTGTTGCAAGGGGACAGCACGAAATGATGCAAGTGGCTAATAGGATAGCGAAGATGTCAGATCCTACTTAGATATTTACCACTTTCGTGAAACCCACAACCACAGGTATGTTGCTCACAAACCTAAAAACCTATGTACAAATCTGGGATTCGAATCCAGATCGTATGTTTCTGGCACAACCTAAGGGAGGCAACTCCGCACACTGAATTGCGACGTTGTGCCAACATTCCTTTAGGATAGATAGGATAGGGGTACATAACCATGCTTACACTAATGATCCTAATGAGGTATTGATATTATTTAAATGGGATTCTGTTGCAAGGGCGATAAAGGAAAACCTAGCAATTTGAGCTAACCTTCCCAAAACCTAACTTAAAGGGGCACTGATCTAACGGACTGGTTGTTGCCTTTGTTATTGTTTTTCCCCCGTGAGTACCCGGATGATACGCAACGCAACTGAGCGTGACCAGAGACTGGGGTACCGTCTGCAAGGACAGCTAAATAAACTTGGAGGCTGGAGGCAATATTTGTTTTACGCATTTTTGAACACTGATTGGTTAACTGTGATCTATAAAGATTTCGACAAAGGGCGCATGTTAATTCATTTCTTCAGCCTAAACAAACAGACAAAAAGAACAAGGGAGCTCATCGGATGTCGTCATTTGGAAATACCCCAGATGGTTATAGTTTAATACTAAAAACAGTATCCATGCAGTGAAAGCATTTTCGGATTTCGGATTGCGTCGATAATACGATTACTACTCCCTTGTTGTCATCCACGTTTTCTCGTATAACCCTACACTTGTGTATTTGTCGTCATTCACTTGATGCTCAGTTAATGAATTTATTACAGGTACAATTAGTGGTAGCACCACTTATATTACCTGACAAAGGTTCCCATTTGGCATTTATTGTGTCTGGGGTAATTATTCAATCTAAATCCAGGTTTGAAGTGAGGTGAAATGTGTGTTATGTAATATGCACGTGGCAGCCCAGCAAGAGATGAATGATCAGTTGATTTACTTTTTTTGTAAATCAACGGATCGTTCCTAGTCATCAAAGGATTAACAGAAAATACGTTGATTGATTAATCACTGTTATCTTGCACAGTGGATATGTCAAGAGTGAGTGTTTACATGTCTAGGTTTACTAAAACAAAGGGAATACACTCATATCATGGCGCGAAGTGCCGATGTAAAAACAACATACTTTGTTCAAAGGGTTAACTGATAATACGTTGATTGATTGATCATTGTTATCTATCACTCAATGGAATTTTTAGGAACCGTGGATGCTATGAAAATAGTTGTCACGTGGGCTTTCTCAGCCGACCATTGAGACTTGACACCTATGTAAAACACCTGAAACAATCCAAGCGATCAGTTGAGAAACGAACACGGGTTATAATATCCTGAAACGATATATATCTTTTAAAATATTTGATTGTTACTGAGACACGTGACATCGAATAAGTTTCTTTGTACAGCTGCAGACGAGTGGGATATTGTTCCTTTGTGTGGATTTTAACGGATACATTCCTCGAACAAGGAAGCTGCCTAAAACTTATACACATAAATTTGGTAGGTTGTAATTATGATATCTGCATTTTGTTTTCCTTCATTTGAACCGATTCGTTCTTGTCACTCTACGTCTTGGTTGGGAAATTCTTCAATGCGCGATAGACGTTGTTTTCACAGGTCTTTTCCTATGTAAGCGTGTATATATTACCGTCAATTTGTAAAATGTGATTCTCTCAGGCAATTTATAAAATGTGTAAATATTTCAGTCATTTTGACCAAAAAATCTGTCCAGATTGATCAAGACGATCAAAAGGGCCTACAAACATCACAACAGATTATTATGTAGGATTAAAAGCCAAACAACTTTGAAATGTACTTTTCAACGTTACATTTTCAGTCTCTTGGTGATGACATTAAACATCAAAATGTTTGGAATTCGTTATCATAATAATACAGATGGAAATGTTTTTCAGTCACTTTGTAAAATAACTGAATATTTAGACGTTTAATAAATTTGTTACACATTTGACAGTAAAAAAAAATACACACTATAAAAAAAGCAATGCTCAGGTGAAATATGTACTTTGTGTTGCAAGTCAAAATAGTGTAAACGAAAATCGCAAAATTACCAAGCAAGTGACTTATCAAAACTTCGTCACCATTACCGATGCTACCCACAAAGATACCTACATTTCCTTATTATCTCGAAAACTATTTCATTTTGTTGATCAATGTGACCACACGCCCTTATTACTACCCATAAAAGTGACTAATGCGCTTACGAATGGCGCAGCTGAGGTCGCGAACTAGTCTAGATTTCTGGTATACATCCGGGTATTCACTGGGAAAAAACAATAACAAAGGCAACAACCAGTCCCGGGGAATTGCGTTAGATCAGTGCCCCTTTAACTATTGGTCTACGAGGATCAAATAGGCATGAGAAATCTGTGGAGAGTGAGCCACAGCTGGAGCTAATTATTGCAATGGCTTTGCACCTGTTTCTTGTCATTGGTTTACCTAAAGTAAGCTGCCAACCACAAGGAATTGGTCAACACGATCAAATCATTGGATGAAGCGATTAGCTATAATTTGGCTGTACACATCAAACTGGTTAGATAGATGCAGGAAAAATGAAATTGCAGTCAAAGACAATCTTTGAAAAACTACTTCGTTTGCCAAACATCATGCAGATCAAATTATTAATGATTAATTCTGATAACATGGAGACAATTGTTTCAGTTTCAATACTTTCATAGAGATGAAATGTAGGCCTACATCAGGTCCTGTACATCTAAACATGCTAAATGACACTAATTATTGCTTACATTCATTATTTTATTTCAGTTCGGAAATGCGTTCTTATCCTCATATATATTGTCGGTAGGAGGCAAATATGTTTGCTCACCTGCCGGAGATGCAGCGATATTTGACAGGAAGATAAGCCAATATTTCTAGTATGATGTTATCCGGAAGCGAGTTCATGCCTACATTGGGGGCCGCCATTTTGATACATAGGATCACATGATACTTATATGTACGCTTCCAATATTTCCAGTACAGAAGCGTAAAAACTCTACTTAAACGCATTCGAACATTTTATGATAACATATCCTACCAGGAAAGTTTCTATGGTTTTCAAGGTGATTAACTACTTAGTTTTCGAATAAATCTTTGATAAACGTTTTGTGAACAAGGGAGGTAACTCTTGCAGTGGCACGAATGACAGCAGTTGTGTGCCAGTTCGACTGCAGGTCAAAGGGTAGATCTAGTTGGTATAAACGTGAGCGGACATTGTTTACAGTCCCCAGTGCCACCGACGCCTGTTCCGAGTTCCTGCTGCTATCAGAGTACAGTTTTATGTCATCTGCAAGGATTTAGTTTTCTGGTTTTTTTCAGAAATTGTTTTGACGTGTGTCGCAAAATTGTATTGAAAAAATGGCATAAGCAGCTGATCGAATGTATAGTATACTCATAGATCTATATTACTTGTAGACCTCTTGTTGGTCTCTTGTGAATCATACATACTCACTCATATTATGTGTATAAATGGCAGCGTTCCATAGAAGGCCTAATTTAAATAATGTCATGTTGACAGATCCAGATAGAAAGATACCTGAGGCAGCTAGAGCATAGGAAGTAGAAAAAAACCTTCAAGTTTTGCAGATTTAAGAAGCAATATTTTTCAACAAAAGTGATTTGTTTAACAGTCTTACACATCTAGCTTTATTGGTGGTAAAATCCCAACATGCCAACATTCTTTAGTTACCAAAACTCATTTAAATAGTGCATTTTTTTTGGCTACCACTCATTTTCTTGCCCTAGTTTCATGATCAGTCAGGAAACTTGAGTACAGTAAACTGCGTTTATAACGAACACGCTTATAACGAACTGACAGATTAAACAAACTGTTTCTTGGTCCCATCCATTGGCTGTATATATGCTGTAAATGTGCTGATAATGAACCACAGTTATAACGAACTAAATTTAATGGTCCCTTTTAGTTTTTTGCAACCGTAGTTTACTGTATGCCATATACATTTGTACACTAGGGTTTCTCCTAGGGCTGGGATGAGTCAAAATTTACTACTGAGGTACCTGACACCCTATTACCGGACCCTACCCGGGTACCCACTGCAGATCTCAAGAATTGGGAACAAAATGTCTGTTTGGGACTTGTTTTACCGCAGCCCTGGCCAAAATGATTTAGATACATGTATCAAACAATCAGATCATGTTTACACTGAAGTTGACTGAAGCTTTATCTTTACTCGAACATATACAAGTCAAAAGGAATGTGTGCATCGTCAGAAACAAATGCGAACATTAACGACTTGTAGTTTAACCACTGTGCTATAGTGAGTTTTTGTCATTAAAGAATGTCTCATGTGACTAACCACAGGTCCGGGCAGTCCTGTGAGTTGCCGGGTCCTACTCAGGACCCACCCGACCCGAGTACCCAAGTTACCCGTCCCAGCCCTAGTTTACCCACAGATGATAATGATGCTATGGTGTTCATGTGTTTTGGCTTGATTTCAGTTTGAATTCCAATTTGAGGAATGAAATATACTTCTGTCAAGACCAGTTGCGACTTGTCCAAAGCTAAATGATATTTTTACCTTAATGGGACCAGGGTTAGAATAGGTTTCCAGCACTGTAAAGGTCATAACATTGGATTGGGTGGTCAGGTGAGCTGACTTGGCGTGTCATCCCCCAGCAATGTGTGAGGTTGCTCATAATATCAGCCACCAGTTTATCTGGCTCAAACGTCATTATTTACAGGTTGGATAAAAATGTTCTGGTCCAGACTTGAGTATTTATAGACTGTTGTGTTATAGCTGGACTATTGCTGAGTGCAGCATTATACAACAAACAAACCTACAACAAATATAGTTTTTGACACTGTTCAAAATGATGTCATAATATGATGCAATTAGTTGACTTGTGATCATGAAATGGATATAAATATCTATATCCATACTTGAAGCATCTTCCTGAGGCAAGGGAGTTAACTGACTATAAAAGCCAAGTTTCCACCCTTGCTGAACTAGGCTGGAATTATGTTTACATATTGGCTGGACTAACGAGTCTATCCATAGTCCAATCAAAATTGCGCAACAAACTAGACAACCGGTTCAGAAACAACATGGATTTCAACATGCAGATATCAATTGTCTGCAGGATTTGCAAAACATGCCTACCGTCAACTGGGCGTCCACAGATATTTTCCAAATCTTTTAAGGTTTTTAATCAAGGTGCTCAAATGATTTGATGCACTTCACGAGGTAAGACCCGTTTAATTACAATATAGATCTTGAGTATCGATCAGATCGTCTTGACTGGTCGCCAGCATTTTGTTGGCAGCAAATGCAAGTGATATGAGAGGTGGAATCTGATTGGTCAATAGAAGGTATATTAAAGGGACATAACTTGTATTGGACACTGGTGCCGCTAGGTGGCAAGGTAGGAAACTGAACTTTTGTTTTCAGTTAACACCCTTGCCTTTGGAAGATGTACTTGAAGACAAACTTTTTCAAATTGTTGGTACAAAATGTCTACTACCTTGAATGATCTCTCTAACAGGCATGGAATGGGTTGTGCATTTGTATTCAAGAAGTAAACGATGAGTGGGAGCTGTTTATCATCCACTGAAACACTGCAGGGAGAATAGACATTGAGGCGGGGTGTGTGGGGGTGTAGCAGTGTTTTAATGTACGATAAATATACCAGGTGTTGTTTATTTTTATATGAGATATCAACCTTATGTACTCCTCTTTTTAAGGATGAAAATAAAATGTACAAGCTTTAAAAATGTTTACTGTATTCAAATAATGATGGCTCACTGAATAGAATTTGACCTCAGCAATGTGTGACAAGTCCATTTTGTGCACAGGTGGATATTTCCTGCATATTCTCACAATCGTCACATCGATTACCTATAACTTTTCTCCCAATACGGATTGTCATATCTTTCCCACATTTTTATGTTACCGTTCAGCCACTGCGTTTATCTGCATAGCTCAGCTACATCTATTGGGAACAACTTACTAGACACTTCCCTCTAAAAAATAAAGTCATCCATTATATGATGTCATCAAGTGGTGAGTGCATATTCGAATCTCCAGAAATGACGTCACGATTGAATAATATTTTATTGTGAAATAAATCCAGCTTTGTACTTCATTATTCTTTGCAATTTATCGTGTAGCTATTTTATGTATTTGATCCAGATATTTGACAAACAAACTCCTGAAAAATAAGTACAATAGTTTGTGTGGCATTAGGCAGCTGTTCATAGTGGAAAAGCAATTTGAAATGTATCTGGTTATAATTATTAAGCAAGGGGATTGTCAGTAGTAAATTTATCACATTTATTTAATATAGTCAGCCTGTGTTGGTGAAAAGAAAGGTTTATCAGAAATTGAATGCAGGATTGGATTTAATCGGACTTGATTTGAATTTCCTGTTTGGCAGCCACCAATTGATGTCGGTTTGAAAAGTAGGTATTTGTCTCCACTTGATAGTGTTCAATAGGCTGCCTATGATCAGGTTAATGTATGGATGTCAATGTCTTTATTATGAGAATCACTACATTTAGGAGTATATACTTAATCCTTCACCAGGTTGTTATACACTGACAGGTACATATATATGATTTCTGCCTCATGGAATTTATTCACCTGGTGAAAGAGTAAGTATATACTCCGAAACGTAATGGTCCTCATAATAAAGAAGTAGGCATCCATAAATTCTCTTCCTCTTGTGTATCACTTCTAATTGCCTTTCCAAGGGTATACCTCCCATCAGTCATACAGGCCATGTGTCATACAGCTTATAACAACATAGGATATGCATGACTGGACCACTAATCCACTGCCTTCTACCTATCAATATGGACTGTTCCACACAGATCATTAACTGTGTTTATGTTTAAGTTTGAATTATAGGGAACACCAGGATTATAATTATGAATGATCTTGTGCTATTTCATTTGCAGATTGTAAGAAAACAAATTGTAAAGCAGAAAAGTAATTAATAAATTAGTATGGTTTATTCATCATAATATTATAAATATGAACCATGAATAACAAGAAACATCTCTAGTCTCCTTTCATAGGATTACATGAATTACATTTATTAACCTCAAAGGGCAAAGTATTTATGAAAACAACATATTAATTATTTGTTAGTAAAAGAACTTACAGTGACTTTGATCATTTTAATACCCTCTTCTCACAAGATAACCAGCTCACAACAACTCACCCTTTATGACTTTAACATTGTTGTTGTAACAAAGACCTTAACTCAGAGTGTTGGGTCATACCATTACAGCTTAAGGTGAGTGCTCCCCTACTCAACTGTATGACGATGGGCAATAACAAGGTGTATGACAGATGGCCTGTCTGACAGATGGGGGGGAACCTTTCCAAGACATGCTAATGTAGTTGATTTAATTGCTGGGTGATGATTAAATGTACACTCCTGTTCAAGACATTCATGTTAACGCTCTAACAGACAATAATTTACTGCTTCAAATGTTTTTACAGATTACTTTGTTTACTTCTTGTATTTTTACATATTTTTACAATTTTTATTACATATTTTAAAAATGTTTTGTATGTTCCTATTTCCTCAATTGTTGGTTAATCAGTTTTTACCATACAACCAGTTATTGATTATAATCAAATTGAATTAATAATCTTATTCAATGTTATGTTATTCAGGCTTTCTTGTTTCTTGTATCAGTTGCTTTACATATTTTTTTGGGTAAAAATAAAATACACTTAGCCCTTCCGATTTGTTTATTTTTGTCAATGTTAGGGTTGGTTGATGTGACATAATCAATTATCAAATTGTATGTTTATTTGTCAGTTTCGGGGAAATGTGTAGTGTTTACATAAGAACAAAGCAACAAACTGCCCTGAGTACTTGGAAGCCATAGTGTTCATGGATATTTCTCACACTTTGAGCCTGTGTCAGGCAAGGAAACAGTTTGTGGTTATTATCTTTCTTAAGTCTGATTATCAGGCTTGGCAGTAAAAAAAACCCTGTTAAGCTGGAATGTATATTTTTCTCCACTTTCCTGATTTTCATGTTTGGTGGCATATTCCCTAGGCAAGGGAGTAAACTGTCTATATTCCACCCTTACTGAACTAGACTGGAATGCAGGAACTACATTTTGGGTGGACTAATGAGTCTATGCGTAGTCCAGTCAAAATCGCGTAACGAACTAGACATCCGGTTCGTAAACAACATGGATTTCAACATGCAGACTTCGGTTGACTGCAGGATTTGGAAAGCATGTTTACTGTACACTGGGTATCGACAGATATTTTGCAGATCTTTTCATGTTTTTAATCAAGGTGCTCAAGTGATTTGATGCACTTCGTGGGGTAAGACCCGTTTTATAACAATATAGATCTTGAATATTGTTTAGATCCAATCTCATTAAAATCGGTTCTTAGTTCTCGCTACCGCTAAACAAAGATCTGAGGACATCCCAGGAGAGGTCACGTCAGAACGACCTTTCATCCGACCAATCAGAGCGTCGCTTACCAGATCATGAAAGAGACAGTCGGAATGTGATTTCTGATCATGCATCCTCGAAAACTTTAACACGGGGTATTCCGAACGATAGTTACCAGTTTAACGACTGAATCCATACAATCTAGACCATCTATTAGCGATTCCAGAATGTTCTTTTGTTCGGGTTTCAAATTTTTAATCGAGAATTTGTCAAAATATGTTTCGAAGCGTTGTTGCCAATTTGAAAATAGTGCCGTAAAGCACGAGAAAGCTGCCTTCTGATTGGTCATTCCATTGGTCGGTCAAAGTTCGTGCAAGGTCGGTCTGACGTGACCCGTAATGGGATGTCCTCAGATCTTTGTTTAGCAGTAGTGAGAACTAAGATCTGATTTTAATGAGATTGTGTTTAGATCTTGACTGGGTGGGTGCTGCTATTTTGTTTGGAGCAAATGCAAGTGACATTAGAGATTGAATCTGATTGGTCAATAGAAATGACATAAAAGGGACAGTATTAGCCACTTGTGGTGTAATGATAAAGCCTGCAAATTCGAGCCTAGGTCGGCAATGGTGGTAACTGGACTTTTACAGTGAGTTAATGTCTTTGCCTCGGTAAGATGGACTTTTACAGTCAGTTAACGTCTTTGCCTCGGGAAGAAGGACTTTTACAGTCAGTTAACTCCCTTGCCTCGGGAAGATGGACTTTTACAGTCAGTTAACTCCCTTGCCTCGGGAAGATTGACTTCTACAGTCAGTTAACTCCCTTGCCTCGGGAAGATGGACTTTTCCAGTCAGTTAACTCCCTTGCCTCGGGAAGATGGACTTTTACAGTCAGTTAACGCCTTTGCTTCGGGAAGATGGTTTGGTAGATCTATAAACCAAACAATAGCAATTAAAACAACTCACGATAAAACAATCATTACAGATGTTGCAGAAACTGAGGGAGACAAGCCTCCTACCGGAATTCCCCAGCATAGAGTCGCTACGACACTCCGCGCCCGCCATTGTGGGGTGTTGCGTGGCTGCATGGGTCGCCCGAGCGGCATGGAGGAAGCATGCGTTTGACCAGAAGCTTTCCAAGAAGAGAGACCAGTTACAAGCTTCAATGAACACATTACGACAGCAGCTATACGAATACCCAGTAAGATATAGGACCATAGTGTGATCCCTTACTTGAACTATCTTAGAGCTACGTCTTTGATCATGTAGAGTTTTGACATGCTCCCCTCAGAGATATCTTGGACTGGGCACAGGTAACAAGGGTTCATTCTTTTGCTCACATTCAAACCATATTTCTGTATGGGTTGGACCGCCTTGATCAGAGGCTGGTATCACCAACATGTATATTCCAGGAAGTCAACCGTCTCTGTGGTTTAGTGGGTAGAATGTCAGAAAGGTGGGAGTAAGGTTGTCGGTTCGATCCCCGGCTGCGTCATACCAAAATATGTTAAAGGATGGTACTTGTTACCCTGCCTGGCGAATAGCATTAAGGGCTAAAACAAGGACTGGTCAGCTTGGAGTCCGTATACTGTGTCTGAGTGGGGTATTCATGTTAAACTGTGGCATGGTACATCAGTGGGCCGCCACTATAAGATTGGCATTAGTCCAGACTAGTACAAGCAACCATATACATCACTATGTAAATGCGGGGTGGTCAGGTAGCCTAGTGGTTAAAGCGTTCGCTCGTCACGCCGAAGACCCGGGTTCAATTCCCGACATGGGTACAATGTGTGAAGCCAAATTTCTGGTGTCCCCCGCCGTGATTTTGCTGAAATATTGCTAAAAGCGGCGTAAAACCATACTCACTCACTATGTCAATGCAATAATCTTCACGCAACATTAAACCTTGTTTAATCTTACCCATGTATGGGTGAGATCAAAGATTAAATCAAAGGTGAAGATTCTGTTTTGGGACTGAATGCAGTGGATTATGTTTTGGTGGCAAAGGATTTCCAGTGTGCTCAAATCTGATGTTTGGGTGGTGGGGGCCTGGGATTTGTGTTATGAAAAGAATAATCCCCCCCAAATGCTGTCAAAAATCCTCTTTTAATTTTTTGTATCTCTGTAGATGTTCTGTTTGTTTGTTGTTTAACGCCGCACTCAGCAATATTCCAGCTATATGACGGCGGTCTGTAAATAATCGAGTCTGGACCAGACAAACCAGTGATTGATATCATGAGCATCGATCCACGTTAGTGGGATCGATGACATGCATGAACCAAGTCAGCGAGTCTGACCACCCTATCCCGTTAGTCGCCTCTCACGACGAGCATAGTCGCCTTTTACGGCAAGCATGGGTTGCTGAAGACCTATTCTACCCCTGATCTTCACGGGTCTGTAGATGTTCTGAACAATGGTCGACACTCAACATTCCACAATTTGCTGTACAAAGCTACGTCCTGCAGAACTTTACACGATCTGTTCTTTGTTCTTGGTCTGTTATGAGTGGAGCATACATAACAATTACAGATCACACAGCAATTTAAAAAGAATTTAATTCTGGCAGTCTAATCAAACATCACATTTTACACAAAAATCAAGAGCAAGTATCAGAGATCACAATTAAAAAAACTTACTTCGTGCTGAAATATTCACTCATATCCCAACAAGATCAATTGAATTGTGCACATAATCCAATGTACTTATTGCTGACATGGCATATACAATTAAAGTTTCAAATATTGCAGATATGCCACATTGGTTCACAACCAATCCCGACCTGGGAACTGACCACTTTGTTTTGATCTAGCTTGAAGAGACAAATAGTCAAACTACAAATACGCAACATCAGCCTTTACATGGCTGTGAGCTTACCCAGGCCTAAACACAGACAATCAAAACAAGTTTTGGACTCTCCTCCAACATAAAGTTCGCTTACTCAAGTCCCAGTATGAATATAGGGTAGTTGTTCCACTCTGTGAGTGAGTATGGTTTTACTCCGCTTTTAGCAATATCTTGGTGGGGGTCACCAGAAATGGGCTTCACACATTGTACCCATGTTGGGAATCGAACCCGGGTCTTCGGCGTGACGAGCAAACACTTTAACCACGAGGACATCCGTGAAGACCCGGGATAGAATGGGTCATCAGCACCCATGCTTGCTGTAAAAGGCGACTATGCTTGTCATAAGAGGTGACTGACGGTTGATGCACATCATCGATCCTCATGATGGATTGATGCTCATGATGTCAATCACTGGATTGTCTGGTCCAGACTCGATTATTTACAGACTGCAGTCATATAGCTGGAATATTGCTGAGTGACGTTATACAACAATCAAACAAACAAACAAACCGGACAGGTTGTGTTAAAACCAAAACACCATTAAAACAAACTCACTCACTCACTCCAGCTGAGCCTGACCACAAGAGAGTACATCTTGGGCCTTTCACTGACAGACCTCCAACACAAGCTCCAAACAGGGGACCTGAAAGCCATAGATGTGCTCCGAGCTTACCAGTCTCGGGTATGTACAGAGAGCCACATCACAAGGATGTTGTGATAGTATGTTGCAATAATGGATTAAAATTTTCTTTGTTTGGGACCTGTCATTTGAGTAAAGGATGTAGTGTGCGAGGCTTCTAATAAAAATAATGAAAATAATAAAAATTACAGAGTGTGGGGAAGGATTATGAAGTAAACTGACCATTATTTTGCTTTTAAGATACTACTTCATAATATTGTAATAATTTTGTTTGCTATGATATCTAACTATCTCAGCATCAGTGTAAGGTTGCAAAGGGTCAATGAAGGAAAGGGGACATGCTGAAGGGCCACACAGGTTCTCAGAGTCACATTATGTGAGATCTTCACACAAATACCCATGTGTTATCTTTACAGGCTCTAGAAGTTGATGAGAAGTGCAACTGTGTGGTGGAACCAATCCTAGAAGCTGAGGTAAGACTGCACCGCTGTGTATCATTGTATAACATTGTGTCAACAGTACCATGTGTAACATTGTGTCAACAGTACCATGTGTATCATTGTGTAACATTGTGTCAACAGTACCATGTGTATCATTGTGTAGCATTGTGTCAACAGTACCAAGTGTATCATTGTCAACATTAGCCATGTTTATCATTGTCAATATTAGCTGTGTGTATCATTGTCTTACATTGTGTCACTTTTAGCCATGTGTATCATTGTCAGTATTAGTCATGTGTATCATTGTGTAACATTGTATCAATATTAGCCATGTTATCATTGTCAATATTAGCCATGTGTATCATTGTGTAACATTGTGGCAACATCAACCAAGTGTATCATTGTCAACATTAGCCATGTTATCATTGTCAATATTAGCTATGTGTATCATTGTGTAACATTGTGGCAACATCAACCAAGTGTATCATTGTCAACATTAGCCATGTTATCATTGTCAATATTAGCCATGTGTATCATTGTCTAACATTGTGTCACTTCAGCCATGTGTATCATTGTCAGTATTAGCCATGTGTATCATTGTGTAACATTGTATCAACATTAGCCATGCATATCATTGTCAACATTAGCCATGTGTATCATTGTGCCACTTTAGCCATGTGTATCATTGTGTCCTCAGTATATATGCTGACAGTATTTTTAGTTACCCCCCAGGAAATGTCTAGGCTAATGTACATCACTGTCCTTGAACTAAGGGATATAACTCTCTCTGCAGGAATGGGCAGAGTTATGTGACTCCAAGACTGACCCCAAGGGACCACTTCATGGTATTCCAGTCAGCATCAAGGAAAACATTGAAATTAAGGTTAGTGGACCATGACTAGATGCTGCATATGATAATGGAATTCCTGGTTCAAGTTGAGGCAACAGTTCCATTCATGCTTTTGTGTTATGGTGTGAAATAAAATGCTGTGACAATATTTATGCTCCATACTACCTTAAGCTCACCTCTAGTAGTATAGCGCGTATCACCTCTAGCAGTAAAGCACATCACCTCTAGTACTAAAGCGTGTCACCTCTTGTAGTAAAGTAGGCCATTCCCACTAGTAAAGCACATCACCTCAAGTACTAAAGCTATCACCTCTTGTTGTAAAGTAGTCCATCCCCACTAGTAAAGCACATCACCTTTAGTACTAAAGCGTGTCACCTCTTGTAGTAAAGTAGGCCATCCCCACTAGTAAAGCACATCACCTCTAGTACTAAAGCATGTCACCTCTAGTACTAAAGCACATCACCTCTAGTAGTAAAGCGCATCATCCTAGTAGTAAAGCGTGTCACCTCCAATAGTAAAGCGCGTCATCTCTAGTAGTAAAGCACGTCACCTCTAGTACTAAAGCGCGTCACCTCTAGTACTCAAGCACGTTGCCTCTAGTAGTAAAGCGCGTCACCTCCAGATGTGCCTAATTGAGATAGTTTCAGGAATGGATTGTGGCATTCTTTGAAAGATGGTGCCCATGTTGTTATCCCATGAAATGTGCGACAGAAGTGACAAGGTGACAGTAATGCCTTTAAACCAATGTGGTAATGTATGTCACTGCTGGATGTGCCGAATAAGGAGTGGCATTAAGTGCCTAGTCATTAATGACTAACAAACAGGCCAGCACTTCTCATAAAAGAGTTTATATGTTATGAACTTGTGTTAATGTTACCGGTAATTGCTTTACACCCTTTCCACCCATCTTGCCACTGCAGGGTTATGACTGCACTGGTGGAATGGAATACTACATCGACAAGCCAGCAACTCAAGATGCTGTGGTTATCCAGGTAATGTCTGCACCACACACTTCAGACAGGTCACGTTTAGTTACCCCATATTTCATCAATAGTACATTGTTCTACATGTAATAGTTCTATACACTACGTAATACAATGTTCTACTTGTGACAGCTCTATACACTCCTTAATACAATGTTCTACATTTGATGGTTCTATATGGTCAGTAATACAATGTTATAGTACATATATACATATACTACATATTATAGTTCTATACACTCAGTTATGCAATGTTCTACTTGTGACAGCTCTATACACTCAGTTATACAATGTTCTACTTGTGACAGCTCTATACGCTCAGTTATACAATGTTCTACTTGTGACAGCTCTATACACTCCATAATCCAATGTTCTACTTGTGACAGCTCTATACACTCTGTAATACAATATTCTACTTGTGACAGCTCTATACACTCCATAATACAATGTTCTACTTGTGACAGCTCTATACACTCTGTAATACAATATTCTACTTGTGACAGCTCTATACACTCCATAATCTAACGCTCTACTTGTGACATCTCTGTACACTCCATAATACAATGTTCTACATGTGACAGCTCTATACACTCCATAATACAATGTTCTACTTGTGACAGCTCTGTACACTCTGTAATACAATGTTCTACTTGTGACAGCTCTGTACACTTCATAATACAATGTTCTACTTGTGACAGCTCTGTACACTCTGTAATACAATGTTCTACATGTGACAGCTCTGTACACTTCATAATACAATGTTCTACTTGTGACAGCTCTGTACACTCTGTAATACAATGTTCTACATGTGACAGCTCTATACACTCCATAATACAATGTTCTACTTGTGACAGCTCTGTACACTCTGTAATACAATGTTCTACTTGTGACAGCTCTGTACACTCTGTAATACAATGTTCTACTTGTGACAGCTCTATACACTCTGTAATACAATGTTCTATGTGTGGCAGGTGCTGAAACGACAAGGTGCTATTCCCTTCATGAGGACAAATGTGCCCCAAACCATGTACAGGTAGGTGTGATCTAGAACACTATGTTCATGTATTGTACTGTGATATGCTAGGACCTTGTTAAGTGATTAGAATTTTTATTTCATTCTTGGTTTACGTGCCCCTCAACCTAAACTAGGAAAATGGATATAAGTATAGATTGAGTAAAGCTATCAAAGTGAATTTATTGTGCATCATGTTCTCCTTATGTCCTTACTGCGTCATCTCAACATAGGTAAGTTTTTTTGTCAGTTGTCTCATACCACTACAACTGAATTCTACAAGTCACCAGGGGTCCGGAAACGGTCATATGCGCCGGACATGTCCGATTGGGAACGGTGTCTCCCCATTAAATGTTGCTGAAAATGTCATACATCTTCACTCACACATCCATTACAAGTTGGACTCATTTATATGTGTAAACTAAAGATTTTCTGATATGTTGATGATGAAAGTTTTCCTGAAGCATCTTTAAAAAATTCTGATTTTCAGTTATGGTTGTTCCAATCCCATATATGGAGTGACAACACACCCTAAAGATCCCACAAGGAGCCCCAGTGGGTCGTCGGGGGGTGAAGGAGCCATTCTTGGGGCTGGGGGCTCAATCTGTGGGCTGGGGACAGATATTGGGGGCAGCGTGAGAGTACCAGCCCAGATGTGTGGCGTGTGCGCCCTCAAGCCCACCAGGGGGAGACTCAGGTATGTTCTTCTATTATATGTTCTTATGATTATAGACCACTTCTGTGGTTTTGTGGATAGAGCATCTGCCCAGAGAGTGAAAGGTTGGGGGTTTGATCCCTGGCTGCTTCATACCAAAAGACATTAAAAGGTGGTACTTGTTGTTACCCTGCCTGACACTTGGCATTAAGGGTATAAGACAAGGACTGGTCGGTTTGGAGTCAGGATACTGTGTTTGAGTGGGGTGTCCATGTGTAACTGTGGCATGGTATCTCAGTGAGCTAACATTGTAAAACTGGCATTAGTCCTGACTAGTACACACAAACACACACACGCACATGCACTCACACACAAACACACATGAATGCACATGGCTATATAAGTGGAATAATCTTGAACACATTAGACCCCATTTCACCTCCCCTCTTGTAATGGTGACAAACTGCTATGCAGCTATTTCAAGAAAGCCATCCAGTGACACCCAAAGGCTGGAAGACCCAAAGGCTGGAAGACCCAAAGGCTGGAAGACCTACTGTAACACTTGTTCTTGTAATGAAACCTTGTTAATCTTGGCAGATCAGTTTCCATAGAAGTCGTCCAGATTAACAAATATAAATAAGTCGATACATTATCTTTTTTATGAATGTATGTAGACATTTGTAAAAAAATCACCCAGAAAATGGCTATTCTGGATTATTGGATTCCAGATTAAGAACCTTTTTAATCTGGATGGTGCAATCTTAGCTTAATTGTCCAGATTAACAAGTTTCCAGATTACTGATTATTTATACATTTTTTATTACAATTATTGATTGTTTTATTTTGAAGGATGTTCCTGAAGGTGATCGTCCGTTTCCAAGTCGGCCAAATTTAATTAGATACATTTTGACAGTTTGAAGAGGCAATATGCTTTTTGATTGCAATACATAATCTACAAAGAGATAATCTGTTGACAATGGTGAGGAGCTGGGAAGAATAATTAAGGACAGGTTTACTGAACAGTGTCCCTCCTGTCACACAAGGAATATATCCGTGGATGCAATGTCCAGTACTGGTCACTGACCACTGTGTGTTTGTTTTCAGTGCTGAAGGCCACTTCACTGTGAATCCTGGACAGACTCTGGGTGAGTGTTACACCAAACATGACCATAGCCAGGGGTAGATTTAACAACAATTTTTATGTAGCCAGCAGGGCTTTCTCCTTTCAAAAGTTACTGGCCCATCATCAAAGTGACTAGATCACGACTAGGTGATGGAGTCACCGAAGCGGCTATCCCCGACTGAGTTACCTAGGGGGCTCAAGAAATTTAAGAACTCCTCACCCCTAAATACACATTTTCGTGCACTTGGCTTCCACTGGCTTAATTTCATGGTGATTTATGAGCAAATAATACTGTAGTTGTTGTAAACAATGTTATAAAATGGCAGCTGGTTTTCATTCTACTGAGATGATCAATACGTATCTCATCCTCCTAAACATATTCTCATCAAAATTACATGACGATATTAAATATGCACATAGAAGTGGTGAAATTTTGACTAGTCAGACGGGCCACCTACTTTACACTTCAGCAGCACTTCGAAAGTTTAACTGGCCACGGGCCAATGGGCCACCAGTTAAATCGACCCCTGATGTTGTTGTGCTACAGGCAGGAAGTTGAGCTGAAGTTGTCATTGTCGGCACGGTGCTAAATCTATGTACCCCAGTACGTTTCTGTACACAGAAATATACCCTAGCCAAAATCAGAATACAGAAAGGTACCCGGGACACTAAACGATGGGTGAGCATCCCCTATGTATAAAGGCTATTGTTTTATCCCCCTGTCCACTGTTCAAGGTGTAAGCATCCCCTATGTATAAAGGCTGTTGCTTTATCCTCCCTGTCCACTGTTGAGGGTGTGAGCATCCCCTATGTATAAAGGCTATTGTTTTATCCTCTCTGTCCACAGTTCAAAGTGTGAGCATCCTCTATGTATAAAGGCTGTTGCTTTATCCCCCCTGTCCACTGTTCAAGGTGTAAGCATCCCCTATGTATAAAGGCTGTTGCTTTATCTTCCCTGTCCACTGTTCAAGGTGTAAGCATCCCCTATGTATAAAGGCTGTTGCTTTATCCTCCCTGTCCACTGTTGAGGGTGTGAGCATCCCCTATGTATAAAGGCTATTGTTTCATCTTCCCTGTCCACAATTGAGGGTGTGAGCATCCCCTATGTATAAATTAGGCTATTGTTTTATCCTACTTGTCCACAGTTCAGGGTGTGGTTGGTCCCATGGCACAGGATGTGGAGGGTCTGGTCAGATTCACAGAGGCTCTCATGGCCCCCGAGATGTTCGCCCTTGACCCCCAAGTTGTTCCAATTCCTTTCAGGAAAGAGGTAACTATGACCGTGGATTCTTTCCATAAAAGCCACAATTTATGACCTCCGATATTCATTGTAATTTTACATACAGTGTTTTCATGAAAAATCCTTCAGATGACAATGAAGCAGTCGTCCCACACATGGCAACCTTACCTATAGTCAGTTTACTGACAGGGTTCACCTACCTGGGTCAGCAGATGTGGGTTGAAGCCCTTCATGGGAAAAATTTAAGGCCTCCACCTTGAGCAAAATCAGTCTCAGTACACTTCTATGCGGCCCACAATGTGCCTTCTGTTGACATGGGAGTATGTAGTAGGTCTGTGGTTCAAATCCCATCACGGGACTCAGAAATGTAATGACCAAAACAAACACATGAAAATCTGACTGTTCGATGCTTGACTTGAAAAGCTGCTGAAACAGGGACAAGTCGCCCAGAATATTGTGATATCTTTGCAATAATCATCACTTCAGGTTGACCAAAAAAGAATCCCTTGTAGTTTAAAAACACATGATATAAAGAGGATATTATATTTGTGTTCATATCATAATCGCTTTCGCTCGGGGAATAACAGAATTTAGGCACGAGTGTTGTAAACATAGCAGGACATGAACTCGAATATAGAATCCTCTATATATCGTGTGTTTAGCTATGACGTCCTTTCTAGTGTTACGTCATTACAACCTCAAGTCACAATAAGATTCGAATGACGTCAACAACACTGTCCAGATGACGGAAACTGTTGTCTCGTGACGGGACATGACCCTAGGGCACATGTGATTTTTATTAACCCTGATATCTTTTCCCTCGTAGGTAATAAACACTGTTATGCTCATCCTCCCCAAATAACTGCCTTCTCCTTCCTCATCCATCTGACCTTATGCCCTGTGTCTGTGACAGATGTATGAGAGCACACGGCCCCTGAAGATCGGCTTCTACACGTGGGACGGCAACATACGCCCAGTCCCTGCCACCATCAGAGCTGTCCATGTCGCCAAGACGGCCCTGGAGAAGATGGGGCACAAGGTGCAGTATCATACCTCCATGTCAGAATGATGAGATCTGATTGGTCAACGTGATCTAAATACTGTGTAACCCGCCTTGGAGGGTAATAAATTTCTCAATAAGGCATAAATCTCTTGTACCCCGCCACGAGCACTACAGGCTGCACGTGCATTTCTGAGAGACAGAAAAAGTCATTTGTGGCCCTCTGGCTTGTGGGATGCATAAAACTCCATGTACCCCTCGTGATCCTGCTACAACTTCTAGTATTTACTGTTTGGGGACTGATTGTTGGCTTAGCAGTGAATGGGGTGTGTGTTCAAGGGCAGATCCAGTGCTATTGAAAGGGAGGGGTCTAAAATGTCAAAATCATCTCTCAGATAATTTTTCTGCTTACAACATACTACATTTGTTTTTCAAAAGTGTGTGTGTGTGTGTGGTGGTGGGGGGGGTGGGGGGACTCACTCACTCAAGCAGTGCCATTGTGTAGACAGTGACAGATGACTATTCACTCACTCACTCTGTGTGTGTCACCAGGTTGTGAGCTTCTCACCTCCCCGGACATCGTGGGTTTTCCCGTCGCTGTTCGTGGGACCGATGACAGGAGACCGGTGTCAGTCAGTCAGGGAGAGGATGTGAGTACATGTATACAGTTAGCCAACATTCAGTGTACCGGTATATCAATTAGCATGTACTTTTTTAATGGAGATCTGGATTCATAAAACACATTTCTACTGACATTATGTCTTGCACCAAGTAAAAACCTCTACAGCATTAGCCAATAAACATGTTTATTTATTTACCATATTCACTGTATAAGGTGCCCTGCTCCAAAAAGCACCCACCCATGAACATCATCTAGACCGATCTGTAAGTAGTCTCGCCTCCACCAAACCTCCACTTTTGTAAATTATAAATTGCCTGTGTTGCTTTTTATGGTGAATTTGGTAATGGCGTTTGTTAATGATGCGATAAACATCGTAGCTTGATCTGATAAATATGCAAATGAGGTCACCTGGCAGGCACTACATCAATTCCAACATCAATGCTGTCCCTGTATTCCCAACATGTTGATGTTGCTGTGGACAAATCTGTTGGGCAATTAACTTAAGCGTGGTTTTCATGTGTGGTTGTTTCATCTATGAAAGAAATTAAAATTGTTGTTGAAATATGTTGAGGAAACAGGACAGATGTTGGTGCAGGATCCTGTGATGATGTTGTGCTGTTTCAGGGTCAGGGATTACGTAGATCAAAGTCTGAAGCTGGTGTATGTGGCCTGTGCTCTCCCCAAGTGGGTGGTGTCCCTGATATCCAGAGCCCTCCTACCCCTGGTGAGTCCCATTCCCAAGTCTGGGATATCATGTTGGGGATATCATAGCCATGTTCCTATGTGAGTGAAATAGTGAGTATGGTTTTACGCTGGTTTTAGCAATATTCCAGCAATATCACGGCGGGGAGGACCAGTCGGGAATGTCGGGAATCGAACCTGAGTCTTAGTGTAATATTCCTAAGTGGGTGATATCCCAGTGTAGTACTAGGAATGGGGGATAGCACAGAGTAGTATTCCTTAGTGAGTACTATCACGGTGTAGTATTCCTAAGTGGGGGATAGCACAGAGTAGTATTCCTTAGTGAGTACTATCACGGTTTAGTATTCTTAAGTGGGCGACACCACAGTGTAGTATTCCTAAGTGGGGGATATCACAGTGTAGTATTCCTAAGTGGGGGATATCACAGTGTAGTATTCCTAAGTGGGAGACATCACAGTGTAGTATTCCTAAGTGGGAGACATCACAGTGTAGTATTCCTAAGTGGGGATATCACAGTGTAGTATTCCTAAGTGGGGGATATCACGGTGAAGTATTTCTAAGTGGGGATATCACAGTGTAGTATTTCTAAGTGGGGATATCAGTGTAGTATTCCTAAGTGGGGGATATCACGGTGTAGTATTCCTTAGTGGGAGACATCACAGAGTAGTATTCCTAAGTGGGTAGTATCACAGAGTAGTATTCCTAAGTAAGTAATATCACAGTGTAGTAATCCTAAGTGAGTAATATTACAGTGTAGTATTTTTAAGTGGGGATATCACAGTGTAGTATTCCTAAGTGAGTAATATCACGGTGTAGTATTCCTAAGTGGGGATATCACAGTGTAGTATTTCTAAGTGGGGATATCACAGTTTAGTATTCTTAAGTGGGGATACAGTGTAGTATTCCTAAGTGAGTAATATCACAGTGTAGTATTTTTTAGTTGGGATATCAGTGTAGTATTCTTAAGTGGGAGATATCACAGTGTAGAATTCCCAAGTGGGGGATATCACAGTGAAGTATTCCCAAGTGGAGGATATCACAGTGTAGAATTCCTAAGTGAGTAATATCACATTGTAGTATTTTTTAGTTGGGATATCAGTGTAGTATTCTTAAGTGGGAGATATCACGGTGTAGAATTCCCAAGTGGGGGATATCACAGTGTAGTATTCCCAAGTGGAGGATATCACAGTGTAGAATTCCTAAGTGGGTGATATCACAGTGTAGTATTCCCAAGTGGAGGATATCACAGTGTAGCATTCCTTAGAGTGGATATCAGAATGTAGTATTTCTAAGTGGAGGATATCACAGTGTAGAATTCCCAAGTGGGGGATATCACAGTGTAGTATTCCCAAGTCGAGGATATCACAGTGTAGTATTCCTTAGAGTGGATATCAGAATGTAGTATTTCTAAGTGGAGGATATCACAGTGTAGTATTCCCAAGTGGGGGATATCACAGTGTAGTATTCCCAAGTGGGGGATATCACAGTGTAGTATTCCTTAGTGGGGGATATCACAGTGTAGTATTCTTAAGTGGGGGATATCACAGTGTAGTATTCCCAAGTCGAGGATATCACAGTGTAGCATTCCTTAGAGTGGATATCAGAATGTAGTATTTCTAAGTGGAGGATATCACAGTGTAGAATTCCCAAGTGGGGGATATCACAGTGTAGTATTCCCAAGTCGAGGATATCACAGTGTAGTATTCCTTAGAGTGGATATCAGAATGTAGTATTTCTAAGTGGAGGATATCACAGTGTAGTATTCCCAAGTGGGGGATATCACAGTGTAGTATTCCCAAGTGGGGGATATCACAGTGTAGTATTCCTTAGTGGGGGATATCACAGTGTAGTATTCTTAAGTGGGGGATATCACAGTGTAGTATATGTAAGTGGAGGATATCACAGTGTAGTATATCTAAGTGGAGGATATCACAGTGTAGTATTCCTTAGAGTGGATATCAGAATGTAGTATTCCCAAGTGGGGGATATCACAGTGTAGTATTCCCAAGTGGGGGATATCACAGTGTAGTATTCTTAAGTGGAGGATATCAGAGTGTAGTATATGTAAGTGGAGGATATCACAGTGTAGTATATCTAAGTGGAGGATATCACAGTGTAGTATTCCTTAGAGTGGATATCAGAATGTAGTATTTCTAAGTGGAGGATATCACAGTGTAGTATTCCCAAGTGGGGGATATCACAGTGTAGTATTCCTTAGTGGAGGATATCACAGTGTAGTATTCTTAAGTGGGGGATATCACAATGTAGTATATGTAAGTGGAGGATATCACAATGTAGTATATCTAAGTGGAGGATATCACAGTGTAGTATATCTAAGTGGAGGATATCACAATGTAGTATATCTAAGTGGAGGATATCACAGTGTAGTATATCTAAGTGGGGATATCACAATGTAGTATATCTAAGTGGAGGATATCACAATGTAGTATATCTAAGTGGGGATATCACAGTGTAGTATATCTAAGTGGGGGATATCACAGAGTAGTATATCTAAGTGGAGGATATCACAGTGTAGTATTTCTAAGTGGAGGATATCACAGTGTAGTATTCCTTAGTGGGGGATATCACAGTGTAGTATATCTAAGTGGAGGATATCACAATGTAGTATATCTAAGTGGAGGATATCACAGTGTAGTATTTCTAAGTGGAGGATATCACAGTGTAGTATTCCCAAGTGGGGGATATCACAGTGTAGTATTCCTTAGTGGAGGATATCACAGTGTAGTATTCTTAAGTGGGGGATATCACAGTGTAGTATATCTAAGTGGAGGATATCACAATGTAGTATATCTAAGTGGAGGATATCACAGTGTAGTATATCTAAGTGGAGGATATCACAGTGTAGTATATCTAAGTGGAGGATATCACAGTGTAGTATTCCTTAGAGTGGATATCAGAATGTAGTATTTCTAAGTGGAGGATATCACAGTGTAGTATTCCCAAGTGGGGGATATCACAGTGTAGTATATGTAAGTGGAGGATATCACAGTGTAGTATATCTAAGTGGGAATATCACAGTGCAGTATATGTAAGTGGAGGATATCACAGTGTAGTATATCTAAGTGGGGATATCACAGTGTAGTATATGTAAGTGGAGGATATCACAGTGTAGTATATCTAAGTGGGGATACCACTGAGTTGTATTCAATCTGTTTGTTTTCACCACCATTTTTGATCACAGATGTTGTCCTTTCAGGACCCAGTGCTGGGGAAATCCTTCCAGAAATTCACAGGAGTAAAGTAGGTGCCTTGTTCATTGTTGTCTTTACAAGTTTGAATAATAAATTATAATAGGAATAGTTTGATAATGTTTAATGTTTACAATGATTGAAATACAAATAACAAAAATAATATTTGAAAATGTTTCAGGTCGGTGTATGACTGGTTCAAAGTGGCTGACAGAATTCAGGTCAGATTTGGATTGATGTCAGATGGTGATTGAGGTGGGTGAGATGGTTTGATGTCAGATGGTGATTGAGGTGGGTGAGATGGTTTGTCAGATGGTGATTGAGTTGGGTGAGAGGGTTTGATGTCAGATGGTGATTGAGGTGGGTGAGATGGTTTGATGTCAGATGGTGATTGAGTTGGGTGAGATGGTTTGATGACAGATGGTGATTGAGTTGGGTGAGATCAGTTTATGTCAGATAGTGATTGAGTTGGGTGAGAGGGTTTGATGTCAGATGGTGATTGAGTTGGGTGAGATGGTTTGATGACAGATGGTGATTGAGTTGAGCGAGATGGTTTGATGTCAGATGGTGATTGAGTTGGGTGAGATGGGTTGTCAGATGGTGATTGAGTTGGGTGAGATGGTTTGATGTCAGATGGTGATTGAGTTGGGTGAGAGGGTTTGATGTCAGATGGTGATTGAGTTGGGTGAGATGAGTTGTCAGATGGTGATTGAGTTGGGTGAGATGAGTTGTCAGATGGTGATTGAGTTGGGTGAGATGAGTTGTCAGATGGTGATTGAGTTGGGTGAGATGAGTTGATGTCAGATGGTGATTGAGTTGGGTGAGATGGTTTGATGTCAGATGGTGATTGAGTTGGGTGAGAGGGTTTGATGTCAGATGGTGATTGAGTTGGGTTAGATGGTTTGATGTCAGATGGTGATTGAGTTGGGTGAGAGGGTTTGATGTCAGATGGTGATTGAGTTGGGTGAGATGGGTTGTCAGATGGTGATTGAGTTGGGTGAGATGGGTTGTCAGATGGTGATTGAGTTGGGTGAGATGGGTTGACAGATGGTGATTGAGTTGGTTGAGAGGGTTTGATGTCAGATGGTGATTGAGTTGGGTGAGATGAGTTGATGTCAGATGGTGATTGAGTTGGGTGAGATGAGTTTATGTCAGATGGTGATTGAGTTGGGTGAGATGAGTTGTCAGATGGTGATTGAGTTGGGTGAGATGAGTTGTCAGATGGTGATTGAGTTGGGTGAGATAGGTTGTCAGATGGTGATTGAGTTGGGTGAGATGAGTTGTCAGATGGTGATTGAGTTGGGTGAGATGAGTTGTCAGATGGTGATTGAGTTGGGTGAGATGAGTTGTCAGATGGTGATTGAGTTGGGTGAGATGAGTTGATGTCAGATGGTGATTGAGTTGGGTGAGAGGGTTTGATGACAGATGGTGATTGAGTTGGGTGAGATGAGTTGTCAGATGGTGATTGAGTTGGGTGAGATGAGTTGTCAGATGGTGATTGAGTTGGGTGAGATGGGTTGTCAGATGGTGATTGAGTTGGGTGAGATGGTTTGATGTCAGATGGTGATTGAGTTGGGTGAGATGAGTTTGATGTCAGATGGTGATTGAGTTGGGTGAGATGAGTTGTCAGATGGTGATTGAGTTGGGTGAGATGAGTTGTCAGATGGTGATTGAGTTGGGTGAGATGAGTTGTCAGATGGTGATTGAGTTGGGTGAGATGAGTTGATGTCAGATGGTGATTGAGTTGGGTGAGATGGTTTGATGTCAGATGGTGATTGAGTTGGGTGAGATGAGTTGTCAGATGGTGATTGAGTTGGGTGAGATGAGTTTGATGTCAGATGGTGATTGAGTTGGGTTAGATGGATTGATGGCAGATACGGATTGAGTCGGGGTAGGATGGTTGGATGTCAGCTGGGGTAGAGTTATAGATAGGGGTAGGGCTGTATGGGTTGAGGATCAATAAGGGACAATGATGGAGGGTGGTCTGGGTTTAAGCAGGGTTATGGATAGAGGGTGGATTGAGTTTATGTTTAGACTGCTGTTGTGCAGGATTGAGGGTGGTAAGGAGGAAACTGGACTGGAGATGTGTGGGGTTGAGTGTAGACCAGGGCACAGAGTAATCATCCTGATAATCATTCACTCTATAAATTCAAGTCTTTCTGTGAAGTTTTTCAAATTGATACATGTATGGTTGAGTAGTGTAGGGGCCATGGACTGACAATGTAGTAGACCTTATTGCATTTCTTTTTATGAATTTGTGGATCAATCTGGTTTTTACCATGGTTACAGAAATACAGGAAGGAGTTTCTGGAGCACTGGAACAAACAGGACTTGGATGCTGTCATCTGCCCTGTCTATCCATGTCCAGCTGTAGTTCTCAAAAGTGCAGGGAGACTGACAGGTGGGTCCCGTCGTCATGTGTTAAATAGCTTCTCCAATCTGGGACAAATCAATGAATTAATTGGTGTCTGTGTCTTTAACATGTTGAGGTGATGTTTGTCCTGTGTTTGTTGAAGCTGGCGGTTCCTACTGTGCGCTCTACAATGTGCTGAGATACTCCGCTGGCTCCGTTCCTGTTACCACGGTGACCGAAGCAGACGTACAGGAAGTGGCAGATCCAGAGGTGTACCCAGCGACTACGCTGCTGGAAAAGCTTACCAAACAGGCGAGTCTTCATCCCTCACATGAAGCGTCATGGTACATGATGGGGGGCATGGGTGGTCTAGTTGTCTAAGGCGCCGCGATTCGCTGTGCAGTGTTGTTAAAAACGGCGTAAAACCCAACTTACTCACTCACTCACTGGTACATGATGAGTAGCAAGACTGAGTCCCTGCGTAGAAGTATGTGCTCTGTCATCTGTTACAGTATTAGAAATTAATACAGGCATGTTAGCCCATCAGTACTTCATGGGTTTGAATACACTCCATCACCTGTGAATAGGTTCTCTTTCACAGACATCACTGGAATACTGTTAAGAGACGTTAAACTCACTCTACCAGTGGTAGAATAGGTCTTCAGCAACCCATGCTTGTTGTAAAAGGCGACTATGCCTGTCTTAAGAGGCGACTAATGGGATCGGGTGGTCAGGCTCGCTGACTTGGTTGATGCATGTCATCATATTCCAACTGCGTGGGTCGATGCTCATGACATCAATCACTGGAATGTCTAGTTCAGACTCGATTATTTCCAGACCACTGTCAAAAAGCTTGAATATTGCGGAGTGTGGCATTAAACAACAAACAAACAAACACTCTCTCAGCCTTTACCCTTCCTCTTTTAGCTCCAGGAGACATGAGGGTGCCTTGTGGAATTATTTTTAATGAACCTTACATCAGTGTTTAAAATACCCACCTGTCCTACAGTCCAAGATCAGTTTTGAAAGTTTGTTAGTCTAGAAGATTTTGGACTGGCAACATTTTATCAGGTGTGGTAACTTTGCCAAGTTGTCAGTCAGTCTGACTGAAATTTGGTATGAGGCCATGCATGAATAGTGTGAGAGTGAGTGAGTGAGTTGTTTTTTTAGGGACCCTGTTCTGTGCATGAATAGTGTGAGAGTGATTGAGTGAGGTTTTTTTTAGGGACCCTATTCTGTGCAGGAATAGTGTGAGAGTGAGTGAGTGAGTGAGTTTGATTTTACACTGCTTTTAGCAATATTCCAGCAATAACATGGCGGGGGACACCAGAAATGGGCTTCACACTTTGTACCCATGTCGGGAATCGAACCCAGGTCTTCGGCACAATGAACAAACGCTTTGACCACTAGCCTCCCTGACTGCCCCGAATAGTGTGAGAACCTGCCTGTTGCTTGATACTGAAGCAATGTGTGGAACAGATGGCCGCAAGGCTGCGGCACTCATTGTATGAGAAATAGAGCTGTTTGTGCTGTGTAAACTGAGCGCTCATTGGTTGGAGCTGGTTTCCCTCCGGCTTGAACTGGTCTGTGGCTTGATTCGCTGTGTACTAATAGCAACGACACTGCAGTACGACTGTATGTCTTCACGGGTGGTGCAGGACTGTAGAGGATACAAACTCATGACACAGGTGGATCCAGAGGGGGGGGGGGGGGCAGGGGTCCGGGGCCCGGGGCCAGCCTACCCCCACACACACCCCTTTGAAAACCAAAACCAAATGTAGTATGTTGTAGAGAACCCCCCAACCACTGAGAGAGGATTTTGATATTTTGGACCCCTCCCTTTTAAAAATGCTGGATTTGCCCATGCATGAAGTATAAGACTACCAACATTAAGTCACAAGGGACAGATAATCTTTCATTCTACGCATTTCAAATTGATCTTGAGAGATATAAAGTTAATTTCAAGAACAGTATTTATATACAGAAGATTTCCAGATTTCTGATCCAATCTTATTCTTTTCAACCAATCTGACTGCAGCACAACCTGCTCATTTCATGATGTAGAATGTGCTTTTCTTCTTGCAGGGTTCTAAGGGCAGCCAGGGTCTGCCCGTGAGTGTGCAGTGTGTGTGTCTGCCGTACCACGAGGAGCAGGTGCTGAGGGTGATGCGGGACGTCGAGCGAGGACTCAGCACATAGTGCAGGAACAATCAGTGTAGCAAGCCAGAACCTATATGTGTGCAGTAATGTTTTGTAGAGGTTATAAGGACCTGGGTGCCGTTGTACAAAGCAATCTTAGCGCTAAGGTGATCTAGCGCTTAGGATGTTTTGTACGTCATCTAGATGTGTAATTGATGACATGGTGAGATGGTGAGTGTGTGTGTGTGAGTGGGTGGGTGTCCATGTGCTCTAATCTATTTAAACATACCAGCCAGGACCCACTTACACAAAGCCATCTTAGCGCTAAGATTATCTAAGCCTATGTTAAAGTATGGGAGTTACAATCATCTTAGCGCTAAGATCGCTTTGTGCAAGTGGGTCCTGGTCCAATATTTCAAAGAACCTCATCACCTAAAGTATGAAACAGTATTGTTTTTTAATAATATTTTGGAAGATATCCAAGTTATTAACCGTGAGAACACTATCAATCGCCTTGGCTGGACACATGTGTTCGCTGAGCCCTTTAGACATGCACCTACGTTTGGGCGACTTGGGCTGTGAAATGTGTGTCCAGAGGAAAGTATATTCCCTCATACAGGACCAGCCTGAACACATTCACCCGTCATAGAAGTACAACTTGCCCACTTGCCTGTATGAAGCTAGAAAATAATACTTTTTTAAAAGAAAATAATACTTTTTAATGAAAACATATGTTCATGTTATTTCATGCTGTCATTTCATTGTTCATTTAACAAGAAATGAATATTTTTTGTGTTGCTAGGACAAAAATATAAATATCTTCTTTCCCTCATGTTATTTTCCAACTTTTATGTGAGATATCCATGAGGACTTTTGTTGCCAGGCAAGGGCAGGTTACTCTAACATCAGATCAGTGGCTTGGTGACCTTGGATTTGCATTCTTGGTGTGCCATTGTTAAAGTGTTGAAAGCATGGAACATAGCTGCATAAAAATTTGTGCGTTATTCATTTGCAAAATTTGTAAAATTAAAATGTTATGTGTGTGAGGCAATATCTGTGATCACATCAGTAATTTTGTAACCATGTATGGATTACACTGTGGTGATGAATCATAAACACATCCAACCTTATTCAGGTTAAATGGAGATGATGTTTGAATTACCTCCCTTTGTGTTTTGAAAAGTTTAAGAGTAATCTCCCTTGATCAGTTGCCCTGGAGACAGGTTTGGTAAAATGTTCCGTTGTACATCATGCTCTAGGAGCTTTATGGACCTTAATGCTTGCTCAATTTCTGGCAATGTTCTTGCTTACACAATAACCAGAAAACTAAGCCCGAGTCAGTGATGCTGGGAAATGATATTGAAGGTTTGATGTGTAAATGTGTAATACATCCTGCCATTCTACTTTGTTCACCGACACATTAACCCAGAGGCAAACACCAAGTTGTGATAATTTTATGCTTATGCAAAAACACAATCATTAATGTCATGAATACTCTTTGATTTAAGATAAATGTGTGAACAGATGAAGTGCTTGTGTCAAGTACTCAAGAAGGTGAAAATCTGTCCAGTGTGTATGCATCCTTGATTGTCCATTGTTAGCATTGTATTGTATCTCCATACTGAGTACCCTGAAACATTCACCACCTCAACTTCCTCTGGGATCTCATGTCTCCATCTCCATCTGTCCATCTGTCCATCAATAACTAAGAACTTCTCTTGCACATGATTTTGAAATTAATAGACGTCTATTTAGTTTCAAAACGGACTTAAAACAAAGCTCTGGTTGTAACTGGTTACTACAGATATGAAGGTTGTGTGTTCGATCCTCGGGAATATAAAGAAAATGTTTGTCATTTGATTTTAAAGTTCATTACATTGTATTCAAATGCAAAATAAATTTCTATCCAGAAACGTTCTAAGTTACAATCTAAACGGAAGTTGTATTAATAAAATACCTGGGATATTATTATGTATTATACAGCAAATATGCCTTGAATATAATATAAATCCCTAGGGTGATATATAAATTCCTGGGAATATTATATCATCCCTGTTTATGGGGTTTAACCGAACTGGAGTACAATACGATGACGTCTCTGGAGGTTTATGACAGAATAGAATGGACATAGTATACTTTGGATAACTTTAAATATTTTGTGTGATAAATGATATTGATTTGTCTTCGTTCAGACATAATTTGTAAATACATCTTTTACAAATTATAAACATGACTGTTACCATGGTTATTTTTAAAGGCACATGATGTGCAGATTTATGAATGTATTTTACCACATATAGTGACGGTTGTTTTGTTTATTGTTCATGTGTACGCGAGTTACTTTTTTTATGATTTGTACATCTTAAACAGAATTTACAAATATTTAAATTGTGTTTACAAACAAAAGAAGTTATTTGTTGTGATTATTGATATACACAGAGTGAGTGAGTGTGAGTGAGTATGGTTTTATGCAGCTTTTAGCAATATTACAGCAATATCACAGCAGGGTACACCAGAAATTGGCTTCACACATTGTACCCATGTCGGTAATCGAACCTGGGTCTTCGGGGAGACGATCGAACGCTCTAACCACTAGGCTACCCGACCGCCCCTATACACAGAGAGCTACCAGTGCAGACATGACAGCAGTTTCTCACAAGGTCCGAGGGTTGAATTTATGTGGTGACTGCATTATTTCTTTGAGGAAGAAAATATCAACATTTTCATTGAAAGCTTTTTAATATCACATATGTGACTGAATATGTGTATATAACACATCAGTGGAGGACTGGTACCAGGAGCAGGATGAAAATATAGATGACTGTTTTTTTCATGTTTTCATGAGGACAAGTTGGACTTAACTGTGATGGTAGTACATGTTTCCGGAACAGAACTCGATAACTTGACGAAATTTTCCATACAGATCAGTGTAGTAGTGAACTGTAAAAATACTGAACAGCATTAGTTTTTTCTTCACTGAACTGAATGTATCCAATGCCAATGAACCAAAAGTGGGGTATAAGTAGCCGAACTCCATTTCCGAATTGCACCAGACCAGGGGGGACATGTCGTCTCCTGATGTGCTTCAGGTACCCTAAGTTTGGTACCTGTGCCTGGTATCATGATTGTCTTGTGTCACATGTATATTTCATGTTCACAAACGTCCAGATGACTTTGGTGAATAAATGTTAAGCTTATTTCACTCCAACAAATTAAGTAGAGCTTCTTTCACAGAGTTTATTTCAGATATATATAAATATAACAAAAAGATGGAATGATAAGCTGTATAAATATAGAAACATAAATACAGAATTATATCAAAATATCACAATTAAGAAGAATCGGCTTTCAGCAACCCACTGAATTGTCCATACGACTGTACATTTGCCAGGGTTAAAACACTACACAAAGCATCAGTTACTAATCACAACCAACAAAGATTTAACAATTTGAAATAAATACTTCGAAAAATTAACAATTTCAATATTGGTGAGATGAGGTGAAATGGGGTTTAACGTCGCGTCCAAGATTATTGCGATTATATAGGGATGTGTGTGTGCGTGCCTGCGTCCACTAGTCTAGACTAATGCCGATTTATAGTGATAGCACACTGAGATACAGTTTAACATGAATACCCCACTCAGACACAGTATACTGACCCCGAGCCGACCAGTCCTTGTTTTAGCCCCTAATGCCGAGGGCCAGACAGGGTAACAACAAGTACCATCTATTATCGTCTTTTGGGGATCGGCCGGGGATCGAACCCCGGACCTTCCGCTCTCCGGGCAGACGCTCTACCACCAGACCACGGAGGCGGTTTTTTTCAATATTGACTTACGAATTGAAGCTGGACTGTTTTTCTGGCATCTGTCCATCCTCAATTACCAAGCATATCGTATCTATTCCATCACAATAAAATGAAAACATTATCATAGCTGGATAATCGAGGATGGCATCGGACTTGTGAAAGTTTAACTTAATGGACATTTGAGCATAGTAGAATGAAATCTACGGTCTAGAGTTGAAGGGGGATCTGGTAACTATTTTCTGTGTTGGCCTTGATGGCAGTGGCTTGTCTCAATCTGAGACACTGTGTAAGTACTGGTGATTCAGGATAAGTTGATGGCAGTGGCTTGTCTCAATCTGAGACACTGTGTAAGTACTGGTGATTCAGGATAAGTTGAGTTGTGACCTGACAATTAACCCCGTATGACTATGTATGAGGTCCACCCACTCGCTCGTACCATTGTGAAGAAAGGGGTAGCAGGTACATGTAGTCTGCTACAAGTAGTAGGATGGAAATGTGTGTGTTCTGTCTCGGCTAACAAGTTCTAGTGGCGAGTTCAAATGCACATGATAGTACGTGCTGATGTGAGGTACCAATGACTGAAAACGGTGACAGCAAATTTGCAATGTTAAAAACAACAGTTGAGAAGTATCGTGACAACGAAGGGAATTCATTTGCTGTAAGAATGGAATACCACAGAGAGCAATAATGAATATTGTCATGTCATGCATCAAATGATTGTGAAGGCTGAGACCTTAACGTAGTGCTAATTGACTCAGTGACATACTCTTTAATTAATCCTATGTTATTGACAATGAGGTTTCAGTATACTGTCAATGTAATACAGTGAATTCTCACTGTGTAGAAACCTTTTTAGCCGAAAAAACTCTTATGTAGATACTTTCCTTTGGTCCTGACATTGTCACTATATAATTATCATTATTTTTTGTCTGATAAGTAGAACGATTAAAGTAGAAAACCTTTTGTCTAGATATACGTCCTTGGTCTTCAGAGACCTGCTACATAGTAAATGTGACCTGATAAGTAGAATAGCAGTCAGTGTGGTTGTAAACACACTGCTGACCAAACCATCACTACAGTCTGTACACAGTTAAGTAATGAACAGGCAAGAGGGTCCACTAGCCTTTTTATCAAAGTCTTGTTTCCACGGCATAGATATAGGCTAGTGGACACGCTTGCCTCGGGAAGATGCTGGGAGTGCTGATCCCTACCCTACACTAACTGCCCTGTTAATCTGTAGTCGACAATGAGATGACATGGAGTCCATCTCGCTAATGAGCGTAACGTGATAATAAACATCATAGGTGTGTTCTGGAGAAGAGAGGATAAAGCATATTAATGTTTATTTAGAATTAGATTGAAGTAAAGATTGTAAGCCTCATCACTATTATTTTAGTTATTATTTGTGTCTCCTATCAGTGCAGTGTGTAACAATGCATACACCCGTGAAGATCCGGGGTAGAATAGGTCTTCAGCAACCCATGCTTGCCGTAAACGGGATCGGGTGGTCAGGCTCGCAGACTTGGTTGAAGCATGTCATCGATCCTGATTGCGTGGATCGATGCTCATGATATCAATCACTGGATTGTCTGGTCCAGACTCGATTATTTACAGACCGCCGTCATGTAGCTGAAATATTGCCGAGTGCGGCGTCAAACAACGAACCAACCAACAATGCATACAGAACGTGAGGTACATGATTTAAACAAGGCACGCAAGTCATAGTTTGTTAGCTAGGTAACCTGTAAAGTAGTGATTGTTTCTAGGTCCCTTATCAGGCTTTCACTGTATTGCTGGCTGGATTGACATTGAGTAATTTGGATTGTCATGGCATCAATCTTCACATCCTGATGCGCTTTAGCGTAAACGCAGACAGACCAGTGGCAATGATGGCTTTATAAAATACTTGAACTTTCTTTGTACATTCTTTCTCCATGTAACTTATGACATTATAGGCCAATTCTCCAGGCTGAGAACGTAGGATTTGGGCATGATAACCTAGTTCCGACAGGTTTATTTGTTTGTAATTAACTTCTATCAAACGTGAGTGAGTGAGTATTGTTTTACGCCGCTTTTAGCAATATTCCAGCAATATCACGTCGGGGGACACCAGAAGGGGGCTTCACACATTGTACCCGGGTCTTCGGCGTGACGAGCGAACGCTTTAACCGATCGCCCCTCTTTCTAATGACTTTTAGAGAATTCTGGTATGGAATTGTCACACGGTTCTCTTGAAAGTCTCATGAGCAATACGTGTGTCTACGGGAGCGTAGTCTATTTCACCATCATGACCTGCACGTGCATAACATGTGTACACCCACTCTACCTGTAACAAACAAAATATGTTGCCCAAATTCTGTGCGCAGCCTGCTTGTGCCAAGTGCGTTTTGTGAGTTGGTTCAACTTATCCTGGATTACCAGTGGGGTACCGGTGTCAGAGAGTGGGATTTCCCCCCTAGCCTAATTTCCCCCGGAAAAAGGGCTATATAGCCAAATTTCCCCCCGGAAAAAGGGCTATATAGCCAAATTTCCCCCGGAAAACTGGCTATATAGCCATACTTCCCACGGAAAGCACAATATATGGCCATATTTGCCACCCGGAAAATACACTATATAGCCAATTTTCTGCTTTGGAGTGAGATTTTCCCCCTAATTAAATATATGTCTATTATCAAAAGTACCTAGATGTACAGTTGGCTGATTGAGTAATTTACAAGAGAAACCATGATTAAAATCTTGTGTTTTTTTGCGCCATACATTCTTAATTTTAATAAATAGAGGATAGTTCATATCGACAGTGAGATATGGCGGATCTGTCACTCGACAGATCAGATCAGCCTTTTGTCACTGACGAAATGAATTGTTTTATTTATTATATATTTATTTAGTAGGGTATGTGTTGTTTTTTTTATTTTGTTGTGTATTTGAGGTAAATCAGCGAAGCTAAAATCTTCCAACTGTCTTCAGTAACAATACGTCACATTGCTAATTGAAACACACTTTGCTAGTTGATTTCTATCAGGTCTGCACTGTAAACTTGAACGGCAGTCGTTCTCCTTATCATGGTTGCAGTGCCATATCACTTTTCTGTCATCGAGAATCCTCAGTCTCTCACTGCCAAGTATATTATAAAGTAAATTTACAACGTATAAAGCGCATATATCTGTGCGTGCTCATGGCATTTCTTGCCCCGATCTGAGGTCCGTATATTTTGCATTCCAGAACTTCCCAGCTACATGTGAAATATGCAACCAAAGCTGCCTGTCAGGCGCTAGATTACCCATTCACATTACCACATTAACTCCTTGGTACCCATTTACTGTTTGTGGACAGAGGCATGCATGAACAAGATTACTTGCCAAAGGTGACCCCGCAAGTTTTTCAACTCGTGTTTCAGTGGAAGATATATACGTGAGTACTGTTTCCGTCCTCTGTTCATTTACCAGCTGATGAGCGGATGCTGTTTAGCGCACAGGGTTGTGAACTGCAGGCTATGCTTGCGACAACACTTTTAGGACCTGTACTAATGTCAGCCCTTAGGTTAAATAACTAAAATAACTACAGTGGCTAGCAAAATCTCAGGATGCAAATTCAACAGTCTGGACTCTCTTTACAATCAACGTGTTTTACAGCTTGCAAATAGAATTTTAGACCAACCAAATCACTTTTTATACCCTTGTTATGGCGTTTTACCATCTGGAAGAGATATAGTGTACCTTGTTTTAAATCAAATAGAGCCAAATCTTCATTTGTTCCCGTTAGTATTTTATTTTTAAATGATGAACCAAGTCAAACCTGTCTCTTAATCATTGTTTAATTCTTATGTGCTAGTGTTAATTCATAATATATCTTCTTTAATAGTGCATATTTTGTTGCTTTATGTTATGCATGTATGTTCTGTGTGTATGTTTGTATGCATGGAGTGTTATGTAAGTTTGCATGGAGTGCTATGTATGAGTGCAGATATATGTGTTGGTCTGAAATTGTATTGTTCGTAATGAGTGTATGTATACTCTTTTCACTTCAAATATAATCCGAATTCACCTCGGGGTAATAAAGCTATATTCTAAATAACACTAACGGGGTTCGAACCTGGGACCTCTTGCTCTTCAGCATGATAAAGGCGACAGTGAAATTTTCAGCACCATCAAAACCATAACATTGGTGAACAGAATAACTATGTAAAAGGAATTTTATTCATTTTACTGAATACTAATGACCTTGTGAAAGTGGCATAATGGATTTAAACAAACAAAATAACCTAAACTAGGCAATATAATAATAATGATAACAAAAATATAGGATCTGGTAGATAACGTCAATATTAAGAAATCAAAGTTAATAGTACCATAAGGGTTTTGATAAAATGAGTCTAAATTCACACATGAACTCAACTTTGAAATAAATATTTGTTATATCACTGTCCTGTGTAGGTGATGTAATAAAAATGAAGAAAGGTTATAAACAGTGCAATCAACTGTCATCTGTCAAAAAACACATTTGTAATGGAAGTTAACAAACAAAATAACTCAATCAGACAATATTATAATAATTAGGATAACAAAAATATAGGACATGTCAGATAATGTCAAATTTTAAACACGTAAAGTGGATACTTCCAAAAATTGTTTGGATAAAATGAGTCTGTTTTCACACATGAACACAGCTTTGAAATGAATATTATGTTTATTGTCCTGTGTAGGTGACATAGTCAAAATGTACTCCACTGTTATTGCACAGATAAATGCACTTCTCTGTCATTGATACTTGTCCAAGAGTTTCAGACTTGTAACAAAGCCACTTCATCGAGGAGCCTGATTTGGACCATATTTGAATGTTGGTGTTGAGAATTGCTGCTGTTGAAAGAATCTCAACTTCTGTGGCCCATTTGCCATCAATATCCATTCCACTGTTTTCCAGATAGCTTTCTCCAAAATGCTTCTTTATTTGCTCATGGTGTTCCACCATCAAAGTAACGTTTGCATTTCGAACAGAGAGGTGATACTTCTGCACACCAAATAAGGCTTGGCTTATGGCTCGGAAATAGCAATTTCCATCGCCTCTCATTGGCTCAATCTTGGAGGGCTTGGCAAGGACAGGTAGACACACAAATGTTGGGTGTTTCTTTCCACTCCGTGGTCTTTTCGCTACAACCTTTGCCTTTTCTGTTTGCCACTCATGATCGACAGGATTGAAATATTGGAGATCACTGGTTTTGTTATACTTCACACTGTCTGTATCTGACATGTGATCTGCATGAGATGGCTGGTCTTCGTCAGTATCTGACATTTCCTCTGCATTAGATGCCTGGTCTTCACAAACAACTGTTGCACCAGCCTCCGAACACGAAACAGCTTTGCTGCTTTCTTCTTCTTGTGTCGGAATAACGTGTTCGGTATGTCCTTGAACAGGTCTTTCAATGAAACGCTTCAGAAGTTTCACATTGTACTTTAGTCCAAGAATAACACCATTAAGCGTCTGGAGGACCGCAACGTCTGTTGTAATTTAGAGCCTTTCCTTGACGCCTTCCTGGCATTGAACAGAAGAACTTGTGCTCCAACTTCAAAGGGCCGTGGTGAATGTGTCCTTCTCTTCTTGAATTGGCTGCACTGTTCAACTTGGGCCATCTGAATGTTTGATTTGCACCGTTTCTTCAACTTTTCCCTTACATCAGCAAGATGTTCAACACACCTGTTCATGTCAGCCTCGGAATTCACAAACTGGATATTGTCATTGATTTCTCCGGTCAGCGAGGACACAGCCTTCCGACCGTACATCACTTCAAATGGTGTAAGCTTGCTGCTTTTCTGGGGTGATGTTCTGTATGCAAATAGTAGTTCCTGAAGGTGGATATCCCAATCATCTTGTTGTTGATTGCAGATTTTAAGGATCATTCTCTGGATAGTCTGGTTAAACCTCTCAACGAGACCGTTCGTTTGCGGGCGATAGGCTGTTGAAATGCGCTGTGAAGCACCAGCTACCTTGACAAGATCACCAACCACCACGTTGACAAATTCTCTACCCTGGTCGCTGCTATACACAGACGAAAAGCCTAACCGTAAGCACACTTCATACCTCGCAACAGTTGCAGCAGACTTGTCGGGGATTGCAACACATTCTGGCCACTTTGAAAAGTAATCCACAATTGTGAGAATGTAAACGTTGCCCAATTTAGATCTTGGCATAGTGATCAGATCAATACCGACATGGTACCATGGCGAAATAACTGGTATAGGGTGGAGTTCTTCATTTTCTTCTTTATTGAACTTCACAGCTGCCTTTTGACACTGCACACATGACGATATGTACTCTGATACATCTTTATAGAGGCACTTTCAGTAGACCACAGCTGCAAGTTTGGCATATGTTTTTTCTTTGCCCAAATGGCCACCCATATCGTGAAACTCCCTGAGCAAAACACCATGCTGGTCCTTCAGAATTATGACTTCCCGTTCTACGTTTTTCCTGTTTATCCACAATAGCTTTCCATTTTTATCTTTATAGGATTTGGCTTTTGACCTCAATTTACGCTTATCTGTTTTAGCGAAACTCTCGGGATACTTGTCCTTTGTCAGGTAAATGAATATTCTTTCCTCTTCAGTTGTCATATTTGCTGTTCCGTTTCTGAATCATACTCACTATCTACAGTGGTAGTGCTGTTTGATCAATGTTTGTTAAATGGTGCAGTAGGTTATGTTTTTTAAAACTGCATTGAAAAATCTGAGGTATATAGGGGAAATTCTGCTATATAGCCATACTTCCCCCTTGTGTTAAGGGGGGAAATCTGACTCTAAAGCGGAAATATGGCTATGTAGTCATTTTTCCCCCGGGGGAAATTTAGCTATATAGCCCTTTTTCCGGGGGGGAAATTAGGCTATATAGCCCCTTTTCCGGGGGGAATTTAGGCTAGGGGGGAAATCCCACTCTCTCACACCGGTATTCATCAACTGCTAGATTGTTAAACACAAAAGAATAAGAATTATAAAGTCAGCGTTCGAAATACCTGCCTGCCCAACCGTCCGAGACGGGTTGATTTCAACTCGGGCTGCCAGATTTTCAAATCCCCCTGCCCGACGGTCGGGTCATATTTCATAGGTGAAAATATTCTAAATATTTCCCGATGATAAGCATTAATTCACATGTAAAGAAGAATGATAAAATATAACCAAAAAGAAATCCCGTTAGCTTTTAGACAACCTAACATTTAGCGATGCGCTTATGCTACAAGCAATCAGTTTTCATATTTTTAATTAAATTATCCTGAGAAACATATTGGTTCGCAGTGGAAGACTGAACTAAACTAAACATGAAAACTTACCTTGCAATCAACTAAACGTGAAATCCCCTTGTAATCAACTAAACAATGAAAATGTGATAAGATCAAATGAAATGGATTTGAAACTAAAAGTGAAGTTGCCGTATGGTAACAATGTAAATGGGTAACTCTCTCAACTATTTCTATTCTATTCTATTCTATTTCTGTAATTTTCTAATTCACTATTTGCTAACTTAGAGAGAGATATCCATTTACTCCTTGCCCATATGAATGCCAGAAGCCAACTGGAATAAACTGTTTCTAGAGCATGCGCATTTTGCGCTCATCCAGCAAGAAGCACGTGCTGCATGCCAACTTTAACACTTTCCGCGAAGCTGTTGTGTACCAATGCGTCAACCACTGTGTCCAGGAACATGAAACTTGTTCCCGGACAATTGTTCCCGGACGCTTCAGAACACATATGATTATAGTGGGCAGGCAGGTTTTGGTCAGGGCTGGCAAGTATTTCAGCTAGCCAGTCCTGTGGTCTGGCTGAATTTTTTGGGAGTTTCATACCCTGATAAAGTGCGTTTTGAATGACTATAAAACAAATTAGCTAGGAGTGCCAACTGACCTGAGCCTCTCTTTAACACTTAGAAAACACAGAAAATGGCAATAGTAAAAAAATGATACTGATTCCAAATATATCAAACTTGAAGTTTCTTATGTTGCATTTGTAGCAGCAGGATAGGTAGACCTGGAGATGCAATGCAACAGGTACCTTTAATCATCTGGTTGTTCAGAAAACAGTACGCCAATGACCAACGTCATGATGTACATGAAACGTTTATCATCATGTCTTGCAGTTGTCATGGTATCGGCCATTAGGGGCATAAACAGATTCGGAATCGGTAGATTTCCAACTAGCATCTTTCTAAATTGTCTAAGACTGAAATGCAGTTCTTCAAGCGTGTCTGAGTTCTGCCAGGCTGTGTACCCTCTTCCTAACTCTCTGTCATACATCAGGGTCCACATCAACATGCGTATCGGGTACGTCCCCAGGCCCAATCTGTCATCGCTGTCAGGGAAGAAATGCCTTTTTGTGTACTCAGCAGCTTTTTTGATCTGCTTTGATATGCTGGATGTGTCGGATAAATCACTGTCACCTTTTGCGATCTCCTTTGCCCTCTTGATAATTCTTATAACTGGCTTCCAGCATTTCTTGTCTGCGTGCTTCGAAAGCATTTTCTCTGCATAGGTGAAGCTCATCTTCCACTGGAGAGCCTTGTCCGGAACATCAGCTTAAACAAACAACAAATCGTTGAAATATCATAGAAAAACGGCAGAACGCCTTTGTACCCTGTAAACAATATAATCACGTCAAATGCAAACTTTACATATGTTTTAGTACTCATTTAGAGTTATCCACAGACAGCAGTTTCACAAATGGCGTATGTGTTGGCTTTCTGTACCAATAAGACACTATACAATGTTCACTCAATTAACTGTTCTGCGTTTATTCAAGGTGCTATGCCCCTAGTGTGTGTAGAAAGGGGATCCCATTCTGACGTATTTAGGCCATGTGTTACCGTAGGTCTTCCAGCCTGTTAGTATGACTCGATGACCACCTGTAAGTTAATATACTGTGACGTCATTTGCATTCAACAGCTGATACATTGGTAGTTATATATATTTTGAACTTAAACACAGAATCGAGATTGTTTTTGTGCCACATTCGGGTTTGAATTTGAGCACACAAAATACGCTGGTTTGGCATATTTTGCTGACAGATGTACTGCCATTCAGTAGTTATATATACCCTTGCAAAGCTTCATCACGGTATTGAAGCCCTCATCCATGATCCCTTTTGGATCAACCTCGCTGGGCAAATCCCTGGATAGTTTCGTTCGTAAATTGTTGGCCAGAGGGAAATCTGGCCACTCGTCAACATGGATGGCTGCGACAAAGTCAATCTCAATGTCTGGCAGGTCAGCCGTTGTCTTGTAGATGACGCGGTACGATGGACTTTTGTCATACGTAAGATCCTCTGAAATGAAAGGGGATTGGATGGTCACAATGAAACCTCTGTAAATGAACAGTATTTTTGATATACATTGTGGGGTCAGCCTGGTGTGGGAGGAAAGTGATGCAGGTCTTAGGTGAAGGTCTTTCTCGGTGAAACACACCAGCATATGCTGACAATCCTAGAATCATTATCAGGATGAATATGGGATTCGGGTCCTCGGTCATTGGATCCTGTCACACCATAGGGGAGAGTAATTTTTTTAACCTTTCTTATTTGTTGGTTGTTCATTGCTGCATCCAGCAAGATTCTGATCTATTACTGACAAACAAGCAATTGCTATTCTGAGCAACAACACCATGTACATCAGTGACACACAATCAACCAAATCACGGAGCCATTTTGTCGCTTCATACGGCTAACATAGATTGCATATTCTAACCCGGAGTCTCCCCGGTGTTTAAGATTATTGACAATATTAAAAGAAAGTTACTTAATATACAGTGCTATCAAACAAGGAAAGAATTTCATTAAGAAAACACTACTTTTAATTCTTTGCCCGCTCTGAAATTTATCCAGCTTGCAAAAGATGTATCTTCTGAACTTTTCCATGTTCATAAAGCCTTCATCACAGTATTTGTGAAGGTGGTGTTCTTCATCGTTGTTAACCTTCAGCCTGCAGTGGCTAGGCTGGCAACGTTCGTAGTCTGGCGTTACCGCGTCAACAAAGGATGGAATCAGTTGGCAGTCCATCTCATTTGGTCTGGAAACCTGGAACGCAGTATAACCTCTGGTATTATATACCGCAGTTTGCCCATGTAGAACATAACAATATGGTATTAAGGAACAATGCAAATTCATGCTCTTATTTTGTTTCAGGAATACTGAAAGTATTGGGTATTGGTTAGTGACGAAATACTGTTACAGTATTTGACTGAAAAAATGAAATTGTTATCTCACTCAAGTGAAATAATACTGCCGGAACAAGTTTCAGTCTTTTAAAAATATAATCATTGATATGACCAAGAAAATACATGATAAATCCAAAAAATGGACAAGTGACTGCAGAACTAAAAATATATACGTTTATGTCAGGACCCTGGATGAGTTACACATGATATTTGGCAGTTTGGTTAGGTAAGAACATAGAAATATCCTCTATATATTTCAAAGGTGTTTGTAGCTGATACAGTCTGGAACACAATTACATGAAGAATTTCACGAGAGTGTCTTATAAATAAACAATTGTATAAAATTTATAACCTGATAACTTCGAGGCTTGTCGAGGGATTCTAAATTTTCATCGATAAGTGTTGACATATTTGTTATAAAAAGAGATGAGGTTGAACTGCTACTAAACGTCCAAAATCATTCTTCCAACTTATTCGGTTTGTAAAAAGTAGTAACCAGGGCCCTGTTGCACAAAGGGATCTTAGCGTGGAGGTGATCGTAACTGCCATACTTTAACATAGGCTTATGACAGCCGTAGGGCTAAGATCACTTTGTACAACAGGGCCTAGAGTCATCACGGTAAAAAGTACAGTTAACAAGCATAGAGGCTGAGATAAGAGGTGTCATTTGATTGTGATGTAATGGTAACCGATGAAGTCACAATGTCAAAGGCTCTACAATGACCCTATGGATTTCCATTTCATGCCGTGTGTCATCTCTCGACACATATCTTAGCATTCTATGAATTCTGCAAGTACTGCGTATAATTTGACCCCTTCTACAGTTCCTTATTTATAAACATATAAAATAGCTACGCGATAAATAACAATGAAAAACGAAGCGTGGTTTATTTCACGATATAACATTGTTCTATGATGAGATTCATCTGGAGATTCAAACATACGCGTGCAACTTGATAACGTCGTACATTGGACGACGTTATTTTTGAGAGGGGAGTGTCTAGTGAGTTGTTCCCCATAGATGTAGCTGGGCAACGCAGATAAACGCGATGACCGAACGATCTCATCCCATACCGGGAGAGATATGACAATCAGTATTTGGAGAAAAGGTACAGGTAATCGACGTGAGGATTGTGAGAATATGCGGGAAATACCCACCTGTGCATAAAATGGACTTGTCAGACATTGTCGAGGTCGGTTCATAATGAGTCATCATTATTTAAATTTATTACATGCCCGTGAAGAGATCACCCGTTTAATAAACATACAGCTGTATTACACATTGTGTAATACCAACAAACATTGAAAGCTCTCAATATCCCTTGGCTTATTCAACGACATTGCGTGAGGAGATGATAAATCACTGAGGGGAGCTTATGCACACCCGATGACCCCAGCAACCTTGTTGCTAGGCTGACGTCACATGGCATTGTTTCGCCGATGGATTTTGCAACAAAATACTACAAATTAGGTGGACCGTGGTATGGTAGTAAATTAATTCCTTTCAACGTTTGACGTGTCTGAAGTATTATTCTGTAAAACTCAGTTGGATATTATGCCGTGGATCGTGTAGGTGTCAGCCTATTCACACACGACAGTGAAATTCTAAAAACCTTCGCTCATTAGATACCACAACAATTCACTCGTTTCATAAAATTGGTATTACAAGGGAGCTCGTTTAGTATTCTATATATGGGTAAATATTTTTAAAGCGTGTACATTTTATCATCAACCTTAAAGAGGCTGTACATAATGTTGCTATCTCATATAGGAAATAAACAACGAGTGGGAGTTGTTTATCGTACAATAAAACATTGTAGGGAGAATAAGCCACGAGGATGCTGCAGTGTTTTATTGTACGATAAACAACTTCCACTCGTTGATGAAGGGCGCATGCGCGAGCAAACGAGCAGGTCGTGTTTTGAACTGCTCCGCCATGGGTATTGAATTAACTAAATATCGAATTAAAATTGGTACCTTTTCTCAACCCGATAAAGCAAAAAGAAGTTTGCATGGACTAAGTATGGAGAAAAGTGCAGTTTCTAGGTGTTTGAGGCTACTTTTACTCCTCAGCGTGCTACTGGTGACGTGTGGATCTGTGGAGGTGAACCCGGGGCCGAGAGGCTCGAAATCAACTCAACAAACTCTCACTGCGGACAGTGGTGGAGCCCTCGGTTTAGATCGTGAGACTGATATAAAATCGATGCACACGAAGTTTGACTCGCTCGATACAAAAGTCGAAAACATGGCTGCCGAATTTCGCAAGCAAGACGACGAGTTGAGTTCTCAAAATGATGAACTACATCGCAAGGTGAATAAACTCGAAGACCGTATAGAGGATCTCGAATCCCGTAGTAGGAGGAATAATCTAATTTTTCACGGTATCGACGGAGAAACGGGAAACCTGGGAGCAGTCGGAGAGGAAAGTCAAGGACTTTATGTATGACTCACTAGGCATGTCCGACGACGAGATAGATAGGGTAGTGATTGTTAGAGCCCATCGTCTTAATCCTAGAAAAGCCGGATCCCCTATCATCGCTAATTTCATGAAATCGTCGGATAAGAGCCATCTACGAGGTGGAGAGGGAGTGAGGGTCACTGAAGACTTCACTAAGAAGGTACGGGAAGAGCGGCGTCTGCTATCACACTGGTATACCCAAGCCAGGGACTCCGGAAAAAATGTTAAAATGAGACAAAACAAACTCATAGTTGAGGGGGCGACTTTTATCTATGATCATTCAAAAGGATCCATTTCACAAATCGGTGGTAAACCCTCAAATTTCGACAAGACGACACGCCCTCCATCATTAACGCTCGGACAAGCTGTTAACACCTCACCACGTGGAAGTTTGTTTACACGACGTGGCTCCGAAAATAGCCCTCCGAGGGAGGCCACTCCAAGCAGCTAATGTCCAGGCCGAGGCCCAAGTGACAATATGGTAAACAAACATGAACTCTCTGTTTTATCATGGAATATTGAAGGACTTTTGAAGTACACATCTGACTTTGAACTCAAAAGGTATTTTGCTTCCTTTGACATAATAGGTTTGTGTGAATCATTTGTGCGCAATTACAACGATTTCTCAGATTTTCTTCATGGCTATTGTACGTTCAACTGTGTTCGTGAGAAACTGCATCGGTTGGGCCGATACAGTGGCGGTGTGACTGTTTTTGTGAAAGAAATATTAGTAAAAACCAAATGTGTAAGTAGACTGTATGAGTCGTTTGAAAACTGTGTTGTTTTGTTACTTCGTTCGACTATCTTGTCATGGGACAAAGATTTGATCCTTATTTTCCCTTATCTATCACCTGAGGAATCCCCTATTTACAAAAACCTTGATTGTGATGGCATGTCAGTCCTAGAAGATTATTTGTTCACAGTCACTTCTGATCACCCTGATAAGCATATATTTATTGCGGGAGATTTGAACGCTAGAATTAAAGACTTCCCAGATTATATACCAGATGATACTCTAGATTTTTTATATGACTCCTCAGATTATCCAGGAGATGTGTTTGATATGCCTCGAAAATCCAGGGATTGTCATGCCTTCAACAATTATGGTGTTAAGCTAGCAGAACTTTGTCGTTCTTTTAATCTTCACGTCTTTAATGGCAGGCTCTTTAATGATCAGAGAGGAGAGTTCACTTGTGTAACACACAATGGAGCAAGTGTTGTTGATTATATGTTAGCTTCATCATCCCTGATTGCCCATGTAACTGACTTTGGTACTGGTACAAGAGATAATTCATGCCACTTTCCATTATACTGCAGTCTTAATCTAGATTTTAACTGTTTATATGAACCTGATTGTAAATTGCCACAAAATGATCTTCCGCAAGATGTCAGTACTGAGCCATGTAAATGGTATACCGGGTAAGTATGTCTGGAGTAGAGACTCTGGTAACACTTTCTTTGATAATTTTAAAGCTGGCTTTTATGATATTAAATCTGCACTATGTGATATGATTGATACAAATGTAGAGAGTGCCCTAGTTCATATAGTTAATATTATTCATGTGCTGCTGACCATACCAAAAAGCTTTATACACAATTCCGCAAACCATTAAAATTATGTCAGCCACCATGGTGGGACCAAGATCTTGAAAACTTGAAACATGATAAGTATGCTGCTCTCAGAGCCCATAGAGACCACAATGCTGATCTAGACCGCTTTAGATATTTTAGACGCTTGTTTAAGAAAAGTTTCAATTCCAAAAAACAGCAGTATCTACAAACTCAGAGGGACAAATTAGTCGCAGCTAGATCTGACCCAAGTCTTTTCTGGAAAATCATTAAAGAAAACAAATTTGGTAACACAATTTCTGAAAATATTTCATGCCAGCAATGGTTTGACCATTTTAGATCACTTTTATCCACTGAAAATAGCACCCAGTATCCACTCTATGATGATTCTGCCCCCGATAGTTTAAACCATCCCATCTCTGAACAAGAAGTATTATCCCACATAAAAAAGCTACCTAACAACAAATCCCCAGGTCCAGATGGCATACCAAATGAATTTATTAAATCCTGCAGTAACCTTCTTGCACCTATTCTCACCAAGATTTTTAATCAAATATTCTCTACTGGTTCCTTCCCATCTTCATGGGGTAAGAGTATAATCTGTCCATTACATAAATCTGGTGATAAATCAAATACAGACAACTACAGAGGAATATCTCTTATAGATACTTTATGCAAGGTTTTTACATCTATCACATCTATCCTAAACAGCAGATTACAGCTATGGTGTGACACCAATAACATCCTCAGTGAAGCTCAGGCTGGTTTTAGAACTGACTATTCTACTATTGACCATATGTTTACATTACAAGCTATTACAACAAAATATTCTGGCAAAAAGAAGGGAAGATTTGACTGCCTCTTTATTTATTTTTTGAAAGCTTTCGACACTGTAAAACATGATGTTCTGTTAGATTCATTAAAGAAAGTAGGTATATCAGGTCCCATTTATAATGTCCTAGTTTCCATGGACAGTGGTTTATCAGCCTGTGTAAGATCAGCCAAAGGTTTATCTCAAGTGTTTCCATGTAATGTAGGTACTCGCCAAGGTTGTGTCTTAAGCCCACAAATGTTCTTAATTTTTATTAATAATTTGTCCACAGTATTTGAGGAATTAGGTGGTAAAGGTATTCATATTTCTCCTGATATAGATAATTTATGTGCTCTTCTTTTTGCTGATGATGTTTCTGCTCTCTCAGATAGTTGTGCCCAGCTTCAAAAGAAAATTAATGCTTTGGAAATATTTTGTAATAAAACAGGCATGCAAATTAACTTTAAAAAAACAAAAGTAATTGTATTTAGGCAAGGTGGCCATCTTCGCAGTTATGAAAAGTGGTTTTATAATGGTGAACATATTGAAACTGTTTCAAGCTATAGATATCTTGGCTCAATGTTTACACCTAAGCTTGTATGGAGTAAGGCACAAACTACTCTAGCATCCCAAGCCACCAAAGCAATTTTAGCCATTAACTCTTTTCAAAGGAAAATTGGTAATATCACTTGTACAGATCTGTTTAAGGTTTTTGACTCTATGGTCACCCCCATCTTAACCTATGGCTCTGAAATTTGGGGTACTTGCTATTGTAAAAAAATCGAATCTGTCCAAATTGCCTCTTGTAAGCATTATTTAAAAGTAACAAATCAACCTGCTCAAATATGGTTTTAGGGGAATGTGGGAGGTTTCCTTTACAACTCACTTACATGACTAAAGTAATTAAATATTGGTGCAGGCTCTTACATCTTCAACCCCACAGATTACCTTCCCAATGCTATTTAATGCTTAAATCTTTAGATGATGTTGGGCGGGTAACTTCATGCTCACATATCTGTATTTTGGGCCATTGGCCTTTTACTGAATAAACATGTCTGTCTGTCTATCACTTAATACTGACCGAACCTTTGAAATGTTTATGCTTAATTTCATTCTGCACATAAATTTCAGTTTGCAACTACATGTGAATAATGGTCATACTCATACTCCCTTCGTCTGAAGTATATTTACAATTTACAAGTCAGGTTTTTGCATTTCACGTCGCATTCTTTCTTTTTGTATTAGGTTGTCGGTTTGGTTTTTTTTTTTGCTTGTTTCAAACTTCGAATGAATCATTTCCTTGTTTTCAATAATTTGTCCTATTTCAGTATCCTATTCGAAGTTCCACTCCGCTGACATCTTGGATCAAAGGTATTAGGTATTGCCAATCTCATATTCAGCTTTTCCCGTCAAGCCTTGAAAAAGTCACTGTTGTGTCAGCGCCCTCTGTTGGCAGACTGAGGTATCGCCGCCACTATCGGGACTTTTTTAGAGGATGTAATGGAATAAATGACGTCAGATTTCTGTTCTTCTTACGTCACAAGGTGTCAGAGGTTTATGTTGCACTAATGTACTGAAAATAATGACCCCCTCCACCCCCTAACCAATGACCGGTCCCTAAGTACTTTCCAGGTGTATATCAGAATCTCGACAAATACTTGCCACCTTCAAATCTCCGTTGCAAGACTGCAAGATGAAAAACTGCCAGGCAAAAGAAAGTATACACTTGAAAATTGGATTTGACCAAAAAAATACAAACGTTTATCAAAACATTACTAGTCTGAAAACAGTCGCCGAAACACTGCAAACTTAAGGTCCAAAACACAACTATGATACCCGTATCAAATGCATCGTCAACGAATTACCATTCCTTGTAATATTTAGCCACCATCAAACGTGGGTGTATACTCTCTTTTGCCCTGCAGCTTACTATGTAAAAGTACCTTGGTTCCATCATAGTAAGATCCCGCTGAAAACGTTTTCCACGTCCATGGAGTTGACTCGTTGAGATATGATACAACATCACTCCTCAGTTTGTTGAAATGTTCAGCTATTTCAGCTATCTCGTCCTGGTTCAAACTGACTTCCTCCTCGAAGAACTTCCGAAGTTGAGTCTTTGGTCTTGTGGGATGACAAATTATTCCTTTAACTATCATTTGTTCCACAAGATGTTCCATCTGCATTGTCTGCATCTGTAAGAAATAATATTGTTTTTAGTAAGAGAGCATCGTTGATTATTCACGAGTAAAGACTAGTGTTAGTAAACCCGTAAAGAATTGACGAAAAGCATTGCCTCAAGGGAAGGGTCGTGAAAAGCAATTATATATTATGTTTAGCATTTTGATTCGTTCGTTTTGTTTGTTGTTTAACGCCGCACTCAGCAATATTCCAGCAATATGACGGCGGTATGTAAATAACCAGTTCTGGACCAGACAATCCAGTTATTGACATCATGAGTATCGATCCACACAATTGGGATACGATGACATGCATTAACCAAGCTAGCCAGTCTGACCACCCGATCAAGTTAGTCTTACGACAAGCATAGTAGCCTCTTACAACAAGCATAGTCGCCTTTCACAGCAAGCATGGCTGAAGACCTATTCTACCCCAGATCTTGCAGTCCCGCTTGCAGATGTATTTGAAAGTGCCATTTTGCAGTAGTTCCTTGCTGTTCTCCCACACTCTCTTCATCACTTTGGCGAGGGTGGTGAATGCTCAGCATCCAAGGACAGATTGTCTGTGATGGTGGAGCTGGGGGAGTGACTGCTCCACCGCCACCCCCCCACCCCCACACCCCCCAAATCAAGGAATAATTCTATAATCTGAAGTGCATATAGCACAATGACAATGCAACAATCGGAGTTGGGCAGCAAGCATCTACATCCTCCAAAAGAGGATGTTCGTGGAGCAGGACAAAGCAAAGTTGATGTCCAGATGTCTGGAATGGAATATCTGAAGGAAGAGGTATTCAAGACTCCAGACACGGAACATGATCCTAACCTGAGGTACATGTATATGTCATAGCGACTGATTTAGGACAACCGTTGTCTGAAGAACACTTGATTCCAAAGGCTAATTACTCTGTAGCCATGACATGTATATGTCTCCATAACTTAATTGCACGTTCATGTTGCACATTTGAAAGGCGTGGCATGACAAATGGCCGTAAAGACTATTGTTTTCTTGTGTTTTTCTTTTTTTGTTAATGACTGCTAACAATATTGCTGAAAACACGTGCGGTATTATGGCCACGTGACCAGTTGCACGTGAAAAACCACTTTTGCCACTATAGTGCTGTGCACATGATATTGATCGATTCACCTGCACAAAAACGGGTGTTATCTGAAGACATACGTGGCCATTACTGTTTAAATACACAATAAGGGCCCACAATGATAACTGGTCAAAATGTTAAAATTTTAGGATTGTGAAGTTTTTAATTTGGTTCAGTATATATGTCTCCATAACTTACTTGCCATTTTTTATAAGACGCTAATCCCCGTTGTTAGTCCTCACCAACATTTCATTGTATATTGACTGTCAGCCAACCTGGGCTACCATATCACTTCCCGTTAATTACTGTTATTTATAGTATGACATTTATTGCCTTAATTGATCATCCACTGAACTGTGTCGGTTCATCACGCCCATATGTCCAATGTCCAGAACAATGTCATTGTCTCTTTGTCTGTCCATTGTTGTTTGTTTCTATATATGTGCTAGCATTACACTATTAGTCAGCTTGGTATTCCGAGTGCTGGTGTAGGGACGACCTCGAGCAGGATGTGCCGCTCGTAGGAAATGTCCTGAGGTTGAGCTGGAGCTCTGTTCACCTCATGTATGCCTCAGCAAGCTGTCTCTGGATATGATCCTGATTACCTCCAGTACCAAGCTAGTGATCAGATTCCTTTCAGACATGGTGCTAGATATCCGAAATATCTGGAGCGACCAACTTGTGGTAGGGATGACCAAGGATTACAGCCATATAAAGGGATTTTTATTATGCTGGTCCTGGTTATGCCTAGAGAGTGCTACAATTGTGGCAAACAAAGTCACTTCAAGAGGGATTGCCCAATATCACCAAAAGAAGAGTAACCTTTGCAAACTCCAGACTGTAAACATTGAAGGGTAGAGCATGAAGGCCTAAACTTGACCCACGAGGAGAAAGGCCAAGAACAGGAGGAGAAGGAGACATCATTAGCTGAGAAATTTTGCCATAGAAATGTTTATTGCCCAACACCTACTAATCAAATGAACATGTCAAAACGGTGCGGTTGGGTATCCAGGTGGTTAAAGCATTCGCTCGTCACGCCGAAGACCCGGGTTCCATTCCTAACATGGGTACAATGTGTGAAACCCTCTGCTGTGATATTGATGAAATATTGTTAAAAGCATCGTAAAACCTCACTCACTCATGTCAAAACCTTCTCAATACCAATACACCTGAACATCGTGGAGCTTTTGTCCTCAAAAGCATTTTTAAAATAGTGACAATATTGAAAGTACAAGTATACAGTAAAATGCATTTCTTTAATCACAAAGGAGCCGTGAAGATCCAGGACAGAATAAGTCTTCAGCAACCCATGCTAGCCACAAAAGGTGACTATGCTTGTTGTAAGAGGGGACTATGCTTGTTGTAAGAGGGGACTAACAGTATCGGGTGGTCAGGCTCGCTGACTTGGTTGATGCATGTCATCGATCCCAATGCATTGATCGACGATCATGATATCAATCACTGGATTGTCTGGTCCAGACTTGGCTATTTACAGAGTGTCGTCAAAACGCAGCCATAGAGAAAGAATTTTCCAGACAGCTGCAAGAATTGTTAGAAGCCAATATCAGTTAGCCCAGTTCTTCTAAATGCCACTCTCCTATTGTCATGGTTAAAACGTGTGAGAGCTCTTACCGATTTGCTGTAGATTACAGTTGCCTCAATGCAGTTACTAAGCCAATATTGTTCCCCTTGTGACCCTACCATGTTTTGAAAATGGCGTTGATGTCCTAGGGATAGCCATGCCATTGTTATTTTAGTGTCCTTGATTGTGCTATTGGCTTTTCGCAAATACCACTAAATCAAGATACAAAAGTCGGCCTTCATTACAACCGAAGGTATTTTTTAATGCAATCGCCTCCCATTTTGGCCTCAACAATGCTCCTATGGCGTTTCAGCAAACCATTTCAGAGGCACTGACAGAAATGAATTTGAATTACATATCAATATATGTAGATGACAGCATAATATTTTCTAAAACGTTTTTCTTAACATTTGAATCACCTCAAGGCAGTATTCCAAAAGATATAAAAAAAAGCAGGACTCTAAAACCAAGCAAATGTAACTTAGCGACAAACCAGTCACCTCCTTGGGACAGTTTAGGTTATTGCAATAAACTAATTTTCTTTATATATGTGTTTATGTTGTATTTTTGTCCAATCCACTAAGGGCAAATGATGCTCTATGGGAATTTCACATCACAGTCAACAACTGTTTCAGTCATATCACAACAGAACAAGTGGAGTCAACAACCTTGTCCAAGGATACACAGCAGTGACTTGCATCATATGTCCTCTTGAAATGGAAGATTGGAAAAGATTATTAATAAATAAGGGTTACAGGCATACTGTGTCTCGGGGTCATGTCTCTCTGTCAACGTGTATAGCTTTGCTCAGGAAATACTCTGTATTGATGAGGATGGCCATATAGCGTGGAGACATTTTATTCAGGCTGATTTTTTTTTTTAAACAGATGGAGGCTGAGCTTTTTATTTACACAAAATTAGCAACTGTGTGTTTTTTTTCAAATTTCTAAGCTTATTGTCATTTACATTATTTGGGTCATGACACAATGGTGGAGTGGTGGGGTGGTGGTGGTAACCTACCCTCACCCTAACACAACCAACCCAAGAGGCAAGCCTGCCCGATTGACAATACAAGTTGCACCTGGTAAACTTCAGTTTTACCCGAACCTTGGCTACAGCTATCATAAGCGCCGTTGTTATGATAGGGGAAAGGTGCTTACCTTTCAACGTGAGCGGATTATGGTGGATCGATGTGGATTGGGTTTTGGTTTGCTGTCCAGTGTCCAGTCGCAATCTGTCGCCTGTCGGATTTTTGTAACACGGACCTAAAGCGGATGATGGTTGATCGATGTGGAATTGGTTTGTGTTGTTATCCAGTGTCTTGTCTTAATCTGTTGCCTGTCGGTGTTGGCGGGAAAGTTGATCACGTGACCGATCACTACAGCTGTTTGCAGAGCCACGTCAGTTATATATATATATCTTATCTTAACCATGTTATTTGACAATGTCATTCAGACTTCTAATATTTTTTACTAACTTGAAGTATGTAAAGTTGTAATTAAAGGGGCACTGATCTAACGCAATTCCCCGGACTGGTTGTTGCCTTTGTTATTGTTTTTTCCCCCGTGAGTACCCGGATGATACGCAACGCAACTGAGCGTGACGAGAGACCGGGCTACCGTCTACAAGGACAGCTAAATAAACTTGGAGGCTGGAGGCAATATTTGTTTTACGCATTTTTGCATAAACACTGATTGGTTAACTGTGATCTATACAGATTTCGACAAAGGGCGCATGTTAATTAATTTCTTCAGCCTAAACAAGCAGACAAAAAGAACGGCGGAGCTCATCGGATGTCGTCATTTGGAAATACCCCAGATGGTTATAGTTTTATACTAAAAAAAGTATCCAGTGAAAGCATTTTCGGATTTCGGCTTGCGTCGATAATACGATTACTACTCCCTTGTTGACATCCACGTTTTCTCGCATAACCCTTCACTTGTGTATTTGTCGTCATTCACTTGATGCTCAGTTAATGAATTTATTACAGGTACAGTTAGTGGTAGCACCACTTAGATTACCTGACAAAGGTTCCCATTTGGCATTTATTGTGTCTGGGGTAATTATTCAATCTAAATCCAGGTTTGAAGTGAGGTGAAATGTGTGTTATGTAACATGCACGTGGCAGCCCAGCAAGAGATGAATGATCAGTTGATTTATTTTTTTGTAAATCAACGGAACGTTCCTAGTCATCAAAGGATTAACAGAAATAAGTTGATTGATTAATCACTGTTATCTTGCACAGTGGATATGTCAAGAGTGAGTGTTTACATGTCTAGGTTTACTAAAACAAAGGGAATACACTCATACCATGGCGTGAAGTGCCGATGTAAAAACAACATACTTTGTTCAAAGGGTTAACTTATAATACGTTGATTGATTGATCATTGTTATCTATCACTCAATGGATTTTTTAGGAACCGTGAACGTTATGAAAATAGTTGTCACGTGGTCTTTCTCAGCCGACCATTGAGACTTGACACCTATGTAAAACACCTGAAACAATCCAAGTGATCAGTTGAGAAAGGAACACGGGTTATAATATCCCGAAACGACATATATCTTTTAAAATATTTGATTGTTACTGAGACACGTGACATCGAATAAGTTTCTTTGTACATCTGCAGACGAGTGGGATATTGTTCCTTTGTGTGGATATTCACGGATACATTCCTCGAACAAGGACGCTGCCTAAAATTTATACACATAAATTTGGTAGGTTGTAATTATGATATTTGCATTTTGTTTTCCTTCATTTGAACCGATTCGTCCTTGTTTCTCTACGTCTTGGTTGGGAAATTCTTCAATGCGCGATAGACGTTGTTTTCACAGATCTTTTCCTTTGTAAGCGTGTATGTATTACCGTCAATTTGTAAAATGTGATTCTCTCAGGCAATTTATAAAATGTGTAAATATTTCAGTCATTTTGACTAAAAGATCTGTCCAGATTGATTAAGACGATCAAAAGGGCCTACAAACATCACAACAGATTATTATGTAGGATTAGAAGCCAAACAACATAGAAATGTACTTTTCTCAATGTAACATTTTCAGTCTCTTGGTGATGACATTAAACATCAAAATGTTTGGAATTCGTTATCATAATAATACAGATGGAAATGTTTTTCAGTCACTTTGTTAAATAACAGAATATTTAGACGTTTAATAGATTTGTTACACATTTGACAGTAAAAAAAAATACACACTATAAAAAAAGCAATGCTCAGGTGAAATATGTACTTTGTGTTGCAAGTCAAAATAGTGTAAACGAAAATCGAAAAATTACCAAGCAAGTGACTTATCAAAACTTCGTCACCATTACCGATGCTACCCACAAAGATACCTACATTTCCTTATTATCTCGAAAACTGTATTTCATTTTGTTCATCAATGTGACCATACGCCCTTATTACTACCCATAAAAGCGACTAATGCGCTTACGAATGGCGCAGCAGAGGTCGCGAACTAGTCTAGATTTCTGCTATACATCCGGGTACTCACTGGGAAAAAACAATAACAAAGGCAACAACCAGTCCCGGGGAATTGCGTTAGATCAGTGCCCCTTTAAATTATATTCGTTGTTTAATCTGCTGTACGTACTGTTTGCCAATTCAAACGCCCCTTATTTTGAACGCTGAGAGGGCAAAGTCGCACGGGGACAGAGATCTAATAACCAGTTTAGTTTTTTTTCATCTCTAGTTTATCTCGCCATTTCGCGCGGCAAGTCTAATCTGTGTGCGTGTTTTGTTAGGTGCATCAACAACATGTTTTAAAACTGCAGAACAAAATTATGAACGTTAGGGACCGGTCAAATATTACAGGTGGGGGATGCATTGATGTTTTCTTGTTTTTGTTTGTTGTTTAACGCCGCAATATTCCAGCTATATGACGGCGCTGTGTAGGTAATCAAGTCTGGACCAGACAATCCAGTGATTGACAACATTGGCATCGATCCACGCAATTGAGATCGATGACATGCATCCACCAAGTCAGCGAGCCTGACCACCTGATCCCGTTAGTCGCCTCTTACGACAAGCATAGTCGCATTTTACAGCAAGTATGGGTTGCTGAAGACCTATCCTACCCCGGATCTTATGTGCAAAAAATAATGACCCTGTCCTAATGCTTGTCATATTTTGGATGACCCACCCCATGTCCTTGTGTATTTAATTCATGACCCTCCCTGGAAAGACATAATGCAAAAGCACTTTATGTTTTATAATAAACTCTCCATGACCCTCCCCGAATATGTGTATTACCGTATTCGACGTAATAAGCGCTCCGCTCTAATAAGCGCCCAAGGCGTTATTTGCTAATATATTGGCTAGTGAACAATCCCAGTTAGCACCCTTTCCGATTGATCAACGTACAAAAGACTTATTTATTCGTGTATAATACGCACACGTTTGTTATATGCACCCTTGATTATGGGCAATTAAATTCTCGAAAATATATCTATCGTGTATAATACACACAGATTCTTCTTTTATTTCATTTCAGGCTGTCAGCATAAACCACAAAATTTACAATCTTTCAACCTCGTCTTTAATCTCACCAAAATTATATTCTAATAAGAGCACCCTATTTCTAATTTTGAGAGCGCCCTGGGCGCTTATTACGTCGAATACGGTATGTTTTTTACGACCCTCCCGTGGAGCCTGTTATAATATTTTGTGACCCTCCCCGATTCCCTCTGACCCACCCACCCCTGTAATAAATATTTGTCCGGTCAGTTTTACCTCATGGGTCTGTCTTATTCATAAAAGATTATGCAAACCATGTGCGTGTTATGAAGAAACATGAGAGTGTCGGATACAGAGCTCGGTATCACGCGTCCAGAAAGTGCACTCTCATGTGGTATTCCGGATACCCCCTCAACCCACACTAAAAACAGTTTCATGTTAATGTGTTATAATTTTTTTATTTGACGTTTACACGATATACGGCTTTTCCATTGGAAAAACGTATGAACGTCAAATTGTGTCGTTCATACACTTATGAACGTCAATTTCACGGTCATGTGACCGACCTCTCGTACAATGGAAAAGCCATATATAATGTAAACGTCAAATTAAAAAATTATTAATAATTATATCCATTTTACCTGAATGTTTTCATATCTGCTTTATTACATTGATGACGTGATGCAAACACCTTTATTTGTGTAAAGACGCCATTGCCCATCGTTTCTGACATTATGCTGACATCATGCTGCCCCTTTTACTTTAACTGTAGAAGGCACTACCTCTTCATAACAGTTCATTTGAAAGTGTTGATAAAATGGAGATTATTACACTAGCGTGTGTATTCAACTGGTTCAAAGATTTCATGACTCGTGGAAGAAATATTTCCTTCTCGAAATACACTATAGCTCACACTTGTTTCGTAAGACTTGTACGGCACGTGCAGAGTCAGAAAATAAGCTCAATATTTTACAGCAATGTATTTAATGGTTTCGCTGAATATGCCACATGTATGCCAGCTCTTTTTCCCCGATACACAGAGAGTAAAAGAGAGTATGTCAGTCACAAATTTGAAGATTCATTATTGCGATGTTTCTTTCTCAAACGATAAGTGTACTATATCAAAATAAATACACGGTTGAATACTCATACTGAAAGTAAATATTTCAATGTCAAAATTCAAATTGCCAAGGAACGTCGCACACGGTTCGCAACGTTGTCGTTGTTAGAGCCGTCAACGAACAAATCCGTTGTCGCCCGAAGACAACCCAAATCGCATCGAGCTGCCTGCGCTTAGCTGAAGTGAAACCAGTTGAGCCCGGGTCAAAGGTTACAGCTAGCTGTCGTCAATTTGGTGCTGCTGTGTATTACAATGTTGTGGATACCCGATGACGTAGTAAGTTATAGCATGATGCATGCCGTGGTGAGACCTCAAAGCCACCCACACATCAATTACCCTCGCGTACAATGACTCGCCCTTTGGACTTTCGCTATATATGTGAAGCCCGCCTAAATTATACAGCCCCGGACTGCTGCACAATCAATAATAGAATATCAACAAGGAAATGGTATTCGTAATCATGTCGACAAATTATTCCAATGTGATTGCATAAATTCATCATAAGCACCTTACGACAATAGTCAGTGGGTCAATATATTGTGTGTGTGTGTGTGTGTGTGGTGGTGAGGGGGGGGGTGGCTTAAGTGTGTGTATGTTTGTGTATACGTAGCGACAGCGCGCGCGTGTGTGTGTGTGTGTGTGTACACATCTTGATGTAAGTATTCCTAGTATATATATATATATATATATATATATATATTGGCACAACTACGCTTATAGGCCTTCTGTGATTAAATACACTTTTGAATATCGATCCGGATTTAAGATATGGTACTTAAAAAAGACGAATTGTCATGTTTGGTCAGTTGTGAATGACAATTTTGATATTCTCAGATAATTACGTCACATCATCAAATACAATAGACATTTTTTAAAACATGGTTAATAACATTAGATAACATGTCTCCACTATTTGTCCTTGAATATTTCAATCATGCAGAACTCAATATTACATCTTGCCCGTGAAGATTCAGGGTAGACTAGGTCTTCAGCAACCCATGCCTCCCGTAAAAGGTGACAATGCCTGTAGTAAGAGGTGCCGAACAGGATTGGGTGCTCAGGCTCGCTGACTTGGTTGATGCATGTTATTGTATCCCAATTGCATGGTGAAGATCCGGGGTAGAATAGGTCTTCAGCAACCCATGCTTGCTGTAAAAAGCGACTGTGCTTGTCGTAAGAGGCGACTAAGAGGGATCGGGTGGTCAGACTCGCTGACTTGGTTGATGCATATCATCGATCCCAATTGCTGCACTCAGCAATATTCCAGCTATATGACGGCAGTCTGTAAATAATCAAGTCTGGACCAGACAATCCGGTGATTAATATCATGAACATCAATCCACGCAATTGGGATCGATGACATGCATCAACCAAGTCAGCTGGCCTGACCACCCGATCCCGTTAGTCGCCTTTTGACCCATTTTGTCTGCCAAAGAAGTTTGAAGATAATTGTTGACTCTCTGTATTACTTTTGTTGTCCCGATGTACCTGCAGGCAGAAAACCACTACAAGTTATCTTTTCATTGTTAATGAGATACACCATAAATAATTATGAACAATTACATCCAGGCTTTATGTCAATTACTTTAATTAACAGTCCATGGACACAGATGCCTTGAACTGTTTAATAAATATTTAACTAATTGAATGCCTCCTCCCTCACACTTGGATAATCCAATAATTCATTTATTGTGGCCTTAGTGGAACAAAACACCATCTGATGCTGTATATATACCGTATTTCCTCAATTAGACCCCAGACCACCAATACACGCTGGCAAAAAATAGAGGCCGGGTCCATCATTTGACGAAATTAATGATCCACAAAACATTAACTTACTGCATGTAAAAATTACTCCATTCACTTAATAATAACCATTTCCTTCAAATGTGACCTTTGTATGACTGAAGAATTTAGGATTTGGTAAGGTACTGAGTTCCACTGTGCCAGCAATAAACTGAATAGGTGCTGGGCCTCTTAATAGGCAATGGGTCAACAGCTTAATAGACATACAGGCATCTAATAGAGGAAATATGGTAGTTTATGTTGCTATGGTGTGTTTGGTTGCCAGGCTCGATGGATGAAGATGCAGCTCCCCTGGTTCCTGGACGAGTGGGACTCGCTGTTCTGGCAGAAGGTAGCGGGTTTTGCCACCAGTTTCTGTCTCAGCTTGTATTTTCTACACCGGGTCATTAGGAACAAGAAACTACACAGCTGCATCCAACAGAAACAGGAGGAAGTTAGGAAATCATGTCAGGACTTGGTGGAAAGATTAAGAACAGAAGGGGTGAGAGAGAGAAAATGATTTAGGATATTGACAGTGTTGTTACCTAAACAATGAGTGAGGTAAAATTTAACATTGCGTTGGCATTATTTGAGTCATATTGCAAGGATGTTAGCTCATTAAATGTAACAGTAATGTTACACACTTTACTGAATGGTTGAATGATTAGAGAAAAACAAACTTGGAAGTAATTATTCTATCATAGTCACGGACGCCATTGTGGCATGTCATGGAAACTTATTCCAGTTTCATAGTGATGCAGTCAATATGTATCTTGTCTCATTGGGATTCTGGGTTAGAATAGATCCCCAGCAACCTGTGCTTGTCATGGAGGTGGGTGAATGGCTGGGTGACTTGGTTGACTGCATGTCAATGTACCTCGACGGTGTGGATTGCTGCTCATGATATCAATCACTTGACCGTCTGGTCTCATTTATTTACAGCCTGCTGATGCTTAGCTGGAATATTGCAGAGTGAAGTGTTAAACAATAAAACAACAAACAATATCAGTAACTAAGCAAGAGAAAAAATTTTGGGCCCAACACAGTGATAAAAACTAACTGATGTAGTCTCCTAGTACTTATGATGATAACATGTAGCAAAACCCTTAAAAATGGCAAATTTCTAGTAGTCCTTATTGTACCTTGACTTTTGGGTAATATGGCAAGGACTATGGGACTAGTGCCAATTTCTGACGCTTCAAGACATGAACTGGGGATCCCAGACTGGTGACCTGGGGCACAGTTCACTTGATGTCCGAGACGTTCACTGACGTCATGACACTGCACATGCCCAGAAGCCTGTCATAGACGGAGATTAGAATGTCATTTGAAGAAAATCAACCAAGACACCCTACTTTGTATTTTTAACAAGAACAGAAATCTGAGATCTGTGTAACGTACTGTGTAAGATTTTGAGGATTTGAATTTAACAACCAAACTTTCTTTCTTCAATGTCAGTTATTTGCTTCTGTTCACAATTCTGATGTCAGTGTGTACATAGTGTAGGACAATAGTAGCATCCAGGACAGTTTGGACAAGTTAGTTTACCAATAGTGCGTCAACTTGAGTTTCAAAGAAAATTGACTAACTATTTTTTGGAAAGGCATGTATATGTCTTTGTCCCTATCATTTAAGTAGACAGCTTGTTCAGAAAGTGAGATTTGCAATGTTTTTCAAGACACATAAATAATTCTTTAGTTTTGTTTGTTTTGCCTTTGATCAGCTGAGTGTGCCACACCGGGAGCGAATACTGAGTCTGTCATTGACCAAACTACAGGCACAGCTCCAGACAGGGCAGCTCAAGTGTATCGAAGTGTTACGAGCTTACCAGTCAAAGGTACAATCTGTTTGTAATTCATGTGATTTCTTATCTTGTAAATGAATAAAATTATGAACACATAAAGCAGTGCTGTTGTCATGCTTAGATTATATTGTGGTGGTTATTTCATACATTCTGTTGTCTTTACACGCATTGGATAGTACATGTGTGTTCTGTGGCATTTTTCTTTTGCAAATATTGAAATTTCAATTTGAGAGTTCATTTGAAGCCTCTATGGTGATTAGAAAGTTTATCTCCCTCAAATTGATTTAGAGGGCTGTGTCAGATCTGCAAAGAGGTATCTGATTTTAATTAGGTTGGATTTTTTTGTGATTGGTCAAGGAAGATAATGCCATGATGTTTTTTCTGCTGTTTGTCCAGGCGATGGAGATGAACGAGAAACTGAACTGTGTGGTTGAGCCGCTGATGGAAGCTGAGGTATGTCACATGATCACATTCAAGTGGTACAAAGTTCTTGACAACTACTGCAAGATAATAAGATTCAAATGGGGCATTTGTACTGACATATGCTGCAGGACTAGGGCCGAATGTCGGGCCCTGAGCAGGTCTAGAGAAATCCCTTGATTAGATATGTATAGGTCCACAGTATCCCATGCTTGTAAACAAAGTGACACGTGAGTCTCACATGGTCAGATTCACTGACTGCGTGACACCATATCCCCGACTGTCAATTGTTGCTGGTGCTTGCAGTCTCTGGCTTGCCTGGTACAGACTTGAGGCAACTAACAGGATCAGGTGGTCCGGCTCGCTGACTGCGTGACATCATACCCCCGATTGTCAATTGTTGCTGGTGCTTGCAGTCTCTGGCATGCCTGGTTCAGACTTGATCGGGTGGTCAGACTCGCTGACTTGGTTGATGAATGACATTGATGTCCATGATGTCCATCACTGGATTGTCTGGTCCAGACTCAATTATTTACAGACCACCATTGTATTGCTGGAATATTGCTGAGTGTGGTGTTAAACAACAAACAATGAAAATGACGAATATTTACAGGCTGCCATGATATTGTTGAAATATTGCTGTCTGCAGCATTAAACACCCCAAAAATCAAGTATGTAGCACTTAATACAATGATAAAGCCAAACCACGCTATGAAACTGTAAGGGAAGGGAAGTAACTCCTACATGCAGTGAGTGAATCAGACAGGGATATACCCTGGATTCTAAACTTAACTTAGCACCAGGCAGGAAAATTAGAAAAAAAGGAACTTGTTATTTTGTTTCAAATTGAGATCTTTTTAGCATGTTTTCTTAAATTTCTTGTCATTTGAGATTTTATTCAAACCTCCTTCTATGTATTGGTCCTGTTATCAGTGAAATACAGGTACCTGTACAAGCCATGAAATTAGTTATTACTTACATGTATTAACATGAAATCAGATTTTTTTATTCCCATTAAAGAATTATCAGTGACATTTGCTACAGACCGAATATCAGCCTCTGAGCAGGTCTAGATATATCCCTGCCGTGACACCGTTACTGTTGGACTCAGAAAAATGCATTGCAGTGTCCCCAGGAGTTCTTTCAGGTTACGGGTTGATCTGAAAATACATGTGACACAACGTGCATCAGTGCACCACGAGTCAGTTGACACTTATTTTATTGGGGGGCACGGGTGGCCAAATCGTCTAAGGCTCCGTGATTCGCTGTGCAGAGTTGCGTCCCTTGGGCATGCCAGAAACCTATGATTGTGGGTTTGAATCCCGTTTCGCCCTGATTATTTTCCTAGGTTTGTCAGCACCATCGTCGGAGACCTGCATCACTTTGGGCTTTCCTCCCACATTAAGCTGACACGCCGCGATATAACTGGAATACTGTTAAAAGCGGTGTTAAACCCAACTCATTCACTCACTCACTCTTCTGTGTCTGCCAGTAGTCATGTATTAACATGTGGAGGAGTGGGTACATATGTAACAAGGGAGGTTTGTCTGCAGGACCAGGCTGCCAAGCTGGACCGCCAGAGGAGCAAGAAAGGACCGCTGCACGGCATCCCCATCAGCATCAAGGAGGCGTACTATATCAAGGTAAGGCGGCGCTTTCGGTTTCGGTTTATGGATTTGACCAACGGGAGCAACTGCCCAAACCACAATACGTGGAAAATAAAGTGAAACTAGTAGTATTTTTATTCGCCATACTGATGTAAATAACATAGGCTGCACCATTATATTGTTGTTGATGTTTTATACACCTTGTGTTTCTGAGCGCCATGGCATGTACACCCACAAGAGGCTCCATTAAAGGAATATCTGTGGTCTGTGTGTTTTTGTGTTGAAATCAAGATTTCCGAATTAAGGTGGTAAAGAAGCAAAATCACTTTAGAAAGCTGAGAGCTGATTGGCTAAAAAACATCCTTTAGAATTTTGGGGCAGTCAGAGGTCGCTTGGGGTCACCTGACGTGACGTGAAGGTGTTGTCAGATCTTCATGCAGAGAGGGAGCATATTGGTGTACAAGGTATAACTTTAAAGTCATTGTACAGGGTCCAGATTAACAGGGGTTTATTATCCTCCACCACGAAGTGGAAGGGGAATATGGGAATGGGTGCATTCTTCTCGTCCTATCATTTCCGGAGCAGAACACAAAATCCATGAAAGATATCTTTACTAAATTTTGTGAACTGGTGCTTTTTGATAGTTTGGGATATTTGAAAAAAATATTTTTCAAGTTTCCATGGCAACAACTTTGCCTTTGAAAATGGTGGTATTGGCGGGGGATATGAGTATTCCATGCATGTTGTATATGTATGATTGTATGGTATATTTCTACAGGGATACGACTGTACAGCAGGGATGTCGTACTTCATAGACAAGCCCATGGACCATGATGCACCCCTTGTTCAGGTCAGACATTGTACTTTTCACACAGCTGTGACGCAGAGATATACTTGGGTCTGTCCGTTTCGAGTCCGGGGGACTGGCAGTAGTAATCTTGGTTGTCCGAAACATGAACATAGTGGTGCCAGACCAGTGGCACAAATCACTAGATGTCCAAGAACATTACTGATGTCAAATCACTGCACATGCCGTGAAGCCTTAAGCTATAACAGATTGGGATTTGATTGTTAGCGTGAAGAAAATTAACCATTGGCATTCTGAAATGTGGGTGGATATCTTATAAGAATAGAAATGTCGGTTGTATGTAACATGGCATCTAAAATTTGGATAATTTTGTGATTCAAACAGCCATACATATTTGTATCCCGAAGGACTGACATTTATAATATTTGCATTTATTCTCAATTTCTATGAAGGTGGGACGAAAAATTATTACATTCATATGAGTGTCGTCCTGAGTTTACTTTACTTTTGATTTTCTTAAAATCATATTTTCTACTCATGCTGTTGCTTTAAAGGATGATAAAGCTGACATTCTCATCATTTGGTTGGGCGAAAGGACAGAACATGCACGGGTACTGATGATATTAAGTTGTCACGGTTATTTGTTTTGGCCGGTAAGTTGCTATGTTGATGTAAGGTGTTACAGTCTGAATGTTTGCTGCAGGTGTTGAAGTCTCAAGGAGCCATTCCGTTTGTCCGCACCAACATTCCCCAGACCATGATGACGTGAGTACTCCCACGCACTGTCCTTGCTGTTGACCTTTACATAAATAGGTGAGGTGGTGAGGTGAAATATGGTTTAATGTCGCGTCCAAGATTATTGCACTTATATAGCGACGTGCATGCATGTGTATGTGTGTGTGGCTGCTTTTACTAGTCCGGACTGATGCCGTTTTCTGGTGCTAGCTCACTGAGATACCATGTAGCAGTTTAACATGAATACCCCACTCAGACACAGTATACTGATTCCGAGCAGACCAGTCCTTGTTTTAGCCCCCTTAATGCCGAGCGCCAGACAGGGTAACAGCAAGTACCACCTTTAAAGTCTTTTAGTATGACGCGGCCGAGATTCGAACCCCGGACATTCCACTCCCTGGACGGTCGCTCTACCACAAGACCACGGAGGCGGCCTTACATAAATAGGGGTGTTGGGGTAGCCTAGTAGTTAAAGTGTTCGCTCATCACACCGAAGGCCATATAGGTGCAATGTGTGAAGCCAATAATTTTTTGGAATATCTTACCGCTATTACATCATTAGCCATACATTCCTGTTTTGACTGTCGTCACACAATAAAATCTTTCGATCTTACGCCCTCTTCACTGCAATACATATCTAATAGTCTTAAGGGAAACCCTCTCCTCCCCTAGATGCAACTAAGGGTGACCTCATGACTATTATATATTATGGCAGTGAAGAGGACATCTGTTGAAAAATCTTAAGACTTCATAGTGTGATGATTGCCAAAACAGAAATTTATACATAATGATTTGATAGAGGTAGTATTCTTGGATTTATACACAATGATAACTATTGTTTGATATCTAGTGTTCCCCATCATGCTGGAATATTGCTTAAAATGTCCTAATAACTACCTCACTAATTCACTCACTCATGAGTGACATGGTTGAATGAGTGTCGGTGTGGGATGTTGCTCATGATATCAATCCATGGATTGTCTGGTACTGACTTGATTATTTCAAAACCGCCGTTATACAGCTGGTATATTGCTGAGTGCGTCATTAAACAAAGAAGGATGAAAGAAACAAATATTTGCTCCAGGATCTTTAAACCTTTTTTTTTTGTCTTCTGCAAGAGTTATCCCCCTTGGTTTTATCTGTCACTCTGATTGAGAAGATGGGATTCACAGTAAGAATATAGATCCCCAGCAACCTATGCTTGTCGTAAGAGGCAACTCAATGGGTCGGGTCATCAGGCTTGGTAACTTGGTTGATGCATGTCATCATATTTCAGTGGTGTGGTTCAATGCTCACGATGTCAATGACTGGGTTGTCTGGTCCAAACGCGAGTATTTACAGACCGGAATCATATAGCTGGAATATTGCCAATTGAGACATTAAACAACAAACAAACAAACATGTTTAATTATTTCAGATTTGACAGCTCCAATCCTATATATGGGGAGACTCTCAACCCCCACGACGAGACCCGTAGCCCTGGTGGTTCCTCAAGTGGTGAGGGGGCGCTGATTGGGTCAGGTGGGTCATGTCTGGGTATGGGGAGCGACATCGGAGGCAGCATCCGTATCCCCTCCCACATGTGTGGTGTGTGTGGCCTCAAGCCGACAGTAGAAAGACTCGGGTAAGCTAATCAGACAATATCTCATCCACCCTGTCTGTCTGTGTGTCTTGTTGCTCCTGCTTTCAGTCACTGGTTTGCCTGGTCCAGACAGGATTTAAACTACACCATGATATGAATTGTAACATTCTTTTATTTAACTATATAAGATAACTTCTTTGATGTCTTTAAGATAGCTACGCGATAAATCGCAAAGAACAACGAAGAACGAAGCTAGGTTTATTTCATGTTATAAAGTTGTTCTATCATGTCGTCGTTTCTGGAGATTCGAATATGCGCTCACAACTTGATGACGTCATATTTTGGACACCATTATTTTTGTAAGTTGATGTAGCTGTGTTACGTAGATATATGCAGCGGCCAAATGGTCTCACCAAAAAGTGGTAGAGGTATGACAGTCTTTTACGAACCTTTTGCTAGAACACAACACTTAACATTGCCATCAAACCATTTCAAACCTGTGTGACATCACTCCTTAAAGGAAGTTATTATGTATTAAGGGGCTCCAGGGTATTGATTATCACAGACTAAAGATAATGAAGGCCGGTGCTGTTATGTTGTTGTGTATGTGTTATACATCCTGTCGTTTCTGAGCTCCGTGTATCTTCATCTTCATCTTCAAAAGGGAGTACCATTAAAAGGTATATTCTTTCCGGTTTTTCTATTGTAATAATCTAAATTTCTGAATCAAATTTGTAGAGAAACAAAGCCAGATCAATTTAGAAAGCTCACTTGTGATTGACTCAAGGACCCAGACATCCTTCATTTCGATTAGGCGGTCAAAGGCTGCTCTGGGTTCATCCGATGCAACTCATATTGAGGTGTCCTCAGATCTGATCATTGAGACGTGTTATATTGGAGTAAAAAAAAATGATTTTAATGAGATTAGATTCTTGTGTGGCTGTGTTTGTGTGTCGTCATGAGCACTCTTAGCAATTTCAATTAATAGTACAAGAAATATGTCCAAGCTTTGTTTTGTTTGTTTTCTACTAGAGATGATGAAACCATATGATAGTTTAAAAATTCAGTTAGGTCGTTATTGACTTGCATGATGCAGTCATTACACTCAGTTTACTTAGAAAAGGGGTCACGGGTTGCAATTTAAGGGGACACAAATCGCTGTGCAGAGTTGCATCCCTTAGGCATGCCAGGAAGCTATGGACGTGAGTTCTAATGTCCTGTTCACCCTAGCTGTGTCAGCAACATACCCGTGCTCATGGGTTTCACAAAAGTGGTAAACGTCTGAGATGTGTGTCAGTTTGGGCTTTCCTCCCACATTAAACTGACAAACTGATATATCATAAATCATGAAATTAATGCGAGTTCCGACCTTTCGCCTGAAATGTGTCATGAAATTAATGCGAGTAACCCAAACTTTGAACTTTATAACTAATCAGCAAACAACAACACCAAGACTGTAGACTTAGAATGTCATGAATCATGGGGAGATAGCAATTTGATTGAATAATGTCACTTGCCATCTTCACAAACATCTGCTTGAGTCATACTTTGTCCAACGATTTTGATTGGACTATTTAGTCCTGCAAAAAATGTAACGCCTGAATTCCATCCTAGTTCGGGAAGATGTGTTCACCACGACTGCTGTTCCCCTGCCTTGGGAAGATGTGTTCACCACGACTGCTGTTCCCCTACCTTGGGAAGATGTGTTCACCACGACTGCTGTTCCCCTACCTTGGGAAGATGTGTTCACCACGCCTGCTGTTCCCCTGCCTTGGGAAGATGTGTTCACCACGCCTGCTGTTCCCTTACCTTGGGAAGATGAGTTCACCACGCCTGCTGTTCCTCTACCTTGGGAAGATGTGTTCACCACGCCTGCTGTTCCCCTGCCTTGGGAAGATGTGTTCACCACGACTGCTGTTCCCCTACCTTGGGAAGATGTGTTCACCACGACTGCTGTTCCCTTACCTTGGGAAGATGTGTTCACCACGACTGCTGTTCCCCTACCTTGGGAAGATGTGTTCACCACGACTGCTGTTCCCTTACCTTGGGAAGATGAGTTCACCACGCCTGCTGTTCCTCTACCTTGGGAAGATGTGTTCACCACGACTGCTGTTCCCCTACCTTGGGAAGATGTGTTCACCACAACTGCTGTTCCCCTGCCTTGGGAAGATGTGTTCACCACGACTGCTGTTTCCCTACCTTTCGAAGATGTGTTCACCACGGCTGCTGTTCCCCTACCTTGGGAAGATGTGTTCACCACAACTGCTGTTCCCCTACCTTGGGAAGATGTGTTCACCACGCCTGCTGTTCCCCTGCCTTGGGAAGATGTGTTCACCACAACTGCTGTTCCCCTGCCTTGGGAAGATGTGTTCACCACGACTGCTGTTCCCCTACCTTGGGAAGATGTGTTCACCACGGCTGCTGTTCCCCTACCTTGGGAAGATGTGTTCACCACGGCTGCTGTAACTCTTCTGTTTTGATTTTCTTACATGGTTAACAAGATAAAAAAGACATCACACACGGTTGGCGCCTGTCAAAACAGCTTGATCATCTTGTGTAAATAAGCTGATTACACTTGATGTGTAGCACTACATCTTGCACTCAAATGCTTTGTTTATTGAGAGATTTGTTATGCATGTCATTGTTTCCGACATGTGCAGTGAGCCTGGGGTGGCTATAAACTCATGGACAGAAAATAGAGGTGTCACCTTTTTAATGCAAGCAAAGGAGACTCCCTTTTTTCTCATTAATTTCCTGCTTGTAGTAATGTCATGATTTACAGTAATTGAAATACGTACTGTTCAAGGCTATGCTCAACCAAACTCACTGTTGAGAAAATGTGCATCCACAGGAAATAGCGATGTCATAAACAGCTGTATGTACCCGTGGATATGGGTTGGTGAATCTTGAAATCATTTGAAATTACTCTGAGGCATAATTGAGTGATGGCTGTATTCACGTTTCTGTTTTGTTTGCAGGACATCGGGGATGTTTCCACTGGGCGGTGGTCAAACATTAGGTAAGATCTGTATTCATTGCACTGCATGAATAGATTTTGAATGTTGACTGGATTTTTCAGTTCATTACCTGGACATGGCAGGGGAGACAGAGCTAATAATTGAGACAAACATCTGTGATACATTGTCAATACTTCACACAGATTTTGTATAAACTACATTGCTCCATCTACCCATGGAGATCCGGGTTACAAGTGTTTTTTCTGCAAACCCTGCTTGACGTAAGAGGCAACTAATGGGATCAGGTGGTCAGGTTCGCTGATTTCGTTGATGCATATCATCATATCCCAATTGCGTAGATTGATGTTCATGATGTGAATCACTGGATTGTCTGGTCCATGTAGCACAAGAAACATTGCTGTTTCTGTGATGAATCCTGAGTGCCCATTGGTCAAAGCAGTCACTGGTTTCCCCCCATGTTGGGACAAGGCCTGCCTTGATTTGGTTAAAAATAGCGCCTTCACTGCACGTGTATTCATGGGGGATGATGAATGGTTATACAAAACTTGTGAAGTATTGACGTTGGTAATCAACTGATCTAGCTGAAGCAAGGGACAAGGTACGATAAGGAATCTTTGCTGCCCACAACATCTGTATAATTCTTAAAATGATCTAAGCTTGTAGAGATTGCAGTCATATACCACTCAAAAAAGTGAAGGACCACCTAATTGTTTCATATTACTATAGTCAATCTATCATGGCTTGACATACCGAATTCGACGTAATAAGCGCCCCGCTCTAATAAGCACCCATGGCAATATTTGCTGATATATTGGCTAGTGAACAAGGCCAATTTGCATCCCTTCCTATTGATCAATGTACACATGACTTATTTATTCGGTATAATACGCACACGTGTGTTGTATGCACCCTTATTTATGGGCATTTAAAATCTGTAAAAATATATCTGTCGTACATGTATAAACATTTCAGGCTGTCAGCATAAACAATGAAATTTATCTTTCAACTATGTTTTTTTTCACCAAAATAATATTCTAATAAGAGCCCCCTATTTCTAATTTTGACAGCATCCCGGGCGCTTATTATGTCGAATACGGTATATATGAATATGAAAGAATCGGTGGTCCTTAACTTTGTTTGATGATATATGTGTTCATATGAATGAAAATTGGATGTTCAACATTTGCATGTTTGACTTACAACAGAACTCAGTGTAGCGGTAAGGCTGTGTATGTGGTGTTGATGGGCTGAACATATTTTTCTAATATTTGAACATGAGCAAGTGTCTGGCCCAAGTAGACTTGTAGTATGTACTGCCATGTACTCAATGGAGAAGTTACATCCTTGATCATGTCAGCATGGCCGGTAGAACAAAATGTCAAGAACAAGACAAGAACAAGACAAGGACAAGACAAGAACAAGAAAGCAAAAGCCTGGTTGTCAACCACAGAAACATGTCCAATAATTCCCATATTTAAAATTTCATTTCCCTTGGACCAGAATGGCCTTTGTTCATGGGTACATAGCAGTATGGCTTTTATGATATGCAAACACTCCCACATGCAGTAACTGCCCTGATTATGGGTGTCCAGTCTAATGAGGTTTCACTGTATGGAGTGTTGTGATGTTGCAGTGAAGGTGGCGTCGGGTCCGATGGCCAAAGACGTGGACAGCTTGGTGATGTGTATGAAAGCTTTACTGGTCCCTTCCCTTAGTAACGCCTGGCCTTTGACCCAGGTTGTGCCCTTTGACACAGAGGTGAGTTTTGTGGGTGTTAAAGTCTATGTTGTGTTCTATGCGGATGTATTTAAATAGAAAGTCCTGTCTGTAAGGGGCCGTCTCAAAAGTTCACTGTCAAACACTAGATTAAAAAACTTTAATCTAGAATTTACCACCCACCAACCCCCTCCAGATTAATGCCTTGTATAATGAGATATTACTAAAAGCTCCTGACATCATCTCAAGTGACACCTACTTCATGCACTATCATGTACCAACCCTGTATAGAGTTTCAAAGCACACTTACCACATGGCCCTGAATATTAATTATCAAAGGAGTTCATACATTGGGGCAAATATGTCATTTCCGTTTGAGGTTTCTTGGTAAAACCAAACTGAGACACTAAAGCAAATATGAAGGTTATTTATAAATATGTTCACAAAATCGGAAAAATGCTAGATTAATGGGATACCTGGCCACCAACCCACTGTATTGAAGAAAATATGTCTTGAGGTAGACTGCGAACTTTTGCGACAACCCTAACAAGGTGATAGTAACCTTGATTATGAATTGTTCATAGTTCTTATTGGCATTGAGACTGCCTCATTGATCTAGCGGACAGAGTGTCTGCTTGGTCGGTGATTCGATCATACCAACAGACGTTAAAAGTTGGTAGTTGTTAAGCTGCTCGACATTAAGGGGCTGAAACAAGGACTGGTTGGCTCTGAGACCACGTACTGTGTCTGAGTGGGGTATCCATGTTAAACTGTGGGCTTGCACTATGAAACCGGCATTAGTCCGTACTGGTACAAACAGACACATGCGTAACGCTGCTGTGTAAGGGAAACAATCCTGAACCCCATTTCACCCCCACCTAGTGGCATGGATGTGACTCGTCAACATGGAAGGGACCAGGTTCCTGTTCTTGTTCTCCTGTTTGTTCCCTCTATAGGGATTAAGGGACTGACCTGATCCTCGGTATCCTAGAGTTTCGAGGATATTGGCAGCTGCTGAGTGCTGAACAAGAATAGGGTTAGATTGTATGATTATGGCTGCTGTAATATAGTAGTTCCCAATAGTCATCCTGAAAGAGGGGTTTCCAGAAAAATAGGGTCTGAACTAACAAGGTCTCACCATGCATCTTTTCAGATTTATGAGAGCAGGAAACAATTACGTATTGGCTACTTTAAGACCAATGGTGTCCTGGCACCTGTTCCTGCAGTGGAGAGAGGTGTCGACATGGCCGTTGCAGCACTGAAGAAGAGGGGTCACACTGTATGTATCTATGCTGTTCACACTATGTGGGGTCACACTGTATGTAGGGTCACCCTGTATGTGGGTCACACTGTATGTGGGGTCACTCTGTATGTAGGGTCACCCTGTATGTAGGTCACACTATGTGGGGTCACTCTGTATGTAGGGTCACCCTGTATGTGGGTCATACTGTATGTGGGGTCACTCTGTATGTGGGGTCACTCTGTATGTGGAGTCACACTGTATGTGGGGTCACACTGTATGTGGGGCCACACTGTATGCAGGGTCATGGGGTCACACTGTATGTGGGGTCACACTGTATGTGGGGCCACACTGTATGCGGGGTCATGGGGTCACACTGTATGTGGGGTCACACTGTATGCAGGGACATGGGGTCACACTGTATGTGGGGTCACACTGTATGTGGAGTCACTCTGTATGTGGGTCACACTGTATGTGGAGTCATGGGGTCACACTGTATGTGGGGTCATGGGGTCACACTGTATGCAGGGTCATGGGGTCACACTATATAGGGTCACACTGTATGTGGGGTCACTCTGTATGTAGGGTCACCCTGTATGTGGGGTCACACTGTATGTGGGGTCACTCTGTATGTGGGGTCACTCTGTATGTATTATCAGTCTGTATGTTGTGTCTCACTGTATATGGGGTCACACTGTATGTGTATGCTGTCGTGTCACTCTGTATGCATGGTGCTGGGGAAGAACGTAGCTCCTACTTGCTGTGGTATTCATGTTCCAGGTGGTGAAGTTTGAGCCGCCACGGGTGATGTACATGTTCAAAGACCTGTTTATGAAGGTGGCGTTTGGAGATGCAGGGGAAGAAAGTAACGCCTACTTGTGAGTAGCCATTGATCGAAATTCACGCATTGTGAAGTTCGACCAAGTATCCAGTGTAGCTTTTCATCATTTTTGATACCATTAAAAACAGAACTACTTAAACGTGAGAGATAAACAGTTTACCATATGTATCTATTACATGTTGCTTAAGAATGATCCATTTGAACAAGTGATTCAAACATTCTGGGTTTGCATACCCTCCTTGACCCAGGAATACATATGGCTGCAGTTTGTCATGTGACATATATTTCATATTCTATATTGTAGTGTATTGGTCGAAACTCCATGAAAAGTATGGTATAACTAACTTATACACTACTCCTGGTACGAAAACATTTGTTAGGAAGGATCAGAAAGGGGTCGGGTCGAAATGCTGGACGCCTCAGACACAGAGACCAGTGGTTTAGGAGGAATCAGATAGGGGTTGGCTAGGAATGCTGGACCCATCAGACACAGAGACCAGTGGTTTAGGAGGAGTCAGATAGGGGTTGGCTAGGAATGCTGGACCCGTCAGACACAGAGACCATTGGTTTAGGAGGAGTCAGGTAGGGGATAGCTAGGACTGCTGGACCTGTCAGACACAGAGACCAGTGGTTTAGGAGGAATCAGATAGGGGTTGGCTAGGAATGCTGGACCCGTCAGACACAGAGACCAGTGGTTTAGGAGGAGTCAAATAGGGGTTGGCTAGGAATGCTGGACCCGTCAGACACAGAGACCAGTGGTTTAGGAGGAATCAGATAGGGGTTGGCTAGGAATGCTGGACCCGTCAGACACAGAGACCAGTGGTTTAGGAGGAATCAGATAGGGGTTGGCTAGGAATGCTGGACCCATCAGACACAGAGACCAGTGGTTTAGGAGGAATCAGATAGGGGTTGGCTAGGAATGCTGGACCCGTCAGACACAGAGACCAGTGGTTTAGGAGGAGTCAGATAGGGGTTGGCTAGGAATGCTGGACCCGTCAGACACAGAGACCAGTGGTTTAGGAGGAATCAGATAGGGGTTGGCTAGGAATGCTGGACCCATCAGACACAGAGACCAGTGGTTTAGGAGGAGTCAGATAGGGGTTGGCTAGGAATGCTGGACCCGTCAGACACAGAGACCAGTGGTTTAGGAGGAATCAGATAGGGGTTGGCTAGGAATGCTGGACCCGTCAGACACAGAGACCAGTGGTTTAGGAGGAATCAGATAGGGGTTGGCTAGGAATACTGGACCCGTCAGACACAGAGACCAGTGGTTTAGGAGGAGTCAGATAGGGGATGGCTAGGAATGCTGGACCCGTCAGACACAGAGACCAGTGGTTTAGGAGGAGTCAGATAGGGGTTGGCTAGGAATGCTGGACCCGTCAGACACAGAGACCAGTGGTTTAGGAGGAGTCAGATAGGGGTTGGCTAGGAATGCTGGACCCGTCAGACACAGAGACCAGTGGTTTAGGAGGAATCAGATAGGGGTTGGCTAGGAATGCTGGACCCGTCAGACACAGAGACCAGTGGTTTAGGAGTAGTCAGATAGGGGTTGGCTAGGAATGCTGGACCCGTCAGACACAGAGACCAATGGTTTAGGAGGAATCAGATAGGGGTTGGCTAGGAATGCTGGACCCATCAGACACAGAGACCAGTGGTTTAGGAGGAATCAGATAGGGGTTGGCTAGGAATGCTGGACCCGTCAGACACAGAGACCAGTGGTTTAGGAGGAAGTAAGTAAGGATAAGTGTTATGGACGAACATGGTTGGCCTTTAAAGGACAGTACACAGTTCAAGCTGGGCAGTGAACACAAAGCCATACCAGCAGTGTCCGTTTACTGAAAATCAACTTGATGAGCATGTTGGATGTTTGAATGGAACACTGTTTCTCACTGTCCATTTTGTTCCCAGGGACAATGATGTGCTGGACCCCAGCTGTCGTCTTTCTTACTACATCTTCAAACTACCCTACCTTGTGAGGCTGCCTCTCAGTCTGCTGGTGCAGCTCATTGTGAGTACATGCTCTGTGTGTGTGTGGGGGTGCGCACAGCTTGTGGGTGTGCAGCTTATTGTGTGTGTGGGGGGGTTGCGTGTGTGTGCGTGCGTGTGTGTGTGTATGCATTTGTGTGTGTGTGTGTGTGTGTGTGTTGGGGTGGGGTTGGGGTGGTACAGGTTATTGTGTTCAAGGCTGGCTTGTTTGATGTACAAAGAAATAATACCAACATGTCTCTGTGTTACAGGATGCTGATGCTGCACAGGTTGTCAGAATGAAGTCTGGGTACGACTGAACATTTAACAAATTTTCTTATGGAGCTATATTTTCCAAACATATTTTGACCTTAGCACAAACAGGACTACAAGTGGTCAGATAGGGGCTGCAGCAATAGGTAACAGGTCCTATAATGGAAATGAGTGCATTCATGAATGTCCAAGACTTGTCACTGTTGAATGTCTTGAAAGAGGCATGTGCTCTGTTCCTGAATCTGGAATAGTGTTGGAAGCTGGCCCGATTCAATAGTGTCAGATAGATATCACGTGTGCTCTTGGCAAGTAGATAGGAAGCAAGTCAGGCCATGAAAGGCCTCGATTCATAAAAGGTCGCTCTTATCAAGATACAGTCAGCCTTCTAGACACAGTAACATCAAAAATCTTTGCAACCGATCAAAACTCAAATGGGAGGTAATTCCAGTGCAGAATGGCCACTACAGCAGTTGTTATTTTACGAGCACCTCAGTCATTCTGACAATCACTACAAACCTACAACAATCTCTCCTGCCACTACGTGATAATTCATATTTCTCTTTTGAGTAAAATCTGTTTTTGAATTACTTTCCAGTCATGATTGTGGCAAACAGTGTTTCAATAGAAATGGTTTCTTCTTGGTAGTGGTCTAATGTAGACTCAGTACAGATGTCACACCAATCACAATGCAGGATTCTAAAATGTCATGGTAGACGTATATTTACACGGCAGTGTTTGCGCACGTATTTGTCTGTGGTTTGGGGTCACTGACATGTTTGTTTACCGTTTCTTGCAGCACCGTTCTGCAGTGGTTCAAGCTGGCAGAGGACTTAGTGGTGAGATCTTTTCAAAACTTATGTCTGATGAGAGAATAGCAAGGGCTGTCTGCCACCATTGAGGATAGAATAGCAAGGGCTAACTCCCATCATTGAGGATAGAATAGCAAGGGCTATCTACCATCTTTGAGGATAGAATAGCAAGGGCTATCTGCCACCACTGAGGATAGAATAGTTAGGGCTATCTACCATCATTGAGGATAGAATAGCAAGGGCTATCTGCCACCACTGAGGATAGAATAGCAAGGGCTATCTACCATCATTGAGGATAGAATAGCAAGGGCTATCTGCCACCACTGAGGCTAGAATAGTTAGGGCTATCTACCATCATTGAGGATAGAATAGCAAGGGCTATCTACCATCATTGAGGATAGAATAGCAAGGGCTATCTGCCACCACTGAGGCTAGAATAGTTAGGGCTGTCTGCCATTGCTGAGGCTAGAATAGTTAGGGCTGTCTGCCATCGCTGAGGCTAGAATAGTTAGGGCTGTCTGCCATCGCTAAGGATAGAATAGTTAGGGCTGTCTGCCATCGCTGAGGATAGAATAGTTAGGGCTGTCTGCCATCGCTGAGGATAGAATAGTTAGGGCTGTCTGCCATCACTGAGGATAGAATAGTTAGGGCTGTCTGCCATCGCTGAGGATAGAATAGTTAGGGATATCTACCATCCCTGAGGATAGAATAGTTAGGGATATCTACCATCACTGAGGATAGAACAGTTAGGGCTATCTACCATCCCTGAGGATAGAATAGTTAGGCCTGTCTGCCATCGCTGAGGATAGAATAGTTAGCGCTGTCTGCCATCGCTGAGTATGGAAAGTTCTTTGGCATCACTGATAGAATAGCCAGATCTCTAGCTTGCATGTTTCTGTTTCAGGCTTATAAACTGGAGTTCTTAGCAGCCATGGCAAAACAGAAACTTGATGTCATTCTATCCCCCACAATGCCACTTCCTGCCATTCCTATCGGCCAGTCGTCCCAGATTACAGGTAGAACTCATAACAATTAACAACCCTATTCACTGGTTTAACATCAATAGATGGCTAATGTAAATTCCTCCCTCTTCTGTTCCAGCTGCTGTTACATACACCACCCTTTACAATGCACTCAACTTTCCTGCTGGCTGTTTGCCAGTAACCAAGGTTACTGCAGATGACCAGAAGAAGCTGCAGGAAGCTTATCCAGCAAATACCCTCTACGAGAAGGTTACCCTAAAGGTGAGTGCTTGTATAGGGCTAGGTTGCGGCTTACCCCATCTTCCCTAGGCAAAAGAGTTAACTGACTTTTAAAGTTCAGTTTCCACATTTGCCGAACTAGGCTGGAATTCCTGGGCTCGATCTTAGCGCCACCAGTGATTATTACGAGTTATGTCCCTTCTAAGCCTCTCCTATCGACCAATCAGATTCCACCTCTCGTATCACTTGCATTTGATTTAAATATATGGCGGCATCCAGTCAAGACGATCTGATCGATAATCAAGATCTTTACAAGACCCGTGATAAAACGGGTCTTACATCGCGAAGTGCATCAGATCATGTGAGCACCTTGATTAAAATCATGAAAAGATTTGGAAAATATCTGTTGACAACGAGTTGGTGGTGCAGATGCTTTGCAAATCATGCAGTCGACCGAAATCAGCATGACAGTTTACAAACCAGATTTCGATTTCGTTGTGCGATTTTGATTGGATTATGCATAGACTCATTAGCCCAGCCATAATGTAATTCCATAATACCAGCCTAGTTCGGCAAGGGTGGAAACTGGACTTTTTTAGTCAGTTAACTCTCTTGTCTCGGGAAGATGGGCTTTCCCCAAACTGGTCCAATTGACATAATTGAATAAAGGATCACAGTTGATCAGCTTTAGGGAGACGATTATGCACTGTCCGAGTAGAAACGTTAACGCTGCTGTGTAAGGGAAACAATCCTGAACCCCATTTCACCCCCACCTAGTGGCATGGATGTGACTCTTCAACATGGAAGTGACCAGGTTCCTGCTCTTGTTCTCCTGTTTGTTCCCTCTATAGGGCTTGCATGGGGTTTACCCCAAAGTGGTCCAGTTGACATAATTGACCACAGTTGATGTAGGCTACATACAAATTCACAGGGATTTGTCTAGGATTCCAAACTGAGTGCTCTTGAATATTTGTTATTTTGTTTACGTTGCTTTGGGTTTTTTTAAGGTCTTATTTTGTTATATTCAAAGATTACTTTTAATTGTATTTTAACAATCATAAAATGCAATATAAATGTTTCAAATGAAACGCTTATGCCTCCTTATTGGCCCCGTTATCAGTGAAATACACGTCACCTCAATAAAGCCGGGATATCAGTTAGAACTTTATTGGCATGAATTGGGAAAGTTTAGATTCAAAGGTGGTCATTTGTACTGACATTTCACTGCAGATTTTGAGCCGAGGATTGGCCTCTGAGCGGTCTAGAGAAATCCCTGCTCGCAATATGGCAGTTTCTGTTTGTGAACACTGTTTTGTAGAAATTCCACTAAGATAACCATGCTTCAATTTTAACATGAATACCCCTACCAGACACAGTATACTGACTCCAGGCCAACTAATCTTTGTTTTATCCCCTTAATGCCAAGCCAGGCAGGGTAACAACAAGTACCACCTTTTAAGCAGCTTTTGGTATGATGGGCCAGGGATCGAACCACCAACCTTCTGCTCTCTGGGCAGACACCGTGTCCACTAGACCAAGGAAGGGACTAAGTAGGGGATCAGGTGGTCAGTGTGTGTGTCATTGGCCCAATGGTGTGGTCAGTGTGTGTGTCATTGGCCCAATGGTGTGGTCAGTGTGTGTGTCATTGGCCCAATGGTGTGGTCAGTGTGTGTGTCATTGGCCCAATGGTGTGGTCAGTGTGTGTGTCATTGGCCCAATGGTGTGGATCGTTGCTGTCTTACCCAATGGTGTGGATTGTTGCTGTCTAACCCAATGGTGTGGATCGTTGCTGTCTTCCCCAATGGTGTGGATCGTTGCTGTCTTCCCCAATGGTGTGGATCGTTGCTGTCTAACCCAATGGTGTGGATCGTTGCTGTCTTACCCAATGGTGTGGATCGTTGCTGTCTAACCCAATGGTGTGGATCGTTGCTGTCTAACCCAATGGTGTGGATCGTTGCTGTCTTACCCAATGGTGTGGATCGTTGCTGTCTAACCCAATGGTGTGGATCGTTGCTGTCTAACCCAATGGTGTGGATCGTTGCTGTCTAACCCAATGGTGTGTATCGTTGCCGTCTAAACAAATGGTGTCGATCGTTGCCGTCTAACCCAATGGTGTGTATCGTTGCCGTCTAAACAAATGGTGTCGATCGTTGCCGTCTAACCCAATGGTGTGGATCGTTGCTGTCTTACCCAATGGTGTGGATCGATGCTGTTTTACCCAATGGCGTCGGTCGTTGCTGTTGCATTAAGTCACATGTTTGTGTTGAGAGTTTCCTGTGATTATGAGAGTGATGGCTAACGCTGTCCCCTTCTTCCCTCAGATGAGTCAAGGAACCGATGGCCTGCCAGTCAGTGTCCAATGTGCAGCCCGGCCCTTCCAGGAAGAGCTTGTTCTGCGGGTCATGAAGGACATTGAACAGGAAGTCAAGTACAAGTGAACAGCATTCTGGGAGTGTTCTAGCAAATAATTGTTGGGATCAAAGTAATTCTGTGAATATTAGAGGCCTGTCTAATTATCAAGGGCCCTGTGTCACAAAGCGATCTTAGCACTAAGAGGATCATAACTTCAATACTTTCACAAACACTTGCAAGTGGTATTGTAATCCTTGCTGGTGTCATTCTATGTTAAAGTATTCGAGTTATGATTGTCTTGTTGATGCGATCACTTTGGGAAACAGGGCTCTGAACCCCAAGATGGGGGCACGGGTGGCTGGGCCATCAAAGGCACCACAATACCCTTTCTGATTTGGACAATTTCCCCACAGCTTTGAAAACATTAATTTTATTTTTGGTATGATTAACATCGGAGACAATGCCTCACAGTAACGTTCCCAATACAATGTCTGAGTCGGAGAAGACGACTACATCTTTGCAGAGTTGTGTCCCTTGGGCACACCGGAAACCTATGATCATTATGATCATGGGTTATAATGCTCCGCCATACCTGTGGTCGTGGATTTCACCTGCATCACTTCGTGCTTTCCACATTAAACTGACACGCCGTGATATACGTGGAATACTGTTAAAAGCGGTGTTAAACCCAACTCACTCACTCGCTATTCTTTTTCAGAATGCTAATCATAGCTCTACTCCAATGTCATTTGATGGTGCTAGCTTTCTGAATTCACAATAGCTTCCAATTATGTTTCATCTCAGGCTGTGAATGTTTGCGTTGCAATCTGTATGAAATCCCTCGGTCCAAAGTAAGATATTGGTATGCTTCTGTACATTGTGTGAATGTGACTTAGATTTGCATGATATTAGATGTAAATAAATAGATATCATGTAAGTTTAGCCATGGTTGAGCTCAGTCTCATTGGCGTTAGTCCCAAGAATAGTGAAAATCTAGCAGAACTAGTTAGTTTTGCCCAAAGTTAGCTCATGTTACATAAAAGCCACAAGTCTGAACTGAGCTGTGGCCATGTTGGGTTTGATGCATGGTATTTAACTACTCATGTTAGGTAGAATATAAAGGAAATGTTTCTCGGATATTGGCGCATAGCTTTTAATCAGGTGCATCAGGCATTTATATTGCCAATAAAAAAAACACATCATATGAAACAGACTGTTCTCCATGTTTGACACCTGACATGATGGTATATTAATTAATGTGTACCAAGTTTTTTGGTATTCTTGGAAGGGAAAACATTAAAAAGTGTTCCTGCCTCAATAATTTTGATTTAAAAATAAATGAATAATAAAACTGACCTTCCTCTCAAAATATGTCAGAGAAACATTTGTTTTGCAGCCATAGTGTTTTACATGATTGTTGCACTTGAATTCCTTACTGTGGAGATGTTGGATTTCACCATGACGTCTGCCTGGTGTAGAACTGATTCCTGTAGACATGCTGACTGTGATAGATGTGTCGGACAGACATGTATGTTTGTGGTTTTCATGGACACATGGTCTAAGTTGATGAATGTTCTGTAAGGATGATCTGTTACCTGCTGTTGTGCACCACAGTATTCATGCCTGTTTCAAAAAGGTATATATGCAACATTGAATTTGTTATTGCATACCATTTTGCTCACGATGTGTTGTGAATTATGAAACAGCTGTTGTTATTCACATTTATACTAATTGAAATTCCCTTAGTTTATGAGTGGTACAGTTGTATAACACTGGTCTAAGAAACACCATATTTTGTTGTGCAGAGTAACCTCCCTTATCCGTGCCAGAATCTGGTGATCAGTGGTTTCAATTTGCTATGATTATGATCCTTGGTTTTTCAGAACCATGCCCATCGATCTCAATTGCATGGATCGATGCTCATGATGTAAATCACTGGATTGTCTGGTCCAGACTCGATTATTTACAGACCGCGTCATATATCCCGGGCGCATCATGCCAAAAGATGTTAAAAGATGCTTTTACTATCTTGGATTTACAGACAACAGTGCCCTGTTTCACAAAGTGATCTTCACGCTAAGATGATTGTACACCCACTTTTTAACAATGACTTCCGACATGGCAGTTTGTGGACAGGTCAGTTTGTGGACAGGTCAGTTTGTGGACAGGTCAGTTTGTGGACAGGTCAGTTTGTTGACTGGTCAGTTTGTGGACTGGTCAGTTCGTGGACAGGTCAGTTTGTGGACAGGTCAGTTTGTGGACAGGTCAGTTTGTTGACTGGTCATTTTTTGGAAAGATCAGTTTGTTGACTGGTCAGTTTTTGGACTGGTCAGTTTGTGGACAGGTCAGTTTGTTGACTGGTCAGTTTGTGGACTGGTCAGTTTGTGGACAGGTCAGTTTGTGGACAGGTCAGTTTGTGGACAGGTCAGTTTGTGGACTGGTCAGTTTGTGGACAGATCAGTCATATCAAACAACCTTGTCAAGATCCAGGTTAAAATAGGTCTTCAGCAACCCATGCTTGCCATAAAAGGATCGGGTGGTGGCTCGCTGACTTGGTTGATGCATGTCATCGTATCCTGAAGGAGTGGATCAAGGCTCATGATATCAATCTCTGGATTGTCTGGTCCAGACTCAATTATTTACAGACCACCGCCATATAGCTTGAATATTGCGTACTCGGTACTCGTGGGTTTCACCAAAGTTGTAAATGTCTGAGACCTGCATCTCTTAGGACTTTCCTCCCACATTAAGTTGACACGCCGTGATATAACTGGAATAATGTTCAAAGCAGCGCTGAATCCAACTCACTCACTCACTCACTGTTGATATTGGCATCAATGTGAAGGAATGGGAGTTATGACAGTATTAATACCAGATATGTCTGCTTTATTGAACCGGGCCCCGAGATCATAGTCTGCATGGACATTGTTTGTCTTAGCTCTAAAATTACCTTGGGGAACAGGACGTAATGATCGTAGTGGAATGACGGTCATAAGTGTATGTTAAAGTTTGAGAGTTACGTAATGATTGTCTGTGGACTTTTGGTTCGGGATCGAGTCATTTCATCAGTGTTATGACTGTCGTCATAAGTCTGTGTTAAGGTTTGTGAGTTTGATTGTCAGTGCAAAGATCACTTTTTTTAAACAGGCCAAGGATAAGTTAACTAGGCCCAGACGCATAACAAATATTGTGTATTTAATTCATGATGCTTAACCGTTTCTGAGATGTTTACAATTGTTGACCATTTTCGTTATTTTTTTTTTTGAGGATGTCCTATGGCTTTACAGTGCACTGCGTTTTATATGCGATTGTGTACAGACATCCAGTCTGCTCTGACAATAAACTGTGTGTGTTATTCTGTGTGTCATATACTCAGATTTTGGACAGTATAACTGTCTGTGATGTACCCTGGGTACGAGGCTCAAGATACTATACATTGATTTAAAACCCCTGTATCGCACTACATATGACACATTACAAGTTATACTGATCCACAAACACATGAATACCGGCAAAGACAGATCTGAAATGCTCATCTTGATCGGGCAATCAATCTCTGGTACTTGGTGGAATGCATGTAAGCATTATCTGATAATGTTGGATGTTGCCCATCATATCAATCACTGGTTTATCTCGTCCAGACTCGATTAATGAGAGGCAGCTATCATATAGCTGGAATAGTGCTGAGCATTCCATTGATGTTGGCGATTTTATCAACACCTGAATGAAAGGTCATAATTTCAGAGCAGGATTTAACAAACAGATTGACGTGTTTCATTAAAAACATTCCTTCTCTTGAAGGCATGCTTAAAATATAACATGACAGACATTAAGTTTCCATAGTTTGTGGCTGCTTTAAGACGAGAACATTGTTTGACTGTAGGTCGAATTACAGTTAGTTGTATAGTTATTTGGTATGTATTGCTTTTTACTGTTTTTTAGGATGGACATATAAAGGTGAAATGATACAGATCTTCAATAGTGTTTTGGTTTCAATATGTGCATAATATTTCAGAATTTTGAATTTTATGGTGTCTCCCGGTATCAGTTTTAAGTCTTGTACATCCAACATGAGCACAAGCATAACAAATATTTTCAACAGGCTCTGATTATGTTTTTTCAAATATGTTTTATATTGTGACAGTAAATGATAATAGTTTTTTTTTATCATTTAATTATAATATAAAATCCTGCTGCTTTTCATTTTAATTTTTTTATCACATTTCAAATTTTTGGAGTCGTTGTAAATCATAAAATAAGTTTTTAGAAAGTCTGTTCTTATGTGTGAAAATCTGTGTGAAGAAATAAGATCAAAATATTTTGCTGGCATATTGTTCTTTATTATGATATGAATTTGATATTCAGTTTGTGTTAGATGATTAAAATATGCTGACAAGAGCCTCAACCTGTCTTTCTTATTTTGTAAACTAATTATTAATGCATTTATCCTCAGTCAACAACCACACATATCCACAGAAGTGGGAGGGGACTGCTAATGCCCTCTCATGATATTGTCACAATATTGTAAATGGACAATTTTGCAATGGAGAAACATTAGAATTTGTTGATCCCGGAAATAGATTCAATGAGCACCGAAATGCAAAGTGCATTGTTAATGTTTGTAGATATTACATTTCTATAATTTTACATAATAATCTAGTTGTGTCTGTTTTGCTTGTTAAAATGCACGTTCAGAATGGCCAGTGAATTCCTGGCTCATTAAATGTTTCTTGTGAGATCACTCTATTGGTGTGACCATGTGTTAATATTTCCCGAAAACAATTTCAGCCAAATATGCAAATCAAGGTTTGCGAAGGATCACCACTTAAGGTAATTCGTCAAATTGTGTGCACCTTTTGAAATAGCCAAAGATCCATGTTATGCAATCACAGTCTGGCACTCTGGTTTCATGCTCCCAGTAAGTGTCTGCATGACTGCCAAGGAACGATTGTCCCCCTCTTCAATAAAAACATTGTAGTCCTTGTAGAGTTGCAACATGTGTTCGATAGGGTTGAGGTCTGGTAACATGGCTGGCCACCCTGATCTAAGTAGGCATCCATGACCCTGGCATGATGAGGTCGTGCATTATTGTCCATGAGGATGAAGCTTTGGTTGACTGCACCAGCATATCACGTACATGTTCAGAATATCATCCCTATAGAGAACATCTGTCATTGTGTCATGTTCGGCTACGTTGGAATTCTGAAATCTTTCTACTTGTCTACACCACACTAAAATACGACGATCTGTGAAGTCTAGACATTATCTCGATTCGTCAGTGAAGAGCAGGAGCCATTACTTGGTCTGTTAAGTTGACGTGATCTTCAGCCCAATCCAAAAGTGACTGTCTGGGATTCAAATACATGCCGAATAACGCCACTGGTGTTCCGCAGGTTATTTCTGAGTGTGCTGGCAGTCACAAAGTGATGACGTCTTGCTGCAGTCAGGAAACGCCTGTCGACCTGAATGTCGATGGGTAGTTGATCCAAACACCTGGTATCGATTCCATGCCCTGCTGATCACACTTTGGCTGTCACCAAAGACGTTTGCAACTTGACGTTGAGCTGACCCAGTTTCTAGCATTCCTATACATCTGCCTAATTTTTCGGTCTTCAAATGACGTCTCTGATGCTGAGGGGGCATACGTGCATTCGGTTGTTGCAACTTGCAATTCTAAGCGGAATATGATGTGCTCTCTGATACTGATGTGCAACGATTCTGTCACCATACATCCAAACACAGGACTTCAAGCACCTCGTGCACCGCATGTCTGCATGCCTCTGTCCATTCATCATGAAAATTAGTACCTTTTGGGGTAACCCAATCATTGTGTTCCGGGATATTTCAATCTTTATTTGTTGGGTGATATTTTGATATCATCAAACTTTTATCCTCAGCAAACTTTGAGTGGTATTGCTGAAAACTCTTATCAACATGAACTATACCATTGTCGTCGCGCATCTACGAGTGAGCCGTTCACCACTTGCATTGACTCCTGATACGGGGTGGCCGATATTTACATCGCAATCACTCAATCTCTGTCCTTCCACGTTGATTACGTCATCTCTACGTGTACGATATCAAGAGGGAAGATGAGAGATCCGCGTGTATATAATACTTTTGTATACGACATTGACACTAGGAGTTGACTGCCTACCCGTCGGTGTGTTTGACCTCCCGACCCCGTGAGTTGCTAAAGGCAAATTCTGATCCGGATCTTCACGGGCCCTACCCATCGATCGATATCGGTAAAGGAATGCAGGCTCCAGGTGCAACTAGCTTCTTCTTATGCTTGACGGTATAGTATCATGAGTATTGAGTGAGTATGGTTTTACGCCGGGGACACCAGAAATGGGCTTCACACATTGTACCCATGTCCGTAATCGAACCCGGGTTTTCGGCGTGATAACGAACGCTTTAACCAGTAGGCTACCCGACCGCCCCCATGAGTATTGAACTTAAACTATGTTCACAAATATTGCCGATGTGACTTTAAATTATAACTCACTCAATCAACCACTGTCTGTTTTCAAAGTCAAAAAGGAGTCTAAGGTTGAAATTCTAGTGAATATAGAATGTATTTTCCTCCTCCGACACCTGCTGTCTCTGTCCGCCATGTTTGTGAATGACGGGATGTTGGTTGATGGATGGTGGTGACAAAAGCAGCGTCCCATTTTCTACACAAAACAAAGAGTAGTAGTTTGTTCAGATGTCGCGCACCTGTCTACCACAGCAACAGCCGGCTCTAGTCAGACCGCCTGGTGAATCAAATAACTTCAATTGACACGTGATCTGTATCATGGACCGCAGTTTCACAGTTTATCGTTTCTTTGGATAACAGTATGTAATGGAGAAATATCTCGAATCTGTTGATTCTATTGTATACATTATATATACTACTCAAAAGAATTCCTGAATTGTTCATATGACGGGTATGACAGATGAACATAGTCATTTGGAAATGCTGAATTATTAAACTTCTTTGGACAGACAGACAATTTATTTCAGTAGCGGCCCATAATGCATTAATATAGCATGTTAAATCACGCATATACATATACATACATGCATACACACACACACACACACACACACACACACATGTATGTTTTTGTTTGTTTAACGCACTCAGCAATAGTGCAGCTATATGACGACGGCGGTCTGTAACACCAGACAGTCCAGTGATTGGTATGAGCATCGATCCGCGCGATTAGGACACGATGACATGCATCAACTAGGTCAGCGAGTCCGACCTCCCGACCCCGTTAGTCGCCTTTTACGACAAGCACGGGTTGCTGAAGACCCCCTCTAACCCGGATCTTCTCAGGGATGGCACGTGTTGGCTATGCTCCCTAACGTTTTAAAAATAAACATATGTACATTTTCACCCTACGACAATGTTGCTGTCAATGTAAGCTTCAGAAAAAGCACACTGTAAAATTATAGAACAGATGCTATGGCAATCCTACACACAGAAAAAGTAAGCGACAGTTGTCAGGGTGCCATATCATTGAAAAGATTTGCTTTGTCCGCTTTCACATGTAACACCACCTCTCAACATGGTGTAGTTTGCGCACATGAGCAGTAGTGCGTGACACTGTTTCAGTAGGGGGCACGGGTGGCCCAGTCGTCTAACGCGCCGCGATTCGCTGTGCAGAGTTGGGTCCCTTCGGACGCGCCAGAAACATATGATTGTGGGTTCGAACCCCGGTTCGCCCCGATTATGTTTCTAGGTTTGTCAGCACCATACCTGTGCTCGGGGGTTTCACCGAAGTGGTAAACGTCTGAGACCTGCATCACTTCGGGCTTTCCTCCCACATTAAGCTGACACGCCGTGATATAACTGTAATACTGTTAAAAGCGACGTTAAACCCAACGTCGCTTCATTCACTCACTGTTTCAGTGAGTGAGTATGGTTTTACACCGCTTTTTAGCAATATTCCAGCAATATCACGGCGGGGTACACAAGTAATGGGCTTCACATATTGTACCAATGTGGGGAATTGAACTCGGGTCTTCGGGGTGACGAGCGAACGCTTTAACCACTAGGCTACCCCACCACCCCGACATGTTTCAGACACTGATCATCAATACTAATATGGAGAACTCTACAAATATTTATTACAATGTCCTCTATAGATATTAGAGAAATGTTCTACTGGCTGGAGATATACTGGGTGTTGCATACACGACCACATTGTTTCATGTCCAAACAAAACCAATGGGTCTGGGTTGTTATAGACTTTATTACACTTAAGCCATGTATTTTAATATATTATTTATCGCTGAATGCACAACTGGGTCACCTAGGCTATAAGAGAACATTATCTTTCCAACCATGCATACGATAACACAAGAGTTGAACCGCCCGTCTTGATGCTCAAAGGGTGTTGCTTTCGCTTTCACATAAAAGATTACATCGTACAACACACAAACACGTGTTTTACACAGCAAACATAAGGCCTCGCAAACGAGGGGTTCATACTGGTTCGTTGCTTTCCCACATACAGCCGCGTGACTAGTTAGAAAATACTGTTTGGTTTTAAGCCATAGCAATGTTACAGGGATTTTTTAGTGGTATGTTACTTTTTGTTTTACTTAGAAGGTCGATAGACCTTAGGCATTTTCTCAGTCTCCCAATAGGAAATGATCAAAGTACCAGTAGTATCAATACACATGTACATGAAGAAACGAGAATATTACTGAGTCAGTGTGTAAGAAAAGACTACATGGGTGACAACTTCAGCAAAGATGTAACAATGCCAAATGTCATCATTAACATTTTAGTCACATCGATTCCAGATTGTGTCGTAGTGAACCCGTCAATAAAAGGAGATTGCAGCCGTTAAATCGCAGGACGACATAGTAATCATTCACGTAATGGCAAGGAGGTCAGCAAGCTGTGACGGTGCTGCTGCTGCGTCCCGTCACAGTGTAACGGTGTTGTTACTGCAGCGTCCCGTCACTGTGTAACGGTGGTGCTGCTGCTGCTTCCGTCACGGTGTAACGATGCTGCTGCTGTTTCCGTAATGGTGATGCTGCTGTTGCTTTCGTCACAGTGTAACGGTGATGTTACTGCAGCGTCCCGTCACGGTGTAACGGTGATGCTGCTGCTGCTGCTTCCGTCACGGTATAACGGTGATGCTGCTGCTGCTTCCGTCACGGTGTTACGATTATGCTGCTGCTTCCGTCACGGTATAACGGTGATGCTGCTGCTGCTGCTTCCGTCACGGTATAACGGTGCTGCTGCTGCTACTGCTTCTTCCGTCACGGTATAACGCTGCTGCTGCTGCTTCTTCCGTCACGGTATAACGCTGATGCTGCTGCTTCTTCCGTCACGGTATAACGCTGATGCTGCTGCTTCTGTCACGGTGTAACGCTGATGCTGCTGCTTCTGTCACGGTGTAACGCTGATGCTGCTGCTGCTTCTGTCACGGTGTAACGCTGATGCTGCTGCTTCTGTCACGGTGTAACGGTGATGCTGCTGCTTCCGTCACGGTATAACGGTGATGCTGCTGCTGCTGCTTCCGTCACGGTATAACGGTGCTGCTGCTGCTACTGCTTCTTCCGTCACGGTATAACGCTGCTGCTGCTGCTTCTTCCGTCACGGTATAACGCTGATGCTGCTGCTTCTTCCGTCACGGTATAACGCTGATGCTGCTGCTTCTGTCACGGTGTAACGCTGATGCTGCTGCTTCTGTCACGGTGTAACGCTGATGCTGCTGCTGCTTCTGTCACGGTGTAACGCTGATGCTGCTGCTTCTGTCACGGTGTAACGGTGATGCTGCTGCTTCTGTCACGGTGTAACGCTGATGCTGCTGCTTCTGTCACGGTGTAACGCTGATGCTGCTGCTGCTTCTGTCACGGTGTAACGCTGATGCTGCTGCTGCTTCTGTCACGGTGTAACGCTGATGCTGCTGCTTCTGTCACGGTGTAACGCTGATGCTGCTGCTGCTTCTGTCACGGTGTAACGCTGATGCTGCTGCTTCTGTCACGGTGTAACGCTGATGCTGCTGCTGCTTCTGTCACGGTGTAACGCTGATGCTGCTGCTTCTGTCACGGTGTAACGCTGATGCTGCTGCTTCTGTCACGGTGTAACGCTGATGCTGCTGCTGCTTCTGTCACGGTGTAACGCTGATGCTGCTGCTTCTGTCACGGTGTAACGGTGATGCTGCTGCTTCCGTCACGGTATAACGGTGATGCTGCTGATGCTGCTTCCGTCACGGTGTAATGGTGATGCTGCTGCTGCGTCTCGTCACGGTGTAACGGTGCTTGGTGTATAGCTGAAGGCTACGAGATAAACGAGATATTTTTCTTAATGTTTGAAAGACTCAACACGTGAGAGAAACATGGCATTTGTTTTTATCAAAATGGAACAATTAACGTCAGTTATAATTTTGCCATACAGTATATTGTAATCGTGTGTCGCCATTTTGACCATGTACTTCCAGAACACGACGATATTATTGTAAATGATTAAACGTGATCTCTTCCTGGAATAGTCAGTTTGTCTATCACATTAGTTCACTATGATACACTGGTGTCCCTTTCTGTCATCGTTCAACTGTTCCAGAAAATGACAGAGCTATAGTACGACGGCAAACCTTAACCCTTCCTGCCATGGCTCAGCTTCGCCTGGTCGTACAACTTCCTGAACTTGTCCCTGTCCGCCGTCATCTCCTTCAACCGGAACTGGATGTTCAGCAAGTCTTCATCCTTCTTGCGAATCTTCTCGGTGAGATCCCACTTCCTCTTCTCCCAGCCCTGCTGAAACCGTTGTGCCATGGTCCTCTCGTTGTGTTTTGTCGCTTCGTAGTTCGCCACCAGCACCTTCAGCCTGTTCAGGAGGGGCTTCCCTCTTGCAGGTTCCTGCTCTGAATCCAGATTGGAGAAGGTGTTTTCTGGAACCAGTTTTGGTAAATGGAGGGCTGGCACTTTTGCAGGTTCTTTTGGTCTTTTCCTGATCATGCCCGACTTCTTAGAGGATGCATTTGAGTCGGTGTTGCGGTTATTAGCCATGACGGTATCAGATGCAGTGCTCCTGGGCATATTTGATGTCACCCTCTTCATGTAATTAACACACTGGTCGTATTCCTCTGAGAGTTTTACCAACACCCCCTTAAGACTGCTTACATTGTCATCAACATCCACACCCTTTTCTATATCATCTATATGCTGTTTAACTGTGAAGAAGCCCTTAGATGTATATCCCTGAGCTTTCTTCTGTAATTGTTTGATTCTAAGCTCTGACCGTAACTTGTCTGTCAGGAGAGTTTCAAGGTGGACATACTCTTTGATTTGATGCTCTAGAAGATTGATCCCTTCCATAACTGACGTGATGGGATAGGATTCCACAACAACAGGTCGATCCCCTTGTCTGCTGATGGAGGGCGTGGTCACCAAAGGTGTTGATGCAACACTGCTGTTGACGCTGAGTCTAGTAGATGTGGGGAGGTACCTCGAGGTTGCCATGGAGCTAGCGGAGGAGTAGAGCTGGTCAAGCACGTGACACCGGTCACTCAGCCAGTCGCGACAGATCCGGAGCAAACGCATAGAGTGCGTCCTAGTCTCCTTCTCCCTCGTCATCATCCTGTTCCGGCCTTGAGACAAGCTGTGGATGTCTTCCATCAACACCTGGAACAGATCAGCCGCACGGTGGGGCACGGCGACGTGGGAGACCGGGAGTCGGTGAGACCTGAGTATGTCTCTCACCCATGCGTCACACTCCTTGGTCTGAGTCATCATGTCACTGTTGACGTCAGCGACAGCTTGGCAGTCCTGGTGGAGCTTGTGGATCACAGCCTGGCAGCGGCGGATCTCCATTATCACCTCTGTCATTGTGGTAGTGACGTTCAGGAGAAGCTGACTATCTTCCTTGTGGGTCTCGCCCTCCGTCACGTACACATGTCGTTCAGGTTGTCTGTCATGATTGTGCATAGGTTTGATATTCTGTATCTCTAAACCAAGTCTCCGCTCCTCCTTGTTAAGGAACACAGTGAGGTTCTTCAACACTCCATCCAGCTCAGCATGGGCTGCAAAGAAAACCCAGGATAGATGTATCCTTATTATCCTACACTCGTTAAGTAAACTGCCGGGTAAAAGAAAGTATACACCCATGTTTGATGGTCGCTAAGCATGAAACAAACAACAAATGGTTATTTGATGGTGATGCATTTGATCGGGTATTATAATTGTGTTTAGGACCCTCAGTTTGCAGTGTTTGGGCGACTGTTTCTAGTTAAGTAACTTTTCTATAACGTTTCTCATTGTTTGGTCCAATTCAATTTTCAAGTGTATGCTTTCTTTTGCCCCACAAGAAAACAGTTCTTTGGTCCAGGATCCACTTGCACAAAGTGATCTTAGCACTACAACTATTATAACCTATGTTACAGTATGGGATTTACAATCATCTTAGCGCTAAGATCGCTTTGTGCAAGTGGGCCCTGGTCGATGTCGTTATTTGTGATTATGTTTTAAATGATAATTCAATTAATTTCAGTTCCGCATTCTACTTGGCTACAGATACACGCGCATGACGTATTACTGTACATATACCAGACCCGTGAAGATCCGGGGTAGAATAGGTCTTCAGCAACCCATGCTTGCCATAAACGGTGACAATGCTTGTCGTAAGAGGCGACTAACGAGATCGGGTGGTCAGGCTCGCTTACTTGGTTGATGCATGTCATCGTATTCCAATTGCATGGAATTGTTGGGTCCAGACTTAATTATTTACAGACCACCGTCATATAGCTGGAATATTGCTGAGTGCGGTGTTAAACAGCAAAGAAAGAAACATATACCAAATCATCACTAGATTAATTGTCAATCATGTGCAGTGGCGTATGCATATTTGAATCATGACTGTGTCTAGTTATCATGTGATTCTTACCACAGTGAAGAGGTTGGAATCACACGAGTTGCATAAATACAATTCCGGATAAGTCGATTACATTTGACTCGGTCGTTTAACATTCGGCGCCCCTCAACCCTTCTGGTCTTCTCGGCCAGCATTGTGAGGAATCCATACTGGATTCACAAGTTCATGTGACCGTCGCATACAACCACACATTCTGACTGCCGGTGCGGCCCTTATTGAAATGATATGATATATCAAAGTGTATACATTATTTCGTTTAACAAAAACTTTAAAAAATCATGATCTGCAAGGGATCTGTCGGTATGCGGATTGCAGGGACACCATGCAATGGCACACTTCCATTGCTTTCCAGGCGACAGAAACCATGGCAACGAGACGGGATGTGGTAACAACCTTAGGGCCTCTTGGTATGACGCGGCCGGGTATCGTACCCCTGACCTTCCGCTCTCCGGACAGACGCTCTATCCTCTATACCACGGAGGCGGTACCGGAATACACCGAGTGGTGCCGAATGGATCTCTGGCACCGGATTCTACTATATATGGCACTGCAACACATGGCTACACAAACCACGCCACCTACATGTCCGCAAAGCCTCAAGATCGAGGTATCCACGTTCCGGTAACGCTGACCCTTCGTGCTCGGGTGTGGCTTGAACGGCGGGGGAAACTCCGTGGGGTTCCTGACCCGCATCTGTGACTTCTTTCTCCAGTGGGTCCAGGTTGTCTTCGTGACTCACGTGCGTGACGTCATCACTCTCCAGGGGAGCCTCGGTTTGAGTGACATCAGTAAGAAGGTCAGCTATACGACCCTGATCACTCTTCCTCAGACAGGACAACAATAGTGGGTATGCGCGGTCAGTCCGCCTCTCGATCATGGCAGTCATCAGGTCCTGGCTGCGCTCCATGGGGTCTGGTATCGCCTGTAGCACACACAGGGCATATGCTATTTCTTAAAGTGAAGAAATAAAAACTTCTTCTCAATTGTAACAATAAATATATAAAAAATAAAATACTTTTACATAAACTATTACATAATAACAGAGACCATATAAAATCTATTATATGGTCTCTGATAATAATGATCCCACCACAATACACAAGGCCCATGGTTATTAATATACAGAAATATGACCGAGACATGGAAATATATTCCCCACACAAAACATTAAGCAAATACGTTTTTGCGTATTTATCAAATTGTTCAACCAAAAGTTTGTTCGTGAAGAGTATCACGTATATTACTCAAAAGAAGTTGAGGAACACCTGATTGTTTAATATGACAATAGTTGATCTATCTGTCGTGTCATGATAGATTAACTATAGTCTTATAAAAGAATCTAGTGTTCCTTAACTTATCATGAGTAGTGTGCATATTATTCAGGGAGAAATTAGTTAAACAGGCAACTGAACTTTGTGTTTGGATGATGCAAAGCCTTGTTCTGACAAGCATCTACAGCTGAGAATTAAATATATAACATCTGTCCAAAGTACAGTCAGTGATACAAGCCAGTCATAGAAACCTGATGGCGTCACGCTGAACCTTTGGCGGACAAGGCGTTCTCCATTGCAGATACTTACTCGCGTTATAAATATGTGAGTGGGTGTGTGAGTGAATGAGTAAGTATGGTTTTTCGCCGCTTTCAATCCCGGGTCTTCGCGTGACGAGCGAACACTTTAACCATTAGGCTATCCGGGTTAGCATAGGTCTACAGTGACTTGTCATCGTATGCTAATTCCCTAGATCGATGCTCGTGATACTTTTGTGTGGTATACATGATGTGAACAGGTCATCCTAGGGATGTGAATAGAACCGCCTGTGTATATGAATAGGACCTTGGGATGTAAATAAGACCACCTAGGTATGTGAATAGGACCTTGGGATGTAAATAGGACCTTGGTATGTAAATAAGACCACCTAAGGATGTAAATAGGACCTTGGGGTGTGAATAGGACCACCTAGGTATGTAAATAGGACCTTGGTATGTAAATAAGACCACCTAAGGATGTGAATAGGATCACCTCGGTATCTGAATTGGACCTGGGGATATGAATAGGACCACCTAAGGATGTGAATAGGACCACCTTGGTATGTGAATAGGACTTTGGGATGTAAATAAGACCACCTAAGGATGTGAATAGGACCTTGGGATGTAAATAGGACCATCTAGGTATGTGAATAGGACCTAGGGATGTGAATAGTACCACCTAAGGATAAGAATAGGATCACCTCGGTATGTGAATAGAATCACCTAGGATGTGAATAGGACCGCCTAGGATGTGAATAGGACCACCTAGGGATGTCAGTAGGAAGTGGATTGTATATTACAAGTTATTTAATCTTATGAATGAGTGACTTAATATGTTACATCGCATCGGCAATATTGCAGCCATATCGCGATTAATCTTATGAAGCCTAGCGCCGAATTCGCTACGAAATCGTCCATTTCGTCTTAAACACTTTTTGGAAGGACAACGACGATACATTTTTTGAAATTCTCTTGATTAATAGTTGTACTTAAATCATGCTTCAAGCTTCAACATTTCAAACAAAATCTCAGATCACCATTTGAATCTGTGACAATCCAAAATCGATAGGCCTCCAAGTCAGCTATCGAGTGATATTTTCACACAACGAAAGCGTATATATGATAATACATTGACCGTTTATATAACCTAATCAAAATAAATTGTTACCTAATTTTAACCCGCATATGTATGATGACCAGCTGAGCTCCATGCTTTATACCACACCTTATACTTGGCACTGTCAGCAGCGTCAATCAGGCCGGCTTCCAGCATGCACTTCAGTAGCGTCGGGTTGACGTCAAGGTCCGCGACGACCTCGTCGCGGTACGCCTCGAACTTTTCCTTTAGGACGTTCATGACACCGGCTTCACACGTCTAGTGGAGAGGGAATGTGAGTGAGTGAGTGAATGAACAGTAGTGGGTCAAGTTATTTCGGAGGATAGTTCGACGTCACGCACTTACTACTTCCACCAAGCAATCTTGACGTTGCTCTACGATTGCAAGCTTTGTGAAACGGATTCATGCGCTCTGTGTGCTATATGGTATTGTTGTGCGGTATTGCCGTGACGTCCAGAGGCACAGAAACAGATACTAAACTACTTCCTGATATATCATACCATGAGGGTATGTGGAATCTAATGAAACTCAATATATATGTGCTAACTATATATACTGAGTCAAATTAAAAACTTCACATTTTTAAAAGTAATCCCATATATGATATACAACGGACAAATGAATCAGAGAAGGTAATTTTTAATCATTAATGTCCAAAGAAGATTTTTAATTAACGGTGGTAACCATAATTTGTTGCAAGCACCTACGGTATTCGGTAATAACATCAACAGTTTAAATCATAATTCCCAAGCACGAGAATCTGATGGCACACAAGTTCAGTAGCGTGTTTGGCCACCATGTGCGTTGACAACTGCCACACAACGCCTCCGCATGGACCTTGTGATGCTTGTGAACACATGATTGGGAAGACGACGCCATTGTTGCCGAAAAATGGTGCCAAGATCTTGCAAATTCTGTGGTTGGTTCTGGAGAGTGCGCAGACTTCTGCCAAGAGTATCCCAGAGGTGTTCGATGGGCTTGAGGTCGGGAGACCTTGACGGCCAGTCCATGACGTTGACTCCCGCATTCTGAAGGAAATTCCTTGTCAAAATTGCTGTGTGGGGTCTGGCCTTGTCGTGTTGGAAGATCAAAACGGGTCCATGTGCTGCCATAAAAGGCAGAAGTTCTGGTGCCAGTACCTGGTCGCGGTAAGCAGCAGCGTTGAGGTTGCCACGGATGACAAGAAGCCTGGAACGTGCATTGCCACAGAAAGCACCCCACACCATGACACTTCCGCCTCGAAATCTGTCAACTTCCTGTACACAACACTGGGCGTAACGTTCATGACGGTGCCTCCACACCTTCGCCCTACCATCAGCAAATCGAAGATTAAATTGGGATTCATCACTGAAGACGACTTGATTCCAATTCCTCTGAGTCCATCGTAAGTGTCGCTGTGCCCACAATTGACGTTGACGTCTGTGTAATTGAGTCAGAATCGGCCCGCAGTATGGCCGTCGTGCTTGAAGGTGAGCAGTTCTCAGACGGTTTCGAACAGTTTGCGCACTCAGTCTACCCCTAAACAGTTCATTTCTGGTTGATGTAGCTGTCAAAAATCGGTTACGGAGGTGACGTAAGACAATCTGACGATCCTCTGCATGTGACGTCACACGTGGTCGACCTGGCCGAGGGCGATCAGCGGTGATACCCGGTTGCTGTAGACGCGTCTGTCGACTACAACCCATTGTCCTTGCAACTTTAGCTACGGACGTTCCCGTCTGCAACATGCCAATGGCACGTTCATGTTGCACATTTGAAAGGCGTGGCATGACGAATGGCCGTAAAGACTTTTGTTTTCTTGTGTTTTTCTTTTTTTGTTAATGACTGCTAACAAGTATGGCTGAAAACACGTGCGGTATTATGGCCACGTGACCAGTTGCACGTGAAAAAACACTTTTGCCACTATAGTGCTGTGCACATGTTTTTGATCGATTCACCTGCACAAAAACGGGTGTTATCTGAAGACAATACGTGGCCATTACTGTTTAAATACACAATAAGGGCCCACAATGATAACTGGTCAAAATATTAAAATTTTAGGATTGTGAAGTTTTTAATTTGGTTCAGTATACAAGAGATGCGCCTGTCCCGTTCCACAAGGCAACCGTAGATCTAAGACGATCGCAACTTTATGCTTCAATACATACTTACGACAGTCGTAGCGCTAAGACGATCGTAACTGTATACTTTAACACAGACGTACGACAGTCGTAGCGCTAAGACGATCGTAACTGTATACTTTAACACAGATGTACGACAGTCCTATCGCTTAGACGATCGTAACTGTATACTTGAACACAGACGTACGGCAGTCTTAGAGCTTAGACGATCGTAACTGTATACTTTAACACAGACGTACGACAGTCTTAGCGCTTAGACGATCGTAACTGTATACTTTAACACCCCACCCCACCCCACCCCACCCCACCCCACCCAACCACCACCACGCCAATACTGCCCACGCCCTCTCACCTGTGTCCCTACGCTTGTTGTACGCTCTACCCGCACCTACTGCGAGCGTCTACAGTATTCCTCCATATGTGTTTGCCTTCTAACTGTATAGTGCCGAGTGTTTAGCGTCAAGGTGCCCAGGATGTCCTTTAAACGTCCAATCGTTCTTTAATCTCGATCTTATTTGCACATACTTCTGATAGAAGGGTTCGGCTTGGAGGTGTATTTACCAAGTCGTTTGTTACCCTCTAACAAATGACGTTGTTATACCCCAACTGTTATCAGTGAATACCTTTCTCTGCTCTGCCCCGATAAAAATATACAGGAGTTGTTGCACGACACGCTGTGCCACCGGTCATTATGGCCGTCATCCAGTACAGGGTAGTTCAGTCTTGCACTGGTTGTGTTTATTGTAATTCTTTTAAACCAGTGAAGGTGTAGTAGTAGTAGTAGTAGTAGTAGTAGGTGAAGTAGCAGTAGTAGAAGTAGGTGTAGTGGTAGTAGTAGGTGTAGTAGTAGTGGTAGTAGTAGTAGAAGTAGTAGGTGTAGTAGTAGTAGTAGTAGTAGTAGGTGAAGTAGCAGTAGTAGAAGTAGTAGTAGTAGTAGGTGTAGTAGTAGTAGTAGTAGGTGTAGTAGTAGTGGTAGTAGTAGTAGTAGTAGGTGTAGTAGTAGTAGGTGTAGTAGTAGTAGTAGTAGTAGGTGTAGTAGTAGTAGTATGTGTAGTAGTAGTAGTAGTAGTAGGTGAAGCAGTAGTAGTAGTAGGTGTAGTAGTAGTAGTAGTAGGTGTAGTAGTAGTAGTAGTAGTAGTAGGTGAAGCAGTAGTAGTAGTAGGTGTAGTAGTAGTAGTAGTAGTAGTAGGTGAAGCAGTAGTAGTAGTAGGTGTAGTAGTAGTAGTAGTAGGTGTAGTAGTAGTAGTAGTAGTAGGTGTAGTAGCAGTAGTAGGTGTAGTAGTAGTAGGTGTAGTAGTAGTAGTAGTAGTAGGTGTAGTAGTAGTAGTATGTGTAGTAGTAGTAGTAGTAGTAGGTGAAGCAGTAGTAGTAGTAGGTGTAGTAGTAGTAGTAGTAGTAGGTGTAGTAGCAGTAGTAGGTGTAGTAGTAGTAGGTGTAGTAGTAGTAGTAGTAGTAGGTGTAGTAGTAGTAGTAGGTGTAGTTGTAGTAGTAGTAGGTGAAGCAGTAGTAGTAGTAGGTGTAGTAGTAGTAGTAGTAGGTGTAGTAGTAGTAGGTGTAGTAGCAGTAGTAGGTGTAGTAGTAGTAGTAGTAGCAGGTGTAGTAGCACTAGTAGGTGTAGTAGTAGTAGTAGGTGTAGTAGAAAAAGTAGGTGAAGTAGTAGTAGTAGGTGTAGTAGTAGTAGTAGTAGGTGTAGTAGTAGTAGGTGTAGTAGCAGTAGTAGGTGTAGTAGTAGTAGTAGTAGCAGGTGTAGTAGCACTAGTAGGTGTAGTAGTAGTAGTAGGTATAGTAGAAAAAGTAGGTGAAGTAGTAGTAGTAGGTGTAGTAGTAGTAGTAGTAGGTGTAGTAGTAGTAGTAGGTGTAGTAGTAGTAGTAGGTGTAGTAGAAAAAGTGATGTAGTAGTAGTAGTAGGTGTAGTAGTAGGTGTAGTAGCAGTAGTAGGTGTAGTAATAGTAGTAGTAGTAGTAGTAGGTGTAGTAGTAGTAGTAGGTGTAGTAGCAGTAGTAGTAGTAGGTGTAGTAGCAGTAGTAGGTGTAGTAGTAGTAGTAGGTGTAGTAGTAGTAGGTGTAGTAGCAGTAGTAGGTGTAGTAGTAGTAGTAGGTGTAGTAGCACTAGCAGGTGTAGTAGTAGTAGTAGGTGTAGTAGTAGTAGTAGGTGTAGTAGAAGTAGGTGTAGTAGTAGTAGTAGGTGTAGTAGTAGTAGTAGGTGTAGTAGTAGTAGTAGGTGTAGTAGCAGTAGTAGGTGTAGTAATAGTAGTAGTAGTAGTAGTAGGTGTAGTAGTAGTAGTAGGTGTAGTAGTAGTAGTAGGTGTAGTAGTAGTAGGTGTAGTAGTAGTAGTAGGTGTAGTAATAGTAGTAGTAGGTGTAGTAGTAGTAGTAGGTGTAGTAGAAAAAGTAGGTGTAGTAGTAGTAGTAGGTGTAGTAGTAGTAGTAGGTGTAGTAGTAGTAGTAGGTGTAGTAGTAGTAGTAGTAGGTGTAGTAGCAGTAGTAGGTGTAGTAATAGTAGTAGTAGTAGTAGTAGGTGTAGTAGTAGTAGTAGGTGTAGTAGAAGTAGGT